GAAAGACGACAGACGAAAGATGACAGACGACAAGCGAAAGATGACAGACAAACGACAGACGACAAACGTACCATGACAAGGTCCTGCAGCAATGTATCGGTCATGGCGAGCGGCTGGCGCACGCAAATCTCGCGGATGGCGTTCAGGCCGGCGGCGGCGACTTCAGAAGCCGAGGCCTCGGAGACAAACTCGTTGGCAATCTTCTGCACGAGCGGCTCCAGGACGTCTGGCGGGACGTAGTTGTGGGTCGCCTGGGCGAGGCAGGCGAGGTAGCTGGTGACCGAGGCCTGTCGCGGGGTGAGGTGCTTGAGAAAGTACGAGTAGAGCGACAGCACGGTGAGCTTGTGCAGGCCGACGAGGCGCGAGACGAGCTGCAGCACGAGGATGCGCGTGTCGAGCTGCAGGCGGGCCTTTGTGTTCTGGACGTGTTTGGCGAACAGGGACTCGGCGAAGCCCTGGGGGTCGTGCAGCAGGTGCAGGGCGGAGAAGTTGAGGGGGTGCGGGGCCGCCTTCTTCTTCTCCTTGCGCTTGACCGTGGCGGCGGCCTTGCGCAGGTCGCGGGCCTTTTTCTTCGTCTTCTTGTTGATGCCGGCCTGGTGGCGCAGCTTGGACATGTCGACGTTTTCGTCGTCGCTGCTCTCGTCGGCAGCCTCCTCGCGCTCCTGGTCGCCGCCGAGGAAGAAGCGCACGCCGCCGGCAACGACCTTTTCGTTGTCGCTCAGGGCGGCCAGGCGCATGACCTCGACGGCGCGCGCGTCGGTCCAGATCTGCTTCTTCCACAGCTCGCGCGTCATCTTGACCGCCCAGATGCCCTTGGGCGACTCGCGGTCCGACTCGAGCAGGTTGTAGAGGACCGTCTGCATGGTGCGGTTGAGCTTGTGGTTGGTCGTGCGGACGTTGGCGGAGCGCAGGTCCGACAGCATCTTGGTGAAGAGCAGCTGGCGCAGCGACTTGCTCGGCGTAGCAATCAGCACGGGGAACAGCGTCGTCAGCAGCGCGACGGAGCCGATGACGTCCTTGTTGCGCAGCAGACACAGGCTGCCGACCATCTTGTCGCGCAGCTCGTACTCGAGCACGCCGTGGTGCTGCAGCAGCATCTGCTGCAGGTCGCCGGGGAACTGGGCCGTGAGGTCCGGGTAGAGGTCGGCGACGTGTGAGACAAACTCGATCAGGTCCTTGAGCTCGGCCAGCCCCGTTCCCTGCGTCGAGGGGCTCTGCAGGAACAGGTCGCGCAGCGTCTCGTACTGCTGCCACTGGTTGCTGAAGTCGTCGCGGTAGCTCTGCGGGTCGCGCTTGATCTTGAAGCGGAGCGCCGCATGATCCGCCTCGATCTTCTCGAGGGCGCCGACCTTGCGCTTCATCGTGGGCGTGCGTGTGCGCGTGGAGCGGGGGAAGGCGAGCTGCGAGTGCCCGCGCGTGCTGGAGTGCTGGAGACGGCGAGTGCTGGAGACGGCGAGTGCTGCCCGCCGCACTTTTTTTGGTGGACCCTTGGACGGTCGGCAACGGCAAACGCCGACGGGAGCTTGGGCTCTTCAATCTTTAATCTTCGTTCTTCAGTCTCGACTGCGCATTCTGTCGACCCTCCTCCTCGACCCCGTCGGCCGCGCATTGTCTTTCCTGGTCTCCGGCGTCCTCGTCTCCGATCGCATTGACGGCAGCATACGCGCGCCCGCCCGTCGCCTGCCTGTTGCCCGCCCGTCGCCCGCTTGCTGTCCGCCCGTCGCCCGCTTGCTGCCCGCCCGTCGCCCGCCCGTCGCCTGCTTGTTGCCCGCCCTCGCTCGTCGGCCTCCTCGACACGTCGCATCGCCCGCCCTCGCGCCGCCGACGCCCGCCATGACGACCTTTACCTCCATGTCGCTGTACGCCCTGACGGTCAAGCAGCCGTCGGCGACGCAGGATGCCATCTCCGGCGACTTCCTCGGCAACGGCAAGCAGCAGATCCTCACAGCCAACGGCTCGCGCCTGGCCATCCTCGACGTCTCGCGGCGGCAGAAGGGCTTCCAGGAAATCTTCTCGCAGGACGTCTTTGGCATCGTGCGTCGCATCGCCAAGTTCCGCGTCGCAGGCGGCACCAAAGGTACGTCCCGGCCTGCTCTCCCCGCTCTGCGCCCGTTTAGTGATTGTCGAAAGCAGCGCCCCCCGCCCGCTGCGGACTGGCCCGCGGCGTCTGCTGAGAACCTGCGCTGACGACCCAGACCACATTGTCGTGACCACCGACTCGGGCCGCCTCGTCACGTACGAGTATCTGCCCGACGAGCACACCCTCAAGACGGTCCACTTTGAGACGTACGGCAAGTCGGGCATACGGCGCGTCGTGCCCGGCGAGTACCTGGCGGCCGACCCCAAAGGCCGCGCCATCATGGTCGCCTCGACCGAGAAGAACAAGCTCGTCTACATCCTGACCCGCAGCGGCCAGACCGACATCGCCATCTCGTCGCCGCTCGAGGCCCACAAGCCGCAGACGCTCGTCTTCTGCCTGCTGGGCCTGGACGTCGGCTACGACAACCCCATGTTCGCCACCCTCGAGATGGACTACTCGGCCTCGGAGTCTGACCCCACCGGCGCGGCCTACGACGAGATGAAGAAGGAGCTGGTCTACTACGAGCTCGACCTGGGCCTGAACCACATTGTGCGCAAGTGGGCAGAGCCCGTGGACCGCACCGCCAACATGCTCTTCCGCGTGCCAGGCGGGCCGAACGCGCCCAGCGGAGTGCTCGTCTGCGGCGAGGACAGCATCACGTACCGCCGCATCTTCAACAACAAGTCGAGCGTCCACCGCCTGGCCATTCCGCGCCGCGAGGGCCCCGCCGAGGACCCGAACCGCAAGCGGACCATTGTCGCCGGCACCCTGTACTCGCTCAAAGGCGGCGACTTCTTCTACCTCGTCCAGACCGACGACGGAGATTTGTTCAAGCTCACCGTCGAGGCGACCGACACCGTGGTCGACAAGATCAAGATCAAGTACTTCGACACGATCCCGGTAGTGACGAGCATCTGCATTCTGAGGGCGGGTTTCGTCTACGCGGCTTGCGAATCTGGCGACCGGATTCTCTACGAGCTCGAGTCCCTGGGAGACGAGACCGACGACCCGCTCTTCGACAGCAGCCAGTTTCCAGCCGACCCGACCGCCGCCTTTGCACCTCCCTTCTTCCAGCCGCGAGCCCTGACGAACCTGACCCCCGTCGAGACCATTCCCAGTCTGAACCCGATCATGGCCATGGAGGTTGCCAACCCCGCGCTCGAGGACGCGCCCCAGATCTACACCATCAACGGCGCCGGCGGACGCAGCACTTTCCGCACCACGAGGAACGCCCTGGAGGTACTCGACCTGATCGAGTCGCCGCTGCCGCAGAATGCCTCTGACGTCTGGACCACCAAGCTGACTTGCGAGGACGAGACGGACACGCTCATTGTGCTGTGTCTGCACAGCAGGACGCTGGTCCTGAAGATTGGCGACGACGTCGAGGAGGCAGCAAACACTGGCTTCTTGGCCGACACAAACACACTGGGCGTGCAGCAGTTTGGAGAAGACTGCATCATCCAGATCCACCCAAAGGGCATCCGCCACATCCAGAGCATATCGTTTCCCGACGACGACGCGAATGCCACGCACGCCAGCTTGACCGACTGGCAGCCGCCGGCGCACAGGACCATTGTCGCGTGCGCCACCAACAACCGTCAAGTGGCCATTGCGCTCAGCTCAGGCCAGATTCTGTACTTTGAGTGCGACTCGGATGGCTCGCTTGCCATGGCCGAGGAGGAGATTGCGCTCGACAGCACCATCAACTGCCTGACCATGCCTGATGTGCCCGAGGGCAGCGTGCGTGCCTTCTTCATGGCTGTCGGCTGCAGCGACCAGACTGTGAGAATCTTCAACCTGAGTCCCGACATGGAGGGCAACATCCTGCGAAGCATCTCCGTCCAGGCGCTGACATCACCGCCAAGCGACCTCACCATCAACATGATGGCCGACAAGTCTCCCAGGGGGTACAGTCAGTACCTCCACATTGGTCTGCGAAGCGGTGTGTACATTCGATCCGTCCTCGACGAGATGACGGGAGACATTGGCGACACTCGCAGACGTTTCCTCGGCCCAGAGCCCATCAAGTTTGCCAAGGTGACCGTCGCCGACGAGCCTGCCATCATCGCAATGACCTCGAGGCCATGGCTTGGCTACACCCACCCCAGGACTGGCGTTCTGCAGCTGACGCCCTTGAACTACATCCCCTTCAAGTCTGCGTGGAACTTTGAAGGCACCCAGTTCAAGGGCATCATCTGCGTGAGCGCTGCCGAGCTTCGGTACGTGCCCCTTTGATTCCCCACCTTTTTGACTGCAGTGATGATACATGTACCCCTGAACAACCGTGTGGGCCAAACTTTTATTCCAATTGTTCCTACTGAAACGCAGCCACCCGTCACGCTCCACGGCAGAGAAGGTGCTCCGAGCCCACACGCTGACTGCAGCCAGAATCTTCACCTTCAACGACTTGACGGACAACACGACGTACGAGAACATTCCTCTCAAGTACACGCCGAGGAACATGGTCGGCCAGCACGAGCAGGGTCTCTTCTACGTCATCCAAAGCGAGAACAACACCCTGAACGATGCTACACGGCAGAACCTCATCCAAGACGCCAGGGCCGCAAAGGAGAATGGCGCCAGGGCCGCAAAGGAGAATGGCGCCAAGAGCGAAAAGGAGAATGGCGCCAGGGCCGAAAAGGAGAATGGCGCCAGGGCCGAAAAGGAGAATGGCGCCAGGGCCGAAAAGGAGAATGGCGCCAAGAGCGAAAAGGAGAACGGAGCCGACGGTGAGATGGAAGTCGAGGGAGAGACGGCTGGCGATGAGCTGCCGGCGGTCGACTTTGGCTACCCGCGAGTGCAAGGGCGATGGGCGTCGTGCATCCAGGTCGTCGATCCCGTCACCGAAAAGGCGGTCACACACACAGTCGACCTGCCTACAAACCAATCGCTGGTCAGCGTTGCTCTGGTGTACTTTGACAGCCGCGGCGAGGACGCCTTCCTTGCTGTGGGTACCGCAAAGGACCTGACGTTCCAGCCTTACAAATTCTCCGGAGCGTCGATACAGGTGTACAAGATCTCGCCCACCGGCCGCGAGCTCGAGCTGTTCCACGAGACGGACGTGAGCGAGCCTCCGCTGGCTCTGCTCGCGTTCAAGGGCAAGCTCATCGCCGGTGTCGGGCGGAACCTCTGCCTGTACGACTGCGGCATGCGGTCGCTGCTGCGAAAAGCGCAGGCCACGGACTGCGTCAGCAACCGCGTCACCGACATCAAGACGCAGGGCAGCCGCCTCGTCGTCTCGGACCAGACCGAGTCGGTCACGTACGTTGTGCACAAGGACCAGGTGCACCCGAACCGCCTGATACCGTTTGTCGACGACACGGTCGCGCGCCACACGACCGCCACCGCGATGCTCGACTACGATACCACCGTCGGCGGCGACAAGTTTGGAAACATCTGGGTCGTCCGCTGTCCGCAGAAGGTCTCCGAGTCCGCGGACGAGTCGCCCGACGGCTCCGACCTGCTCGTCGACAAGAGCTATCTCGGCGGCACCGCGAACCGCCTCGACCTAGTCACGCACTACTTCGCCAACGACATACCCGTCTCTCTCCAGCGCACCGTCCTCCTATCCGGCGGCAACCGCGTCATCTTTTGGGCAGGCCTCCAGGGCACACTCGGTGCGCTGATCCCCTTCGAATCCCGGCGCCAGCACAAAATGTTTGCACAACTCGAGCTCGCGCTGCGCGCCGACGACGCCCCGCTGAGCGGCCGCGACCACCTCGCGTTCCGCAGTTACTTTGCGCCAGTCAAGAGCACCATTGACGGCGACCTGATTGAGCGCTTCCTCGTGCTGTCGCGCGACAAGCGCGAGGGTATTGCTGCGCAGCTCACGGGCGCCGAGTGGACGCCTGCTGTTGTGGACGAGGCGATTTGGAATATGCGTGGGCTGTATGCGTTCTAGCGTGTGGTTGGAGGGGGCGAGGTTTTTGATACCCTGGATGAAGTACGATGGATACAATTCAATGTGTATAATACACTCACATCCTACACGCCCACGCACTGCGGCCTCGCATATAAAGTCCCCTCTCCTCAGTCCCCTCTCCTTAGTCCCCTTCTGTGCACAGCGCAGTCTCCCCATCAACCTCCCTATCAACCTCCCTATCAACCTCCCTATCAGTCTCCCCATCAATCGGTCCAACGCAACGACCAGACTCCCGTGTTCCGCGCGTCCACACGGCCGCCGGGCTGGTGATGGACGGCGGGTGCTTTGTACGATTCCCTGGCTTGGGGACCCGTGGCGGTCCCGTGGGAGTCCAGACTCGCGCTGCATCACGTCGTTGGCGGTGGTGTGCAACGCGCGCGTCCAAACTCAGCCGCTGCAAACGCACTCACGCGTCGCCAAACCCATGCACAACGCCCAGCTTCTCGCCAACCTTGACCTTCATGCCCTGCTCGATATTCCACTCGAACCCGCCGTGCCGCTTGCCCTGATACCCCTCATCCAAGCTCGGCCTAACACCCTTGGGCGCCTCAAAGACAAGCACAATCGTAGAGCCAAGGCGGAACCCGCCCATTTCCTCTCCGCGCTTAAGCGAATGCCCGCCCAAAACAGCGCTGGCGCTCGTGTAACTCGCCTCGGCGAACCCAGAGTACGGCTCGCCGCGCGCAGCAGCGAGTTCAGCGGCGCGGTCCGCAGCCGTGTCGGTGGTGAGGCTGTTGGTGCTCAGCTCGCGGTCGAAGGCGATCTTGATGGAGCCGACGTTGGTCGCGCCGACGGGGGTGTAGGAGAAGAAGCCCCAGCGCCAGCGGCCGAGGAGGACGACGCGCTCGTTCAGCGTGAAGAGGCCGGGCATCGTGCGCTGCAGGTACGGAGAGACAGAGTACAGCTCCCCTGCAAAGTGGCGGCGCGACTCGACGACCCAGCTGACGGGCGAGTGGAAGCGGTGGTAGTCGCCGGGGGCGAGGTAGATGACGCAGTAGTATAGCGCGGTGGGCGTCTTTTGGTTTGCGGGCGCCCACCACGGACGCGCGGCGGATTCGGAGAGGGCGAGGTCGGCGCGGACCTCTGCCTCGGACGAGGGGGTTGCGTGCGTGGATTGGTCCGTGGGCATTTCTGCCGGCTTGCCGCCCTTGGGCCAGGGGCCGGAGAAGAGGTTGGGCAGCGTGTACGAGATGCCGTTTACGTTTGCGAATTCCTCGTCGGCCCGGACCGTGTCTTCCTGGTCCTTGGGCGTCTTGGTGTGCTCCGAAGCCCGCGCCTGGCCGTCTGCCACGCTGTCTTCGGGCTTGGACGGGCGGCTGGAGCCGAGGAGGGCATCGAGCGTGTATGTCACGCCCTTGACCTGCTCGACTTCGCCGTGCTCAATGGTGCCGAACTGGATGATCTTGCCGTCTGCGGGCGAGAGGACGGCGTTCGGGTTGGGATCGAGGGGCCGCGCGCCGGGCTTGAGCGTGCGGTAGAAAAAGGCCGCGAGGTTAGGGTACACGTGCAGGTCGGGTTCGGCGACTTCGCTGAGGCTACGCGGCGTCAGTCTCTGCCAGTGGGCCATGCAGAAGCAGCGGGGACTCACTTGACACCGAAGATGAACGAGTACAGCTTGAAGCCAGGCACACGGAAGTAGTAGGGAATGTCCATCTCGTTGAAGCGACCCCACAGGCGGGAGAGGGCCTTCAGCGGCAGCGTCGACATGACCTGGACCGTCCATGGCCCGCTCGGCCGTATCCTCTCGCGCTTCTTGGGGCGGCCCTGCGGATCGTCATGCTCGCCCCGGTCCGGCTCCGCCTGCGTGTGCTTGTCCCGTCGCTGGATGCGATACAGCTGGAACGCGCCCAGGAAGCCGACGCCCAGGGCAATCGGTATGGGCTCCCACTTGATTTTGGTCTTCCCCAGCGCCGCACCCAGCCGCGACCGGAACGACTCCTTCCTGTGCTGCTGCCCGTGGAGGGGGCGGCTGGAGGACAAGTTGCGCGAGACGGTGGCGGACAAGTTGCGCGAGACGGGGGCGGACAAGTTGCGCGAGACGGGGGCGCGGGCGCAGGCAGGCTGGAGTGCTGCAGGCCGCCGTTGGGTAGAGGCCCGGATGAGCTGGCGGGAGCAGGGCGACGCCATGTCTGCTTCGTCTTCTGCGGAGCGTCACGAATTTCTCTCTTGACTGTCGTCAACCGTCTCTTCTGGCGGACGGCGGGCAGAGGGATGACGCACGGGAAGCAAGACATGTTTTCGCCCACCAATGACGCCGAGGCGGCGGCCGCGATCGCCTCGGGAGAGCTCGACGACCACGCAACCTCGCCGCGTCGCGAGCGAGCTGTCTGGCAGTAATTAAAGTCGGCGTGGCCTTTTACCTGCTGGTGGTCACGGCATTGCCTGCTTCCTCGTTCCTGCTGCACTTCTAGCGCTCGGCTTTTCCTGCATTCACTCTCGTGTCGCAAATGGCAATAGGGCGCTGACGGCCGAGCTGTTATCGCAACGTATACAATCACGCAACAGCACCAACACTCAGTCAACCTCACACCTCCTGCGCATACAGCGCGACGCCATGGCACAAGACACGGTGACGCTCAACTTGAAGGTCTTGTCGCCGTCCAGCGAGGTCGAGGGCGGCATCCTCCTGCAAGACCTCGCCGCGTCGACCACGGTGAAGGAGCTGCGGCTCAAGATCCAAGATGCGGTGCCGTCGAAGCCAGGCCCCGAGCGCATGCGCTTGATCTACCGGGGCAAGGTCGTCGCAAACGACGCTGATACGCTGGAGACGGTCTTTGGCGCAGACAACGTGGGTAGTAGAGCTCTCGTCGTCACACGCGGTAGCTGACTAGAGCGCCAGCTTCGCGAATCTAGAGACCAAAGCTTGCATCTGGTACTGCGGGAGCTGCCACAGACTCCACAGATGTCGTCTACGCCAGGCCCACGCACGGCGACCGCCCCGCCCGATCCATTCCGTCCAGCGCAAGCACCGCTCCCAGCGAGTCCCCTCCAGACGAACCCGTTCCGAGCCATACCACAGCCTCGACCAAACGCGCAACCACAGGCTGTCCCGCAGCAGCAGCCGCAGCCGCAGCCACAGCCACAGCCACACCACCGCCACCATGCCCACCACCATGCCCACCACCCACATTTCCACCATCATCACCACGTGCAGCAGCCTCTCAACCCGCTCGGCCCCATGGGCGCCATGCCGCTTCCGCCACAGATGCAGCAGCAGATTGCCCAGGCATTGGGCCAGCGCGGCGCTCCCGTTGCCACTCCAGCTGCAGACACGCCGACGCCGACGCAGCCAGCCGACGGCAGGACGGTGCGGCAAGAGGGAATTGGTCCCAATGGCGCGCGTTGGTCTGTCACATACAACGACTTCACCGCAAACATACCCTTGCGACCCGGCCAGCCGACGATGCCGCGGCCTGTGCCATTCGCCATCCCGCCCCGTCCGTTTGGCTCACCAGCGCCAGGTGGCGTGAATGTGCCTCTGGGCTGGCTTCTACAGCGGCTTCGAGCAACTCTGCAGGAGGCTGCTCGCGAAGTGGACAATGTTCGAGTTCTGCTCGCTCCTTCGGCTGTGGAAGACGCACTGTCGAGCGCACAGTCTCCCTCCGGTTCCGCAACGTTTCCAAGCTGGCGCGCTGAGCGCATCCGAGAGCATCTGCGCACCATCACCCACAACCTGAACATGGTAGAGAGCGGCCTCTCTGACCCAGCCATGCAGCTCAATACGGACGTGATTGCACTGCGACAGACGGCTGGCGAGGTCCGGATGCAGGCCAACGAGTTCAGCAGAAGGCTGGATGCACAGGAGGCCAGGACAGCAGCTGAGCTGACACAGGCTACATCACCAAGTGCATCGACCGCCGCCGCATCCGATCCTTTGCTCGCAACAGCGGCAGCTGCCGCTCGGACGCTACCTTCTGCTGCCGCTCGGACGCTGCCTTCTGCTGCTCCTCAAGAGCTGTTCCTCCTGTCAAGCCCTCAAGGGCTGGTCGGTGTACTGTTCGATCAGCGAGGGACCTACACAACCGCCCCTTTTACCTCCAGCCTCTCTTCGCAGACATTCGTCGACCAGTTCAACCAGAACCGCCAGCTCATCGCCAGCCTTGGCCAACAGCTTGTGCAGAGCTCACACAACCTGCACAACCAGCTGGGTGGTGTCCAACCGACCCCAGCCCAACAGCCCGGCCTGGCGCAGCCAGAACAGCCACCTTTTGCCGTGGACGAGGCAGCTGCTCAACACGTGATCCAAAACATCATCCAGAATCGCGACGAGCGCCAGGCTGCCAACGGCGCACAGCCCGCTGACCCAGACGCGCCCGCTGACAACGACCGCGTCGTCAACGTAGCCGGCCACCTTTGGCTCATCTTCAAGCTCGCGTGCTTCGTCTACATCTTCGCCGGCGGAGGCGGCTGGTACCGCCCGCTGATGCTCGGCAGCATCGCAATCGTCGTGTACATTGCGCAACTCGGCGTCTTCGAAGCGCAGTTCAACGTCGTCCGAGGGCACTTTGAGGCCCTGCTTCCCAACGCCGAGCGCATCGCGCAGCGCCGCAACGCGACGCCGCAGGATGCGAACGCAGCAGACGCACGCCGCAACGTCACGCCTGAAGAGGCTGCGAGGCGCCTGCTCCTGCAACAGCGCGATAACCAGTTTGGATGGGTGCGCGAGACGATGCGCACGCTCGAGCGCGGCGTTGCCATCTTCGTGGCTAGTCTGTGGCCAGGCATCGGCGAGCGCATGGTGCATGCGCAAGAGGAGAGGGAGAGGCTGGAGCGCGTCGCTGCGAGCGAAGCGCGCGAGCGACAGGAGGAGGAGCAGCGGAGGCGGGCGGAGGAGGCGGAGAAGGAGGCTAGTCAGCCCGCCGGGGGAGAAAAGGAAAGCGCAGCTGAGAAACCGCCGCTGCAGAGGTCCGCCACGCAGACTCTCAGCGAGGACTTCATGGAGCATGCACCGAGCGAGACGCACGGTGGTCCTGTGACGGGTGCGAGCGCAAAGGGCAAGGAGAAAGCTGCCTACGTTGACGATGACGATGCCGCCTCGTCTTCCTGATTGCGCCTTCGTTTGTACATGCTGTCTGAGCGATTCATTCATGTAGACAGTAATTCCCAGACTCGTCACCATGTCAACAAATCATCTGACCAGCGTCACTCACTCGCACGGCCCGTAGTGCTTCAGACAATGATGTCCCCATCTCAAACCTGAAGCCTCGCTCCAAGCATCCCTCCCCATGCTAAGATATCGATTCGTTTCATGTTTACACGCTGCAGCGCCACCAAATACGCTGCTGTCTTCGCCCTGCGCTAGCCTGGAGTGGGTGAAGCGTGGGTGAAGCGTTTCATTAAGCTTTTCTGACGGCGCTGTGGGAGGCTGGGCGCGCTTGCGGACAGATGCATGCATAAGCAAGGTGCGCTTTTGCGCTGTGTGTGGGTGCTTGGGTGCTTGGGTGCTGGGGTTGTGGTTGGCGGTGGGCTGGCGAGGCTGCGGTGAGGGATACCCATCTAGCCGCTTGTACGACTGCACGGTTCGAATACAATTCGCTGCGCTTTGGCGAGATGGCAGAGGGCGGCTCGTAGTCGGTCACGATGCCGAGAGTCTCACTCAGCATTATCTAATATCGTGAGTAGGCTGGGTGGGTGCGCCTGTGTGGATTGCACGGCGCAATGGACTGATTGAGCGCTGAGGCGTGTGGGTGCATCATTACCTAGGTATTGCCTACCTACCTACGCACTCCACCGCGCTCCATCGCGCGGTTGGCATTGCTCGGAATCGCAGGATCTAGTGCGCGAGTCGTGGTGTTTTTTTTTTCAAACAATAGAGCGATACAGTGGCAACGGGTCGTCGAGTGGGTTCATGCACGCCGCCACATGCGGACGAGGCTGTTTCGGGCACTCGAGAGACATGACGAGCACTAACGAACAATAGTCTTGGCAGTTGGCTCGTGGCAGAGTCAAGACGGGCGTTTTTGACAGCGGTACCCGAGGTGTCCCGCCTACCTTTCTCGTCACGGGCTGGTATGAATCGTGAAATAAAATGTGTTGCATCATGCAGCCGGATAAAACAAACTGTCGCAGGTTTCAATATTCCTGCCGCTATTGCGTGTTTGAAGGTCATCTCATCGGGGGACTCAAGTCGCGTGGCGCAGGCGTGTTCGCGGCACGACTTCGCAGCGCGCATGGCACAGCTCGCCTTTTCTCGACGACACTTGCAGTCAGAAACCCCCAGCGCACGTCCACGCAGCCCCGTCACCCGCCCGCGGCGGACGACGAGGTCCGCGGCGAATCGCAGGCTTGGTTAGATCAGACAGCAGCGGAGGAAGGCTTCTTCGCTGCTGATAGTGGAAATTACCAGGGCGCTGCGGAGTCTGGGACGCAGGGCAGAGAGATTGTGAGATGAGGCAGGAGCGGCGCATCGGAGGGCCGTCACGATTGATCACCCATTTGGCAGATCGTCGCAGGCATCACGACGGACTGTTGTTCCAGGCGTCCGGAGTCTGTGGACGGAAACGGATGAGCACCTTGGTTTTCTCGCGTGCGAGTCTTGGGTCCCCAGTGTTCATCTGTTGGTTCTGCTGGTGCAATTTCAGGGAGAGGGCAGCAAGGCGGCAGCGAGGCGGAGGTGCTCGCAGGGATAGCTATGCACAGGTGGGCGTTCAGCGCCGCAGAGGCCGGGAGATTGTGTGACAAGGCACTGGCAGTATTGAGAAGATGCTTGGCCAGCGCTGTACGAGGCTACGAGCACACGATCGTAATCTATCCTTGCCCCCGCCGTAGGACAGGCGCCAACAAGACGGACTTCGGCAGTACCGCCAGCGTCAAAACGTTGGCGGCCTCGCCCGCTCGCCGGCCTCGTTGGCTCGAAAGACGGTGAGCTGAGCCTCTGCAAGGATCTCATCCTGGCCGTTTCGACGGTCTTGCCAGGCACGCCCGTCGACTGGTTGGCCACGGCCCCTGGCGTCCGGCTGGGTGTTTCACGCCGCGCGACAATTCTGGTGGGGCGCGCGCTCCATTGGCTCACCTGCGTTCATAGACTGAAGACAGCCCTCTCCGCCCACAAGTTCGTGCTGTCCCCTCGACCATCTCTTCACGCCGCGGATCTTTTCCCTGTTGTCCTAGATTTCATTCGCTTCCACGCGGTCCTGTTGCTCCTTCGTTACGGCAGCAGTGTACATACAATCGTTTCCTGCCTGACCCACGACCCATACCACGCCACACGTCACTCGCTTTCACCACCCCTGGACATTCACTGAGGCTTATTGACTGCAACGTCCCGCTCCGCACTGCTGTTCTTCACGTTCACCTTCACTGCCTGCCCAGCCCCCTAGTCTCCTCCCGGCCACTACCTCGACGTCATCTGCTTCAACGAACTCGACCGTGCTGCGCACCGTCGACGATCCTTTTCACCAACCCCACCACTGTGTCTGCTCACTTCGAATCCAGCAGTAACACTGTGTAAGACATTGTGATGCATTTGAGGTGACCAGGGCTTTACTTTATCCCCCCATTGTCCAGACCGGTTGCTTCTCGACCTTTTCGGCCACGCACAACCTCATTTGGGATACGGTAGCGCTTCGACCATCACGCTATTCACCCTTTCTGCACTTCAACGACCGCCGTGCGGTCCTATTCACCGAATCTTTATGTCGCATCTCGCCACCTTCGACACCCACCTTCGCTCCCCGCATTCGCATTCCTCCGCACACAGGGCCCTGACGACCCTGTACAACAACAAACAAACCATCCGAGACATCGCGCTCATGTCTGACCTCGCCGTCTCCCCGGTGGAGCAGCCCGCCCTCAACACCTCTCTCACACGGCGTCACTTCCTCGATGGCTGGGACGCCGCCGACTTTGATGGCCTCAAGTACTCGTACGGCTTGACCGGCGTCGACCAAACAATGAACTTCCTCTGGGTCGACGTCTTCCTGTACATGCTCGTCTCCATGGCCATCGTGCTCCTAGGCCTGCGCGTGGCCAACATGTGGTGGCGCCACAACCGTCACTTGACCGTCATGGGCAATCCGGCGCGCCAGGCGTATTGGGCTACCAACCAGACCTCCTGGTGGCCCTGGCTCAACCGCCATCTCTTGCAGGCACCGCTCTGGAAGAAGAAGCACAACGCGCAGTTCCAGATCAGCAGCGCCATCGACAACGGAACACTGCCTGGACGATGGCACACAATCATGCTCGTCACCTACGTCGGTCTGAACATTGCCTGGTGTGTCGCGCTGCCGTACAGCGTGTTGGACCACAAGGAAACCATCGCCGCGCTCCGTGGCCGCAGTGGAACACTGGCCGCTCTGAACCTGATCCCCACCATCCTCTTCGCGCTCCGCAACAACCCCCTCATCACTCTCCTCCAGGTTTCGTACGACGACTTCAACCTCTTCCACCGCTGGGCTGCACGCATCACTATCTTGGAGGCCATTGTTCACACCATCTCCTGGATGTACAACACTGCCCAGGGTGGAGGCTGGCAGGCAGTCTCCAACGGTCTTGCTCACGAGGGCTCCTACGGCTGGGGCCTGGTCGGCACCATCGCCTTTACCTTTCTCGGTATCCAGGCCTGGTCGCCCTTCCGCCACGCTTTCTACGAGACCTTCCTCTCCATCCACCGCCTCACGGTCATCGCCGCTCTCATCGGTCTCTACAAGCATCTCGAGCTTCACCACCTGCCTCAGGTCCCCTGGATGCACCTCGTGTTCTTCTTCTGGGGCGCTGAGTGGGTCTGCCGTCTCGCTACAACGACCTACTACGGTCTGTCTCTGAAGCAGAGGTCTCGCGTGCGCGTCGAGGCCATGCCCGGTGAGGCTGTCCGCGTCACCATCGACATGGTCCGCGAATGGACGCCGCGGCCCGGCTGCCACGTGCACATTTGGATGCCCTCAATGGCCGGATTCCACAGCCACCCCTTCTCCGTCGCGTGGGCGCCAACCCTGACGTCCGAGTCCAAGGAGATGACACTACCCATCCTCGAAGGCGATGCCCTGATGGCCCCCGGCGCACGCCAAAAGTCAAAACAGATCTCCCTCATCTGCCGTGCGCGAACCGGGCTGACGCGCAAGATGTACGAGCGCGCATGCAAAGCCCCCAACGAGACATTCTCGACGTGGGGATTCATCGAGGGCCCCTACGGCGGCCACCACAGCCTCGATTCCTACGGCACCCTCGTCCTGTTCGCGGGCGGCGTCGGCATCACACACCAAGTCATGTACATGAAGCACCTGATCAACGGCTTCCACCGCGGCACCACCGCAACCCAGAAAATCGTGCTCATCTGGACCGTCCCGGATAGCGAGTGCCTCGAGTGGGTGCGTCCGTGGATGGACGAGATCCTGCGCATGCCCGGACGCAAGCAGTGTCTGCGCATCAAGCTGTTCATCTCGCGGCCCAAGGGCCGCGTGGAGAGCAGCAGCGACACAGTCAAGATGTTCGCCGGGCGGCCGAAGATGGACACGCTGATCGAAGAGGAGGTTCGCGGGCGCGTCGGCGCCATGGCGGTGACTGTGTGCGCCTCCGGCGGCATGGCGGACGGCGTGCGCGCCGCGGTACGGCCGTGGATGACAGAGGGCTGTGTCGACTTCATCGAGGAGGCCTTCACGTACTAGCCTCCTCTCCGTCCATGCTTCGCACTCCGCCACCATTCTCGTCTCCGCCTTGTACAGTATCCTCGCCAGCGCCGCAGCGACCTCATCCTTACTCTCTTCGACCCGTCTCCGGGCCCGTCTTCTTCACTTCTTGTATGTACTTGTTCCTAATCATTTACTTGTTGTCCGCATAATGTCTCTCATTGAATATTGCATGAGCGAAGCATTGCATGAAGCCATGGCGTCGTTTTCTTTCAGTCGTCGCTTTCTATCGAGGGAGATACCAGGGATGCCCAGAGTGGCTAGAGTGGCTAGAGTAGCGTAGAGTAGAGTAGAAGCATAGTCAGAAGTCCAACACAAACAACCATGTCTCCAGACCAATGAATGCAGTGAAGTGGTGAAGATGGGGGAAGGTAGGCATGTTGAGGACGCAGAGGATGGAGCGTGGAATGGGGGCATGTATCGATTAGATCCGGTGTACACACTCACGCCCTGAAACGAAAAGCCTGAAACGAACAGAAGCCTCGCAGACAAAGCGATCCCGCCACGAATAGCACTCGCGCCACACCCGCAGCAACGACCATTGCAAGATAGCCAGTCTGCACACTCGATTCGCCGTGCCATCGACGCATCACACACAGAGAACCACACACACCCACTCCACCGCCCCATGCCCTCCCATCCTCCGTCTCAGCAGTGCACAAAATTCAAACAACCATCCTCGACTTCACAGCACAACGTACGCCCTCCTCCCCTCTCTCCAATCCCTCACCCATCCCGCCCGTCCCGCCCCCAGCACATCTCCGCTCTCGAGACCCGGTACTCGCTCGGGCCCGAACAACACCGTCTCGCGATCAAACCCCACCCTCGCGCCCAACGCAGGCGGCGTGTCTCTAAGCCGCTCAAGGCGCGCTTTTACGTGCCGCGGCGAGGACAGAGGTGGGCTTGGACTTGAATAGACGGACGACGGCGTTGGCGAGGACGCGGATATGCCGGCGTAGCACGCGATGATGGCGTCGATCGCGGCGTCTTCCAGGGCGCTGCTAGGCGGGGGTGTGGTAAGCTGCGGCTCTTGTTTTTGCGATTGCGAGGGGGGCGTAAATGGCGGGTTGTTTGGAGGGTGTGGGCGCGCGTCCGTACGAGTGTGAGTATGAATAGGGCTTTGAGTAGGACTTTGAGTGTCGGCGTGGGAAGCGCAGTGCTGTGGGGAGGCGAGGAGAGCGCAGGTATCCTCCTCTGCGACGATGGGGTGCGAGATCGCGCTCTTGTGGATTCTCGACCCGCGCGAGCGCCGCGGTGCGAGCGAGAAGTAGCGGCTGAGGCGGGCACTGAGGCGCGCCATGTGGTCATGTGAAGACGAGACAACGACTGATATAGGAGATGTCGGGATAGGCGAAAGTGTGCTTTGGCTAGGGTTTAGAGCGACATTGGCGCGCGCGAGATATATGGTCCATGGCTATTGGGATTGGGTTCTTTGGCTGCCGGTGGGGGGGGGGCGGATGTCCGATGTTTGGAGTCGGACTCGGAGCGTGGTGTGGAGTCCGCGAGTGAGTCGGATTTCGAGTGTTTGACTCCCATTTGGGCGGACTCCGCACGATCGGGACGCAGGCGACGAACACAAATGGAAGACGAGATGTGGAATGAAACTCCAGAGAAACAGACTGTCGATGGTGTATGTGTTCATGAATTCGTTACAGGCTGGACGCTAAGCTGTAGTGTTCGAAGTACAACCATACTGCGCCACTACAACACCATCTTGAACGCGGGATCCCTATCATCCCCACAGCCCTCGAACTGCGCATTCTTCCCATTTGCCTTGTCGCGGTTGAGCTTCGCAACCCATGCAACGTTCGCGGCGACCAGGACCCACGCCGCACACAGCAAGCCCAGCATGATCTGATGGCTCTCGTGGAAATTCGGCCCCTGCTTCTTCGGATATACGAAGCTGGCGACGAATCCTCCCGAGTTGGCAATGGCGAGCTGCAGGGCGGTGGTGGTGGCGCGTTTGTAGTGGCCCGCGGAGTTGTTGGAGTTCCAGGACAGGATGCAAGGCACAGAGGCGTACATGCCTGTGGCCATGAGGAAGGTCATGCCGTATTGCACTTTGGGGTTTGTCGTCACGCTGATCACGGCGTATCCGACGATGGCGATGGGGAGCGTGGCGAGCATGACTGGGCCGCGCAGGGCGAGACGGTCGGATAGGAAGGCTGCGACGACGGTGAAGAGTGCGGCGACAGCGTACGGGATGACGGTCCAAAGCTGTGCTTCGTTGGGGTCGGTCGAGAAACCGCCTTTCACGATTGTTGGAAGGAAGAGACCGAAAGAGTAAAGGCCGCACAGGATGCAGAAGTAGGCCGTTGCGCTGAGCCAGACCTGGAGGTTGCAGACACCACGACGGACTTCGGCCCATGAGAAGGGCTCGTGGACTGATGAAGTGTTCAAACGAATGCGGGCACATTGCTTCTCACGTATTGAGAGGAAGCCGGCGGACTCGATCGAGTTGGGCAGGAAAACTGCGGACGAGATACCAACGAGGAATGTTAGAATACCCTCAATGATGAAGATCCACTGGGGCAGGTGTTAGCGGGCATGAACGCGATGCCCTTGGGGCGATACGTACTCTCCAGCCCTCGAGACCGCCTGCTGGACCGATAGCGTTGAGACCCCGAGCGAGCAGTCCACCAAAAGCACCAGACAGCGATGCGGCAGTGTAGAAGATACCGATCCGCAGAGCAAGCTCAGTTCGCTTGTAGAAATGGGAGAGATACAGGACCTAACATGTCAGTCTGCTTTCAGCACGATCATGACATGTCAAACTCACCATGCCAGGCAAAAGACCACCCTCTGCAACACCAAGCAGTGCGCGTACAGACACGAACGAAGCGAAGCCAGTCACGAAGCCCAGGCACATTGTGAGGATACCCCAGACTGCTGTGAGAGCCGGTAGCCAGATCTTCGGCGACACCTTCTTCAGAACTAAATTCGATGGCAGTTCACTGTTGCCTGGTCAGCGGCTGGCGGTCGGATCTCCACACTGTCACAACATACCTTGCAATATAGGTGGCATAGAAGACACATAGCCCAATAGCATACTGGTGGTCGGTGATGTGCAGATCCGCTTCGAGGCCCAAAATCTTCGCATTGCCCACATTTGTGCGGTCGATGAAGGAGCACAGGAACAGAAGCGCGAGGACCGGCAGAATCCTGCGTGTGTCAGCAGGAACGCTTTCCTCAGGTCGAGAAGTAAACATACCTGACATCCATCTTCAAAAGAACCTTCTTGACCATCGCGTCATCGGCATCGACATCCCCAAAGCCCTCTTCCACCATGCTGCCCTTCCGGGTTTCAAACTTCTCATTAACCATCTTTTCAGCGTCCATGCTCTATCTCTTTCGTGCTCGGCGACGGCAATAGCTCGAGAGAAACAGAGGTAATCGATGCTCTGAGTCCCCAGACCACGGCACGGCAGGCTCGCTTTATTGCAATCCGGGCCGGCACAGTGCCGATGTAACGCGCGAGCTGTAAGTGGACACGCCAGACAAGACCCCATGGGGAGTACAGCGCGCTAGGCCCCTCTACGTAAGCCTGCCGCCCAGCTCTGCTAAGTGTGGTGGGTAGGCGCGGTGGCTCGCATCCATCGAGCGTGCGCTATCGTGGATAGAGCAGGCCTTGTGCGCATCATGCGCCGCATGAGTGGGGATGGGTGGTTGATTTGGGTCCGAGAAGCCTCCCAACACCGTCACGGTTGTAAGCAGTCTCCGCTATGCGTTCGTAGTTGGAAGGTGCGCTGGAAGTGTTGATATCGCGGCCATGCGTGGGCATGGTGAAAGGCGTTGCACAAGCCTTTGGTTGGCGCGTCAAGCTTCGAGGTTCTCGGCGGTCCACTGGGTTTCTGGCTGGGCGGCTGGGCGACCCACACCAACTTGGATGCTGCAAGACAATCTCGGCGCCAGACGTTGGGTGTGGCAGTGATCGGCGGACTGAGAACGAGATATTTGCGAAAGAGCTGCTGGACGTCGCGATCACATCTTGATTGAGCGAGTCGCACAGCGTTGTGATATCGTCTATCGTGTTGCGTGGATTGGTCAAGTCTTGCACCGGCTGAAGAGGTGGTAGTACATCGATAGGACATGAAGCAGCAGCCATCATGATGATGGGACATTGAATTGACGAAACGCTATCTATGGTATGCAACAAAGTAATCAATCCGCAACTAAGTACCCTCAACGAGACTCTCGTCCTCCATACTCTTCAGATCATCCGCAACCTTGAATTCAGCATCAGTCTTCTCCCTAACCTGGTCCACAGTAATACCATTCGCGATCTCGGTCAATGTCAAACCGCCGTTGATCCTGTCCACCTCGAACACACACAGATCCGTGATGATAGTGCTCACACACTTGGCGCCAGTGAGCGGCAGCATACACTCCTGGACGATCTTGCTACTCCCGTCCTTGGCAACGTGTTCGGTCGCGACGACGACCTTGGTCTGCTCAGGGTTGCTGACGAGATCCATGGCGCCGCCCATGCCCTTGAAGACCTTGCCGGGCACCATGTAGTTGGCCAGGTCGCCGGAGGCGCTGACCTGCAGCGCACCGAGGATCGAAACGTCGACGTGGCCGCCGCGGATCATGCCGAAGGACTCGCTGCTGTCGAACGTCGAAGCACCGGGCAGGAGTGTGACGGTCTGCTTTCCAGCGTTGACAATGTCCGCATCGACTTCCTCCTCTGTGGGATGCGGTCCCATGCCGAGAATGCCGTTCTCGCTCTGGAGCCAGACCTTGACGCCATCGGGGACATATGTTGCGGCGTCTGTGGGAATGCCGACACCCAGGTTGACATAGTAGCCTTGCTTGAGCTCCTTTGCCGCGCGCTTTGCGATGCGAGCGCGGTGTCCGCCTGCGGGCTTGCCGGAGGATGAGGGGTCTCGGAGCTTCTTGATCTCGATGCTGTTGGGGACAGTCGCGGGGACGATGCGGTCGACGAAGATACCAGGAAGATCGATCTCGTTGGCGTCGAAAGTTCCGATAGGGACGATGTGTTCAGCTTCGACGATGGTGAGGCGAGCGGCCTTGGCCATGATGGGGCCAAAAGCTTTTGTGGTGTACCTAGATATTCGATCAGAAGAGTTTAGAAGAAGTCGGTGGATTTGCTCACCTGAAGACACAGTTGCCCGCCTCATCGGCCTTGTGCGCCCTGATGATGGCTACATCGCCATGTAAAGCGGTCTCCATCAGGAACTTCTTGCCATTGAACTCGCGCACCTCTCGCGGCGTGCCGTATCCAATAACCTTGCCCTCCTGGTCGAACCTTGCGGGAATCTTGCCATCCTGAAGTAATGTGTTGACAGCTGTGGGTGTGTAGAAGGCAGGGATTCCAGCGCCGGCTGACCTGATGCGCTCAGCCAACGTGCCTTGCGGGCAAAGCTCAATCTCAATGCCACCACTCAGATATTGCTTCTCAAGCGCCTTGTTGTTGCCCAGGAAACTGATGATCAACTTATTCACCTGCCCACTCTGAGTGAGATGAGCGAGTCCACCAACGCCCTCAATGCCAGCATTGTTCGACACAGCGGTTAATGAGTTCAAAGAATCGGGTCCGCGCTTCTGCAGCGCCCGGATGAGTGTTTCGGCAACACCGCAGAGTCCGAAGCCTGCGCTGAGAATTGTAGAGCCGGATTGTACGTCAGCGACAGCTTCGTCGGCGCTGTCGAATAGCTTCGATTTTGACCGGTCAATGGTAGGCGCCTTGTCTGCTACTGCGCTGATACTCCGCATCTGCCTTGTAAATCGCCAATGCGGTGGTGCTACATGCGCAGCGCGCAATTGTGAGGGGATTAGGCGGCGCGCACTTAGCCGGGCTGGCAAAGCGGCAAGCACCCTGTAGGATGAACTTAAGGCGTCCATTGTGAGGTGCAGAGTGTGTGGAATGGTTGCGCGAGGAATTTGGACAACAGGACTATTTACGAGCTTCGCGGCTTCGGGCGCGAGCGGAAAATGATTATTGATGTCAAGGTCCCAACCCAGAACAAGAGCCGCAGAGAGCTTCGTCGGCAACGTGATGACGCGAGGCAGGGTGAGAGCTGCCAGGAACTTCGGCGCCAAAAGAACCACCGAAGCACAGACAGCGAGCCCTCCGCCGCGGCTGTAAGGGGCAGTCAGGAGCTTAGTCAGGCGGCTGACGGCTAAGCTCTGCCGGATGGGACGCCGAAGCCGCTCATTCCCCCCGCCCAGAGCTGAGCTCCCAGCAGCGAACAAAAGAATGTCCGATGCTAAACTCGTGCGAGCTTTTCGGCGATTGAAGTCCTGCAGTCCTGCGGTCAAAGCGCCAAGCTGCGCGCACAAGGTACGAGGGTATCTGGGTATACGATGTTCTGCCTGTGTCTTGTTGTTGGTGACCTCAAGGGAAGTTCAAGTCTGGCAGATTCATCATGTCATTCCACATGTACGAGCTGTCGTCCCAGATATCGAGTTGCGGTGTCGTGAAGAAGTCGAGATTGGTCACGGTTTCGTTGACTTCATTGTACGACATCGCTGAGAACGGCAGCGGGTCTCCAAAGCCCGAGATAGATTCCAGGGAAGGGAATTGCTGAGTGCCATCTGCTAGAGGTGGAGACATGCCCAGGTTGTGTTGTGAAGTTGCAAGCGCATACGGCTGTGAGGCCATTACGGGTGCTGCCTCCAAGCTTGGCGCTTGCTTCACGAGGACTCGCAAGAATCGACCGTAAACAACAGATGCGCCATTGCGGTGGCTTGGAGTGCTTCCAATGCGCTCCAGAACAGCAGCTGTCTCCTGTATAAGCTTGCGCACGCTCGGTGCGAGGTTCTGGTTGCTACGCTTTGGTGCAGTCGGCGTGCTCAACGCCAGAGCGATGCTTGCTGCAAAGCAGATCATCGTCACAGTATTGTTCGGCATCGACTTGAGGCGTGACTCGCCTTGGATTGCGGCGCGCATGACGTTCAAAGCCGAGGATACAGCAGATGCACGGAACGACCGCTTGACCTCCGGTGGTGCGCTGGGGTGGTTCAGCAGCATGCTGTACGTGGAAAGTCGAGTGTGCGTGACGAGGATCTCGACGTAAGGAGGCAGCGTCTTGTGCTCGAAATCGCCGATGACGGACGTCCATGTGTGCAGCCACTTGTCGAAGAATTCGTCGATTGCCCTCTCGATCTCATGCGCCACCTGAAGACCAACGTCGGTGACGCGATAGCTGTCGCACCTCGCTCTGACATTGGCGAACAAGCCATCAAGATCTCGGCGCAGAGCTGCCATGGAAACCAAAGGGCCATCTTGTAGGTCGGAATCCATGCTGGAAGGCCAATAGTCGCAGTGCTGGATGAGAGGTGTCTTCGGAACGCAGTAGCTGCGACCACGAGCGAGGCACACACCTCGTTCGAGGACGAACAAGGCGATCCACGTTCTCTCTCTACGACGCAGCAATCTCTTTCCCCATGCCGAATCTGCATCGACATCCTCCAGACTGTCCATTGCCAGTGCTTTGCCTGCATCGAGGCATTCACCCCTCGGAATCTGCCTGATCAGGTCGGCATTGAAAGTTGAGGATGGTGCGATGACCTTGTCCAATGATAGGTCCAGAGCAATTGCTACCGCAGTCGAAAGATACAGACTCGTGTCATCATCGGTAGCATGTTGTCCCGGAGGCATCCAGGGTATGCTGACCATGAAGGCTAAGACGATCTCAACAGACCTGAACTTCTTGATGATGACTTGCTCCGCCAGATACTTTCGGTGGATGAGCAGTCGCTTGGCAAGTGCCGCGGTCTCCGGTAGGAACACAGCTGTGAAGGCGAGCAGAGTGGTGAAGAGGAACGAGGAGCGATTGCGAACGAAACCCAGCGTGTGAATCATAGGATCAAGACCCCATCGGGTGTGCGCGAGCTTCTGGTGGAAGCTGTCCTCATAAGTGCGTGAAACTATAACACGGCGATATACTTACTAGGTGAGAAGCGTCTCCGCTTCCTCTTTGGTCACAAGTCCGATGTTGATGGGGTCGTATCCGGCACCTTGATCAAGATTGGCTTTCATCGGCAAGAAGAACTGATGCACGTCCAGAAAGGCGCTATGTTCGCTGCCGTTGACCTTGCTTCCGGGTGTCGGGACATGGTTCTCGGGGGAGACGATGCGCAAGTCGGAAGCGCGAGCCAAGAGCTGCAGCGGGTTTTCAACGTCTTCGAGCGCAAGCTGATCGTCACTGGAGCTCCCTGCATGGTCTCTCTCGGAATGCTGAAGGACCGCAGGAGGCTTCATATCTCTTGGATCAGATCCGAAGGGGTCGCTGACGTTACCCAGTCCTGGAGTTTGAGATGAGGGTGAGCTGTCGTCATTTTGCGCCTCGCTGAGCAGCTTCTGTAGCTGTTCCAGAGTCTGCCTGTGCGATGGTGCGTCGGTCTTGCGCTTCTTGATAGCTTCCTCAACCTGAAAGATGGCTTTTTCGAGGCCGGAGCGTTTGCTGAAGACGGTCAATGTTGTGTTCAAGCTGGTGTCACATTACTCACTTTTTCACGCCTTTTTGCCTACCGATGTGGAATTCGGGAATCACGCAATCGGTCCCGAGGTGCGTGCATCGTTCGCAATTTGGCGCTCCCTCGTCGCGCTTGCACTTGATCTTCGACTTGCGGCAGTTGACTTGTGGTCCTTGTCAGCCCCAGTCGCCTTCACGATGGAGATGTATGTGTGGATGAAATGCAGGACGTACGACAGGCTGCCTGCTTGCTATTGTTCATGCCTCGACTGAAGTGTGACTACCCCGGATTGCTGACATGCGACGTTTTGGGCGGTGAATGTCAGCTGCTTTCTGCGCTCACCAACTGGCCGGTGTTGGTGTTGTGCAACTCGAAGTAGCCGTATGCAGAATCCCGGAGCAGCTTGCGCACGCAAATTTCGAACTCGATCAAGGCTAGTGTGCAGTCTTCAAGAGGGCGTCAGTGTTTGTATGTCCGCATACTGAGTCAATAGACGGCTGCAAGTTGGCGTACCGACAGTCTCTCCCGAGGTATACGAATCACGATGCGACAGACGCTAGCGAAGACCGGCCACTAGGTGCGGCCGAGAACGAGAAAGGCTCCCCCCTCCCCTGCATAGCTGCAAGACAACAGACAACATGCTCGCAGCCAGATTCTTTGTCAAGGGGAATGGATGAATTTGGTATCAAATCTAGAATGCATGCGCAAATATGTCTAACGCGTCGCCGAATGACAAGTACATGGTGAATGTACACAGGTGACCCTTGACTACAGCTTGGGCGTGCTGTCAGTCTGCTTCAGTCGCAACAATCCCTGTGGGCAGTTAGCAATGCGTGCTGATGGGTGGGCTTGTAGCGACGAACCTCTTGTACGCAGCTGGCGACCAGCTTGCCGTTGCGCGTATATATCCTCTGGAACACCAGACCGCGACCGTCACCAGCCCAGGTTGTCTCCGTCTCGGTGAAGAGCCACTCGTCTGCCCTGAAGTCTCGAGGGTTGTGGAAGTAGATGGTGTGGTCAAGACTGACCATCATGCCGATCTCTGGGGTCTCGCTCTTCTTGGGCCTGTCGCCATTGCGCACCCTCTGAATGCGCTTGATGTCTGCTTCGGCCAAGTACTCCTGGCGTTTCAGCTCTGCGTCGTCCATGGCGAGCAGCTTCTTGAGAACATCCTCGTCGATGGTGGACTTGGACTTGCTCTTGCGTTGCGGGGAGTAGCGCACAAGCTTGTGGACGCGGGCGACAGTTCCGATGAAGTAGCTGTCTGACATGTAGGCAATGGCGGAGAGATGTGCTTCGTGCCCGCCCTCGGGAGAAATGGTGCCGCGTGCTTTCACCCATTGCCTGCACTTCTTGGTGTGAGGAAAGGGAGAGCTGTCTGGGGGGTGTTAGCTTGTTGGACAGCGCACTGCATGCCGTGAAAGCGTACCATTCTCAATGGGCAGCTGCTGGCTCTGGAACGGCCCGTCGTCACCGCCGTGGGTGTCCAGGTGGTCCAATCCATCCTCTGGGTCCGGGACGTCTGGCATGGGATATGAGTGCTCGACCAGCTTCTCTCCTCCGCTGTTCTGACGTACGAAGGACATGGTCGTGGTGAAGATGACCTTGCCCCGCTGTCGTGCCTGCACGGTTCTGGTCGCAAACGACTTGCCTGACCGAACGCGCTCGACATGGTAGATGATGGGAATCTCAGCGTTCCCGGCCAGCACAAAGTAGCAGTGCATCGAGTGCACAGTGAAGTCCTTGGGAATCGTCTTCTGGGCCGCAGCAAGCGTCTGCGCGATCGCAGCACCGCCAAAGATGCCTCTGGCGCTCGGCGGATGCCACATGGGGCGGGTGTTGGTGAACAGGTCGGGGTCGATGTCAGTCAGCTCGGTCAGCTCGAGGACATTCTCGATTTGCGACTGGCTGGTTTTCTCGGGCGGTGGGCGGATGAGCGTCGCCATGGTTGCGGAGAGTGTGGGTGTGAGGAGGAAGGGCGCAGTGTATTGCTGGAGGTCAGTGTTTGAAAAGGAGTCAGTTCGGAGGCATGTGCATTGGCAGGTCGATATCGTGACCCGGCCATTGTCCAACGCTCTCCCGAGCCGAGGCATAGTAAAAAGTGGCTGAGGAGTGGCGGCCAAACCTAAACCGTGTTAAGCGCCGATGACGTCCGCGGGCGCTCCTTGGTTCGCTGCCGGCGGCGGCGGAAGGAAGGGTTCCTGTGTTCCTGAATTGCCTGCGAATGAGCGCCGACGAGGATTGTCGCGAACACGTCCTGCACACCAACACTGCGGTCGACTGAGGCCGTATCCCGCGCGCAGTGCTCGTCCGAGGTCTGCCAGTCTGCCAGTCTACCAGTCTGCCAGTCTGCTAGTCTGCCAGTCTGCTAGTCTGCCAGTCTGCCACAGCTGCCCAAAGGACCCCGCCCGCGACCCGCATCTCCATGTCGCGAGCGGCCGCCACGTGATTCACTGTCTGCCTGCATCCCGATCTTGGAGTGTCCACCATGGCAGACCACCCCGAGCTGGCGGCTCGGCTCCAGGAGCTGGACCACGAGCTGGAGGAGGGCGACATCACTCAGAAAGGGTCCGTCAGAGGCGCCTGTCCCCTGCCCACAGCAATATCTGCGCTAACGACGGGCACAGCTACGAGAAGCGCAGGACGGTCCTCTTGTCGCAGTTCCTGGGCCCGGAGCACACGGCGCAGCTGCAGCAGGACCTGCGCCCGAGCCCGCCACCAAGCGAGCGCGCCGCATCGCGCACCGCCTCGCGTACCGCCTCGCTCGCTGCCCTGTCCGGCCCCCAGGGTCCCGCCCTCGATCCCCGCGCCAGCATCGCCTCGTCCACCTTCGAGTATGCGCCCGCGCCGCCGGCCGTGGGCGGTACGGTCGGGGGGACGTCCCAGTACACGGCCTACCCGCCCAGCCAGGTCGGCCGCTTCCAGGAGAAGCAGCTGGGCCTGCGCACGAGCTCGCTGCAGCGCGCCCCGTCCCAGGGCAGCGAGACGTTTCTTCCGCGCCCGCAGACGCCCGAGTACAGCTACTCGCGCGAGGGCACCCTGATGGGGTCCAACTACGCGTTCAACCCCGACGCACACCCGCAGGGCTACGACGGCCACGGCCACGGCCACGGCCACGGCTCCGGGGCCTACGGGTCGCCTGGCGGCGGCGACGCAAGCCGACGGAGCACCATGCTCGACGTGAACCAGGGCTACTTCTCCGACTTCACCGGCCAGCAGATACAGGACCAGCCAGACGCGTACGGTGGCCCGCACCGCTACTCGTCTGGCGATGCATTCTCGCCGACCGCAGCCATCCCCCCGCCCATGATGCACCCGAGCGATCTCCCGCACGGCGCCATCATCCAGACCATGATGCCGCTCGAGCCGCGCGACCTGCCCTTCGACGTCTACGACCCGCACAACCCGAACATCCAGATGGCCAAGTTCGATAACATCGGCGCCGTCCTCCGGCACCGCGCACGCACACAGCCACGGCAGACAGCCTTTTGGGTCCTCGACTCCAAGGGCAAGGAGACGGCCTCGATATCGTGGGACAAGGTCGCCAGTCGTGCTGAAAAGGTTGCAAAGGTCATCCGCGACAAGAGCAACCTGTACCGAGGCGACAGGGTGGCCTTGGTCTACAGAGACACCGAGATCATCGAGTTCGTGGTTGCCTTGTTGGGCTGTTTTATTGCGGGCGTTGTCGCGGTACCCATCAACAGCGTGGACGATTACCAGAAACTCATCCTCCTTTTGACCACCACCCAGGCGCATCTTGCCCTGACAACCGACAACAACCTGAAAGCCTTCCACCGCGACATCAGCCAGAACCGCCTCAAGTGGCCCAGCGGAGTCGAGTGGTGGAAGACGAACGAGTTTGGCAGCTATCACCCTAAGAAGCACGATGACACGCCAGCGTTGCAGGTCCCCGAGGTGGCCTACATTGAATTCTCACGCGCCCCAACTGGTGACCTTCGAGGCGTTGTCCTCAGCCATCGCACCATTATGCACCAGATGGCCTGTATCAGTGCCATAGTATCCACGATTCCCACAGGCCGAGAAACCGCAGACACATTCAGCGGCAATCTGCGAGACAAGAATGGCAAGTTTATTGCCCCGCCTCCGCGAAAATCACCTACCGAGGTCATTCTCAGCTATCTCGATCCACGCGAAAGCGCAGGCATGATCTTGGGTGTTCTGTATGCTGTTTATGGCGGACATACTACCGTCTGGCTGGAGCCGCCAACCATGGACACTCCCGGTCTTTACGCGCACCTCATCACCAAATACAAGGCGACTATCCTTATTGCAGACTATCCAGGTCTGAAGCGCGCTGCGTACAACTATCAACAGGATCCAATGGCCACGCGTAACTATAAGAAGAACGCGGACCCCAATTTTGGGTCCGTCAAGATCTGTCTGATCGATACCCTCACCGTAGACTGTGAGTTCCACGACATCTTGGGCGATCGCTGGTTCAGGCCGTTACGCAATCCACGCGGGCGAGAGTTGATCGCACCCATGCTTTGCTTGCCTGAACATGGCGGTATGATAGTCTCTGTCCGCGACTGGTTAGGCGGAGAAGAGCGCATGGGCTGCCCTCTAAGCATCGAGGAAGAAGACGATGTGGATGACGACAAAGAGCTGGAGAACAATGCGAATAACTACTCGAGCCTGATCGGCGGCGGGACAACCAACAAAAAGTCGAAGCGAAAGAAGAGCCGCAATGAATTGCTGGAGATTCTTCTGGATAAAGAAGCGCTCAAGATGAACGAGATTGTAGTGGTGGCGATAGGCGAAGAAGCTAGCAAGCGTGCGAACGAGCCCGGCACTATGAGGGTTGGAGCTTTCGGATACCCCATCCCAGACGCGACTCTCGCGGTCGTAGACCCAGAGACAAACCTGCTCTGCTCTCCATATAGTGTAGGAGAAATCTGGGTCGACTCGCCATCACTCTCAGGAGGCTTTTGGCAGCTGCAGAAGCACACCGAGACAATCTTCCATGCTCGTCCATATCGTTTCGTCGAAGGAAGTCCGACTCCGCAGCTATTGGAGATGGAGTTCCTCCGCACAGGACTCCTTGGATGCGTGGTAGAGGGCAAGATCTTCGTGCTTGGTCTTTATGAAGACAGGATTCGTCAAAGAGTCGAATGGGTTGAGCACGGTGTGTTGGAAGCGGAGCATCGGTATTTCTTTGTGCAGCATCTGGTCACAAGTATCATGAAGTCTGTGCCCAAGATTTACGACTGGTGAGCAATGCCTCCTCTGGCAATTGGCCCATGCTAACGTGCCGCAGCTCGGCCTTCGATTCTTATGTCAATGGCGAGTACTTGCCCATCATCCTGATCGAAACACAGGCTGCGTCGACAGCACCCACAAACCCGGGCGGACCACCCCAACAGCTCGATGTGCCTTTCCTGGACTCTTTATCGGAGCGCTGCATGGAGGTGCTGTACCAGGAACACCACCTCAGGGTGTACTGTGTTATGATCACCGCACCCAATACTTTGCCCCGGGTCATGAAGAACGGAAGGCGAGAGATTGGCAACATGCTCTGCCGCCGAGAGTTCGACAACGGTTCGCTGCCTTGCGTTCACGTCAAATTTGGCGTGGAGCGGTCAGTGCAGAATATCGCCCTAGGCGATGATCCTGCAGGAGGAATGTGGTCTTTCGAGGCTTCCATGGCTCGACAGCAGTACCTGATGTTGCAGGATAAGCAGTACTCGGGAGTCGACCACCGTGAAGTTGTCATCGACGACCGCACATCGACCCCACTCAACCAGTTCTCAAATATCCATGACCTCATGCAATGGCGTGTGTCGCGTCAAGCAGAGGAGCTTTCTTACTGCACCATCGACGGTAGAGGCAAAGAAGGCAAGGGCGTCAACTGGAAGAAGTTCGACCAAAAGGTCGCCAGTGTCGCCATGTATATGAAGAACAAGGTCAAGGTCACGGCTGGCGATCATCTTTTGCTGATGTATACGCATTCCGAGGACTTTGTGTATGCCGTACATGCCTGCTTCGTACTGGGCGCTGTGGCCATTCCAATGGCTCCCATCGATCAGAACAGGCTCAATGAGGATGCTCCTGCATTGCTTCACATCGTTGCGGACTTCAAAATCAAAGCCATCCTGGTCAATGTCGAGGTCGATCACCTGATGAAAGTCAAGCAGGTTTCGCAACATCTCAAGCAATCCGCGGCTATTCTCAAGGTCAACATACCGCACGTGTACAATACCACAAAACCACCTAAGCAGTCAAGTGGGTGTCGCGATCTGGGCCTGACAATTAGGCCTGCTTGGGTCCAAGACGGCTACCCGGTCCTTGTTTGGACGTACTGGACACCAGACCAACGGCGAATCGCTGTGCAACTGGGTCACAGCAACATCATGGCCCTCTGCAAGGTTCAAAAAGAGACGTGTCAGATGACAAGCACAAGACCAGTTCTGGGATGTGTACGAAGTACCGTTGGTCTCGGCTTCATACATACCTGCATCATGGGCATCTTCCTAGCAGCACCTACCTACCTCGTTTCACCAGTCGACTTTGCCCAGAATCCCAACTTGCTGTTTCAGACCATGTCCCGGTATAAGATCAAGGACGCGTATGCGACAAGTCAGATGTTGGACCACGCCATAGCACGAGGTGCTGGCAAGACAATGCACCTTCACGAGCTTAAGAACCTCATGATTGCCACCGACGGCCGACCTCGCGTGGATGTCTGTAAGTACAGACCTCGGTACGTGGTCGAACCATGCTAACGTATATGCAGACCAACGGTGTCGTGTGCACTTTGCTCCCGGCAACCTCGACCGCACCGCTATCAACACGGTCTACTCTCATGTTCTGAACCCCATGGTCGCGTCACGGTCGTACATGTGCATCGAGCCGATCGAACTGCATCTTGACGTCAACGCATTGCGACGCGGTTTGATCATGCCTGTGGACCCAGATGTCGAGTCAAATGCACTACAAGTACAAGACTCTGGTATGGTGCCCGTGAGCACACAGATCAGCATCGTCAACCCAGAGACCAACCAGCTCTGTCTGGTCGGCGAGTACGGTGAGATCTGGGTCCAGTCTGAAGCCAACGCACACAGCTTCTACGGCTCTAAAGAGCGACTGGACGCCGAGAGATTCAACGGAAGGACCCTTGACGGCGATCCAAACGTCAGATACGTGCGTACTGGAGACCTTGGTTTCTTGCATAACGTCACGAGGCCTATCGGTCCTGGTGGCGCACCTGTCGACATGCAAGTTCTCTTTGTACTTGGCAGCATCGGAGACACTTTCGACGTCAATGGTCTGAACCATTTTAGTATGGACATCGAGTCATCGGTCGAGCGTTGTCACCGCAACATCATACCTCAAGGCTGTGCTGTGTTTCAAGCTGGAGGTCTAGTTGTGGTTGTTGTGGAGATTTTCCGCCGCAACTTCCTTGCGTCAATGGTGCCTGTCATCGTGAACGCCATCCTGAACGAGCACCAGCTCGTTATTGACATTGTCGCATTCGTGCAGAAGGGCGACTTCCACCGCTCACGTCTCGGTGAGAAGCAGCGAGGCAAGATCCTCGCAGGCTGGGTCACACGCAAGATGCGCACCATCGCGCAATACAGCATCCGAGATCCTAATGGCTCCGATGTGCAAATGATCAGCGAAGAGCCTATTGGCCGCGTAAGCACATCAACCTTCATGCGAGGGCCAGCCAGCACCAAGGGTTCTCTGCGGGCCAGCAGCACTCTTGGGCTCACAGCACAAGCACAGCTGAACAGCATGCACCTCTCTCACCGCGCCTCGATGCAAGAGCTCTCCTCCCAGCAGCAGCCCCAATACCCGCCAGGCGTTGCCGAAATGCCAGGGCAGCCACAGCAAGCCTACGCGAACTACCCATCCCAACAAAGCATCCACGAGCTCGAAAACCGCACCCAATCCCTATCCCTGGACCCTAACCACCCCGGCCTCTCCCCCGAAGACGCAGACAGAAACGACCGCACACCCACGGACCTGCGTCGCGACTTCCTCCCCAATCCCAGCCTGCAACACAACTCCATGATGGACTACTCGCCAGTCGACCCTGCAGGCGCAGGCGTCTTCGACAGCCCAATCGATGGTCCCGCTCACCATCACTACCAGCAACACCAGCGATATCCGCAAGAAACATACCACTCGCAGGACCAATACCATCCACAGGACCCATACCATCCGCAAGAATCATACCATTCGCAAGAACCATATTATCCCCAAGACCCCTCCGCCATTCCATCAATCCTGCGCGTCGGCAGCGCAAAGCCAGACGAGCCCATGCAGTACCAGCCCATGCAGTCCCAGCACCCTGCTCCCCAGCAGCAGCAACAGCAGCAGCAGCAACAGCAACAGCAGTACCAGCTACACGACCCCGCGCACTCGCCAGCGCGGCGGTACTCCAGCGAGGACGACAGATATAACAGGAGCGGCGGCGGGTTGAGAGTTGCGAACCGTGACTCCTCCACGAGTGCGGATAGTTGGACTAGGGATGCGTTGGCGCAGATGGATTTCGCGGGGGGCGCGGCGGGGATCGCGAAGTAGATTGGTGAGGGTGGTGGAGGTAAGATAGGGGTTGGATTGGGTTGGATAGATGATTGAAGAATGAATGAGATATTTTTATAAGTTGGACGTGATGAGGGGGGTTGTACTGGCGATGCTGTGTTGTGCGTTGCTCCTCTCTCCTCTTCGACGCGGGACGTTCTAAGCTCGCTCCCGGCGGGCTTCACTTGCGATACTCACACAGTAAGTAGAATCGCATGGAACCAAGTGAGTACGATCGTGGGTTTGCTGGCGTTGACTGGTCAGCTACCAGCGCTGCAACATCTCAACGAGTGATGTCGTTCGTATTGCGCGTGCTTTCTTTCTGAAGCCAGAGAAAGCCTTTCCACCCTCACCGTACTGCATAGTTGTCGCAGAGAACCAGCCCTATATGAGCAGCCTAGTTAGAAATACAAATATAGTCTATGTTTTGCCACTTTCTAGCTGTAATTATACTCATGTTGATGCCGAAGATCCCAAGCCGTGTATATGCAAGATCTCCAGATGCGCTGCCCACGACATCCTCTGTGCGATGCTTTTGCTTGATATTGTGCCAGGGTCGAGCAGAGTCTCTTCATCGACCCCGCAACGCCCGGCTACCAGCTCAACGATAGTCGCTTTTGTCCCTAGCTCTCGCCAGCTCTGATCAAGGTGCACGACGCGGGGTGCAAGAAGTTCTTGCAAGGTCTAGGCGCTTGTGCACCATCGACTCCTGCTGAAGTCACATGTCTTTTTGTGTGGGTGTGTCGAGTCGGGCTTTGCTGGTGACGTCCGTCAGATAGGTATGGTATGCAGGTGTCTAGCCTCGCGTGACCTTGGAATCGCTCCGGCCTCGAGCATCGCATTTGACATCCACCTTTCCAGCTCACATCATTCTTACTGCCATTCTTTCGCACACTTGGCTCGGCGACACTGGAAAGATGGCTTTCGCACAGCTGAGTACTGATCCACACTGGCGAGCCATCCTTGGAGCACGCAAGATCGAATACTTGTGCAAACAGGCTGCCAAGGATGGCTATGAGTGGGCCTGGATCGACACATGTTGTATTGACGAGACCAACAATGCTGATTTGTCAGAAGCTATCAACTCGATGTTTCGCTGGTACCAACGTTCGGCTGCTTGCTATATCTACCATACAAGCGAGCAACTTACGGGCGATCCGAGGCGGGGCAACACACAGCCCCACAGAAGCATGGCTAAAGGAACCATGTGACTAAGCCTAACCTCCATAGTTAATTGAGCCTCGCGTTGCTGTAAAGATACTGCGAGTGGAATATGTGTTCCACCCGGGGCATTCCTGCAATACAGAGCCAGGGTGCTTCAGCTCATTCAAATTTCCTTTCCAAGATCGATCGAGGGCCCTTTATGCACCTCACATACGTCCATATCCCGCCGATGTCTTGTATGCCTCAAACTTCCGCATGGGTCAGCCAGATTTGGAGGCTCTACACGATTGATTGCTTGCGAAGTCGTAGCAGCTGTGCGATGCAAGCGTTGAAGGTATGAAGTAGGCAGTGAGCCTCTGTAAGGGATCTCTCTAGTGTTAAAGCTCTCAGTGGAGGCGCGCTTGCTTCAGCCCAAGCCTTTCGTCCAGTGTATCTTGGAGATGGGCATCTTCAACCACTACTGTCGTTCTCGAGGCGGAAGAGGCTGAAGGACTCTGGCGGCGGCCTTCTGCGAGCAACATCGCTGATCTTGTAACCGTCGAGGTGTAGTTGAGTGGGTTCTGCGTTCTGCTGCAAGGGTAATGATATTGTTCCCCTGAAAGCCGTGCAGGACACATTGTTGAAAAACAGCTCGCCCGACCCTGTGAAGCCTCGAAGTTTACTGCCACTGGCAACGATCATCTTAAACGCGAGGTACGTACGATCATTAGTACTCTGAAGCTCAGCGTCGGGAGTGTCTTCGTAGACAGGGAGCAAGCCTGCGCAACGCATAGCTGCCTCGGACCAAGCCAGCTTCGTAGCATTTGTCGCAAGCACCAACTCGCCCCTAATTGGACCCAGATCCGAATGCCCACGGAGGCCCCGGCGCTCCAATCCGTGACTATCCGCGATGTCAAGCGTGAGTGATGCGGCATGCTCAGGCCAGCGATCCTCTACCTCGCTGCACTTTATAACGTAGGAACCCTGCATTGACTTGAGAGCATTCATGCGGACGAAGTCTTGATGCTCAGTGACGAGTCTTCGCCATTCCGCAGATGCTCTTGCGTCAGGCAATTTCGTGTTACGCTCCAGGGCAAGGAGTTGGTCCGATATCGGTCCTTGTGATGAGTCCGAATCGTCGTCGGTCAGACAGACCACTTCTTCAATCTCGTCGGCTGCAGCACTGGTGCGAGGTCTTTGGTTCCGGACATTCGTGCTGCTTGCATCCATGCGTTCCAGCGACCGTTTCCTGTTCGGCGGTCGGATACTTCGGGCTCTATCGATTTGAAGCTGGACTTGGTCCGCCAAGGTCCGTGGAAGCTGAATCTCAGTCTGTTTGCCATTCCACATGAACTGTAGGTACATCTCGAACAATTGAATCTCCGCGGTGATGTCATCGAACTGCTTTGTATTAGGGCGATTGGTCTGGTTTTGAAGAATCCACATTACCTCATTGCGATTGAGCGCTTCCTGGGTCCTAGCAAGCAGGACGTCCTTCGTCATTGAATTCATTTTGTATGCATCGACACCCCAAAGCACCAATTGTGCCTTCAGCCGATCTCTGGTTAGTTTGTCATGTTCTAGCTCCTCGCGAATATCGTCTGCGTGCTTTCTGTGTACCCCCTGACACGAGATCCCTCTCTCATCGTAGAAGAAGTCGAAACAGTGCGCACGACAATAAACGGCATTTTTAGTACTGGAGTGTGATGAACGGATCACCGGATACACAGTTTTCAGTTCTTCGTTGGTCTTGAACAAGGTACACTCGAAAAATGGCATGTTCAGAGACAGTGTCGACGCGCCTGTCTTTGTTGATGTATGGGAGGAGCGATTGTTGCAGACACGCGACGACTGGTGACGCGCTTTTAGGTAACGTGATTCATCGGCTCGTGCACGATACCTGTACCGTACCGTGTCCGTGCGCACAACGCCCGGAATCGAACAACGCCCGCTCCCGCCCTGCACTGCAACCACAAAGACGAGGCTGTAGAGCCACGTACAATAATTATCATCGTGAGATTTTTGGTAGAATATTCTACAGGCCTATGCAACAAAGTTTCTTATACAAAGTTACCTATATTTCGTGGCGGTGCGGCTGGACCTGGTAGTGACAGTTGCGCGTGGTAGAGGAGGCGTCGCAGGCTTGGGATGACTACAAGCACCCACAGCACGACGCGCAGGCTTCTATTTAACCGCAGAAGCTTTTAAGGTTGTGCAATTGCCTCTTTGGGATACTTTGAGAGCTTTTGCAGCGTCGCAAGATTCTTTATCCTTACGTCTCTGCTCTTTGCGCGCATTGATGGCTGCGCGTTCCTCTGCACGCTCACGCTCACGCACCTCCTTTGCGTTTGCAGCTGCTACACGCTTTTCTTCCTTTAGTTTCTCGTTAAAAAGCTTATTATCAGCAGCTAAATCCAATATCTCTGCCTTTTTAAGCTTATCCTCTTGCCTCTTGTAGTCTGCAACAGCCATGCGAGCGCGCGCCTCCTAGAAGGACTAAGGAGACCACATCATCGCACCTCTATAATACTCTTAGTGGTGTTGCAAGTCTAATTGCCTATTAGGTTGCTTCCGGCGCTTCCTGGTTTAGTATAGCTTCTTGCGCAAGGTGTTAAGTTCAGTGTTAAGCAACTCTACCTAAGTTAATAGATAGTGCCAGGAGTATTAGGTCTGTGCAAGCTTCTTCGCGTACTCATTAGCTACATCCTTCACTACTTAGTTTAGGATTTGTTGAATCTACCTCCAATCGCTAGCACTAAGCGTTGATGACGTACTCTTACTTGTTGATGGCCAAGAGGGCTCCTTGCTAGCAAAACAAGCAAGTATCTGCTGAGGTTTAAGGGGTGAGATACCTGTAGCAGAAAATGCTTTAAGTATGTTTTTGGAGGTAAATAAGACCTCCTAGGCAACATAGAAGAGGCGGAAGAAATCGCGCTTAGTGATAGATGAGAGGCCTTGGCATCTATCTATATAGTCGGCTAGTACGCGTGAGTACGCTGCTGCAAGGGGAGCAAACATCACCACATGAAGTGGCTGGAGAGTATAGGTTGAGTGTAGCAGAAAGATACACAGGAGTATCTTGTTCTTGTCACAATAGTTAACAACCCTTGTTGTAACATGGCTGCTGTGGTCATCAAGTATTTGTAACCTGACCTGCTGTCTTGCCTTCTTCTTAGTCTCGTGATCGAACACTAGCTCAAGCCATCTTACTCTATGCTTATTACTTATCCAGCTATTTGGAGATGACATTAGGTACACCTTTTATTGTGGAGGATCGAAATCTTGTAGGCAGGTGTCTTGTATATTGCCGCTGGCGGCTCAATAGATAAGTGAAGGTTGGAGAGCTATCCCATCTGCGCAGGTGCACGCAAGTACTGTGATCCACTCACGATTGTTGTCTTGAAGTATCTGGCGAGACTCTCCAGCTTTATAGCAAAGCCTGCTGAACACTCTCTTCATCCTTGACAGTATCCTAATTAAGAACCCCTTTTCATCCATATTGTGTATGTGGCAACTCTCAGCGCTGTACTAGTTGATTTTGGACTGCAGAAGCTTGAAGTAGTACTTGTATTAGTCTGTTGATGCCGGAGGTCCGTTGTGATATAAGATGTACCGGTATGTGGTGTTAGTTGATAAAGCAGTCTGCCCAGCACTTGCTAATGTACTTTTGTGCTACCCTTAAGGCGAAATTGCGTATTATTTGTCTTGTAGGAGAAAGCCCGCGCTTTGTTAGCCCATCTGTACACTTGACAAGCTCCTTCTCCTGTTGTTGGCTGATGTGTTGCTGTTGTGTGTATCCATCCTTATGACTAACACATACTCCGCAATGGCGTTGTGACGATGTCAATCAACTGCAACTGTATTCTTTTCGCAAGATAAGTATAGTGATTTTTTCCGCCTAGGTTCAGAGACTCTAATTCTTTCAGGGTTTCTTCTATGGGGTCCATTTGGTTGATCTATCGCATGTTGAAGTTGGGGTGCTGAAAGTTGATTTTGGCCAAAAACCATGCACGAGCCCACGTCGTGCACGAGCCGATGAACCACGTTACCTACAGGCTAAGTAAATCCAGATTAGTCCCTCCTGGACGCCTCTGCGTGTCCGAATTTCTTCCAGCTGCATCTATAACCTTCAGCACAGAGAACGGCGACAAAAAGGAGTATGCTCGATTATGTGGTTGCATTGTAGAGAGTTTCCGAGCTATGAAGATATACGACGCGTGCTGTAATCATGTACCTACGCTTTGTCCCAAACAGAACATTGGCCTTGACGTGTGCACACGAAGGTGGAGCGCAATTGTTACCATCCAATGACCGAGGATATAGTCAAGACTACTGCGAATATATATACCTACCTCCTGATGGACCTAAGCGTGACATGATCTATCGGCTGACGATGATGCATAGAAACTTGTCGTTGCAGAAGACAAAGCCTCCGCACATGCAGTCAAGTGAAGACACCTATGTGCTCATTCATACTCCAGAATATCTTACACCATTTAAGCCTGCCCGTTTGTCTGGTCTCATATTGTCTGCTAGTCGTTCTAACGCAACCATTGGTACCCAAAGCGAGGGGAAAGGCACATCTGTAGACGGTGGGTTGCACTGTTGCTCGACCTGCGTCGAAGGACGATACAGCTCTTTAAAGCGGGTTGACACCGCTGGGAACGGATCGGAACAGATCAGATCCAAGGATCAAGAAAGCAAAGTGTCACGTGCTGGTCGACGGAGGTTGTCAACTAATTGAACTTGATCTGACTACTTGGGCTTTGTGTAGGGTCTTGTGGAAAGTCGCAAAGCCAATGTACGTGAGCACATCCTGACCTTAGTGAGCTAGACCTGGAGCTGTGGTGAGTAAGTGATCTTAGATACACCCTCCAGAGGCGGTAAAAATCTCAGACCCTTATCAGTTGATATGTCTGGTTTACAGACCCTGATGTCAAACCAGACTCATTCTGCCAATGGAATACGACATATAATGTAGATCCATGGTTGCTCGGGATTTCTACAACTTTTGAGAACGAGTGCAGAAATATTTGCTGCCACGTTCTGTGACTTTCACCGACTCTCCAACAGCACATCCAAAATCTTCCTTATTCACTTCCACTGCAGAATGGCTTTCACCAGTACCTTCTGCACTGAAGGGGTCTCTTCGATACCAGTTTTCTTCCAGTTTTCCTCCTCCCCTCACACTGCACTCGCCCTCAACCGTCCATTTGCATCATACATTGAAGCGAAGACTTCAAACGCTATGGTCGAAAAGCGCAAGCGCGACATTGCCCTACTTGAAGCCGAATCAGATACCACGACTAACTCTATGCCACGGAAAAAGCGAAGAAAGCAGAATACGCGTGCAGACTTCACCATCGATGAGATTCGGGCCTTCAAAGACGGCATCTCCAAGATCAAAGACTGGACTAGCAACATCGTCATCAAGAAGCACGTCCAAATTATCTACTGGTTCGACGTTGAAAATCTCAGCAAAGACGAATGCGCGAAACGGTATCCAAACAAAAATGGCCAGCCATGTTCATTGACAAACATTTTCAAAGTGTACAACACTTACGCTCCGCGTTTCTACGCTGAGAAAGGGCTGGAATATATACCGCTGGGGAAACGTGTTTCGGCTCGCGCTGCTCCGATTCTCAAGAAGAAGAAGGGAAAGAAACTAAAGAAGGATAGGAGGAATCCGATGGATGTCCGCCTTGAAGAGCTCTTTCGCGATCTTCCGGATCTCGCACGGCTGACTCCATGGAGATCCGTGCCGTCATGTCTACATGATACGACCATGATCGAGTACCACCATGACTTAAAAACCGATGCCGTTGCGTTCCTCTGCAGAGTCGGCTCGACCACATTCGGTTCCCCATGTAGTATACAAATCCCCCGCGCCCACCTCCTCCGCCATTGCACCAGTATTCGTGAGTCTCTTCTTGAGAACCCACGCATCGCCACTATCACTCATGGTCCCGAGATCAGCGCGGAAACGATCTGCCGTTTCGCTGCTTGCATAAACGAGCCCCTGGAGACTTGTCTTCCAGACACCGTCACTACAGCGTACGGGACGTTCGAGCAGGAATGGAATCCGACGGAGCTTGAAGATCTGTACGTCTTAGCTGTATCACTAGGCGCAGGCGTAGTTTGCGACATGGTAATCAACCGCTGGGTTGAAGAGCTGCGACGTCCGGATCCTAGGGTTGTGGTGGATGAGTTTGGAGAAGTAAGATACTTCGATATCCTCGACTTTGGGCCTGAATTGCTCACATTTCTGTGGCCAAACGATAGGAGGGGGTTTGCGTTCTTCTTCAACGTGCTTTTTAGTCAAAGGATGAGAGGGTTCGAGAGGATGAGAAAAACACACTTAGCAAACTGGCACGAGGATGTGAAGAGAATTCTGATCAGAACGCTGGAGGAGGGACGTGTTATCGATCTCTCATTTGCACCGGGAGAGTCGATATGTGCGGCGTTCCATCACCACAGCCCCAAGGATTGCGAACGCCGTCTCCCTGAGAAGATTCCAGAACCAAAGACCAGGGCCACTGCCGCACCCAAAACGTCCGCCCGCCCAACACTTAACCCCAGACGTGCCAGGTACGACGATTCCAAGGAAGACACATCACACATCCTGCGCCTCACCATCCCACCCTTCGCACATACCTACAACAAGCAACCGCAGATCTCACCCATCGAACTCGACCCTATATACGCGCTTGCCCAGCGCAGCACCGACCGACAGCGCGAGCACAGGAACGACCACTTCAACAAGCGCATCCAGTACGCGAATGACAGGTTCAACGCTCATCACGACAGCGGAGATGTCTGTTACGAGAAGCTGCGGATGTGCCGGGAGACAATAGCGCTGTTTCAGGCGCACGGGATTGAGATTAGTGATGAAGAGGTGGAGGAAGCTGTTGTCGAGCAGGAACGGACGCATGGAGAAGATGGGGGCGAGAGCCAGGACGAAGAAGGTGATGTGGAGGACGAGAGCGAGGAAGAAGAGTTCTACGATGTCTAAGAAGCGATTTCTGAGCGAGCGGGAAATGCGATGGCTTGATGCACTATCTACAACTTTCAGAGAACTATCGACTAAAGGTATACGCAAGTGCAAATAAATCACAAAACCAAATTTATGTTTCGCTTCGCTGCGCTCTCAGGTGCCCGCTGGGATGCGCTCGGATGCAACAATGCTGTGCTGTCATGTCTTCGTAGTAATAAGCCCGACGGGGCGCCGTAAAGGTCATGTATAAATAACAAAATCAAAGTAAGAGGATCATCATTCATCCTTGATGGAGCAGATGTCATCCTTGGCCGGGAGGGGGTTGATGGGGCAGACATCCATCTCATCGTCGGACTCAATGGCGACGCTGTTGGTCTCCGCGTCTGCGACGCTCTCAGTCTCAGAGGCGGAGTCCTCCGCCTGCGGAGTAACGGGGTCCTCCATGACTACTGCATCTTCGTGGGCGGCGCCAAGCAACTCAGATGTGTGCTGGAAGAGGCTCAAGTCTATGTTCGCGGGCTCTGTGAGGTCCTCGGCAACTGGGTCGGCGACTACGGTCTCCTCGGGGTCTGCCTCAGAGGTCTCGGAATCGCGGCGCAGAGGCTCGTCATTGACGGTGGAGGATGACTCGAAGACAGGGGCTTCGTTGGGGTCTGCGACGACTTCAGGCTCGCTGGGCAGGATAGTAGGAGAAACAGATGCAGCGACTGAAGAAGATGCGCTTGTATACATCGAAGATGAGTATGACGCTGTTGGGTAGACGCTACTGGCCATCTGTGTCTCGGTGACAGTCAGGGTAGAGAACGCTGTGGTTGTGGCCATCGCAGCGGACACTGAGGCTGGGTTGACCGAGGGCACATCGCTGATCAAAGATGTGGCAGGCTGCTGGGTGGTGATGTTCATCGACATGAAACCAACGGCAGCAGTCAACAGGAGGATCGCCCAATTCTTGGGGTCAGCCAGCTGGATGAGAAGATAGTTCTTCAATAATGTGCTGAGTGGGATCTGATCTGCGTGTGGTCGGCTAGAGGTGTAACCGCGACGACCACGAGAGACGCTGCGCAGGTCCAAGTCGTAAGTCGACGCTCGTGAGCGTGAAGAGGCTGCTACTGATGGTGGTAGCGGCGACTGAGGACAAGATAGGTATTGATACTGTCTCAATGCCTCCTCCATGCTGCGAAATCGCTCAGCGACCGAGTTCGATTCCATCATGGCTTGCGACTCAAGCTCAAAGCGAATTGCTTCCTTCGCCTCTTCGATCTTCTCTTCCATAGTCTGCTCGAACTCGGCCTTATCTGCAGCCTTCTCTTCAATACTCCTCTGCAGGGCAGCGGTGGCAGCCTCGAGGTTTCGTTGGAGCTCCTGTTCCTTCTGCCTCTTCTTTGCAGTTGTCTCAGCAGCCAGCTTCTGCTGTCGTACAGTATCCTCCTGGATCCTGCGCTGAAGCTCGGCATTGTATGCTGCCTTGCGCTTGTCTGCTTCTTGCTCTTCGATAACCCTCTTTTCAAGAGTTTTGCGAACGTCTTCGGGGATCCAAGGCATGATCTCGACATCGCAACGCTCCATCTCAGTCCAAGCAGCCGTCCATGCTTCGGAGCGCATGAGGCCGTTGGCGGCGTAGATCCTGATATCGAAACGTCTTGTACCAGCACCAACGCCTTGACCCGGCTTTTTCAGCTCGCGATGGCAGTCAAAGCACATGGCGGAGTCTCTCCTTGTGTGTATGCTGTCGTTGTGAATGCTGTCATGGTCATTGGTCATGGTACCTCCACTCATGCGGCTGGCGCCGTCGTCAGCAGCAATCGCAGAATCATCGTCCTCGTCCTTCTCTGCGTCGTCGTCTGGTGATACGAAGTGACCGCACTTGAGCAGTCGGGGTGTCTTGAGCTCCAAGCTCTCCAAGATGCGTTCCTCCAGCAGCTCGTACTCGTCTCTGGGGTGAGGAATGAGCAGGCCGCGGCGCATAAGGATAATATCCTGTAGCTTCTCCTCCAACAGTCTGAAGTTCTCCACCAGCCACTGTGGCATGATCCTGTCCATGAGATCGTGTGAAAATGGGACCTGCATAGGCAGTATTGTGACGTGGAGCAGGACGAGGGGCGCTTGCTGTGGTGCTGGTGGAGGCTTTGGGCTGTGGTGGCTCCTGATACTTCCCCTGCGGGAGGACTGTCTTGACTCAGACCTACCATTTCGGCTTGGTGTTGCAGGGCCGTAGGCGCTCTTCATCCTCTCTCGATTGCTCTCGTAGGGCGACATCGGAAGTGGTGAGGACATCTGCATGGCGCGCACAGATTCAGGATTTCGAAATCGCGGTCGCTCTTTTCGTGGAGTGTATCGTGTGTCGATGGCTGGGTTGCCGGCGGAAGTAGGTCCCGAGGCGACTGAGCCAGTTTCTGATGGCATTGCTGATATGAAGCTGTAATGTGTCGTGGCCGATTGACGCCGTGAGTGTCCCTTTCGAGATGTGTATGAGCTCTGATAGGGCTGTAGTAGCTCATCACCAAACTCCCGCTCGTCTCGCTCGAGCTCGATGTTCGGTGTCTCATCGCCGTTCATTGACATGGCAAGATCAGAGTTGAACGAGGTGTCACCCTCGAACATGGTGCCAGGCGACAATGGCTCGCCGTACTCTCGGTCTTCGTGTATCGCAAACGACGTGACACCCTGTTCTCTCAGTTCGTCAAATGTCGTCATAATCGATTGTAGTTGCGAGGCGCAGGTCTGTACAACAGCATGAGGCGGGTGTCACTCAGGGTTCAATGAACTTTAAAAAATGTGGAATTTGGTCAGGGATATCATCTGCCATTCTTTGGGCGAACTACGGGACGAAAAGGTACCCGTGGCCGCGACCCGGTCTATGCGCTGGCAGGCTGGGAATTGAGCGGTGTAAATAGATGGCTGGTCTATTGCTTCGGGTCCTCGCGCCGCGACCGCCAGCTCCGCCAATCGGGCCTGTGCGTCACTACGGTAACTGGAAGACACTTAGCGACTTTGTCGAACCATCCCTGCCACAGCTAGTGCCTGGCCCTACTGCTGCACTCCTGCGTACAACTCACACACACCGTTCTGTCACTCGGGACAGAACAATGGCCCCACGGCATCGAGAACAGTCTGTTCAGGCGCTTCAGGTCTTAGTGAGGATCGGTCTTCGAGACTGGTGAAACTTTCGAGACATGGCGGTGAACGCTTGCTAGACTGATGGCCGTTCAGAGCTTGGTGAGGAGACAGTCCTGGATCTTTATACAATTGGAGACTGGCGGTGACAGCGCGCTTCTGCACGAGAGTGGAGAACAACTTGTGGGCTAGGTACACTTGCCATCTCGACAGTAGCCGAGCCAAGCTCTTGACCTCTCACGCTCGAGGCGCGTACGCTGATGAGACATGCACGACACAGATGACAGGCGTGAGCGTTCTTGATGTTACTACCTCACACGCACGACGCCATAGGCAAGACAGTGTTTATCAGAATTACTACAGAATTTCCTGCAAAACAAACCCATAACAAATCAAACTTTCTCATCAGATATTGCTGACGAAGGAAACGCTAAACATCAAATGTTCGAATCTATCGACCCAACTGAGCCCGTATGCGCCAGCTACGATGAACGAACATTGCGCTCGGCGGATTATCAACACCATACTCCCTGCTATCTGTCACGGGCTGCGCGCCAAAGACTGCCCGACGCGGCGTACGTCCAGAAACAAGTCCAGGGCTCTTGAGAATGCTCGTTGGCCCGAAGTCAGCACAAGACTGACGGCGCGAGAGAGAGAGGAGCTTCTCAAGGTTGTCATCGGGCAGATCGTTTTCGCAAGTAGGGAAGTTGTCGAAATCCTCGATGTTGAGTTTGGGCGTTACGGGAACGGCGTAGAGGCCGTATGGTGAATCAAGCACGGGGTCGATAAGCGATTGAAGGGGGTACTTGGGTGCTGTTCCTAAGTAGGTCTGGAGCGGCTGGACATCGGTGGCTTGGACTGGTGGTGCAGCTATATCGCGCATGTATGCCGTTTCGTTGTACTGGTGAGTCTTGCGTGATCCAGCGGAGCAGTTAGGCTCGTCGTCCCCAGACTCTGCGTACTGGACTACCTTACCCTTCTTGCCCTTCTTCGGCGCTCGACAAGCGTTACGCTTCTTTCCGCGCGCCTTCTCTTCGAGGAATTTCTCCGCATCTTTTTCGGCTCGCTTGATATGCTCACGGATGCGCTTGTCGTAGTAATCCTCGTACTTCTCGTTTCGACCCTTATTCTTGCGCCCGAAAACTTCGCGTTGGATGCGCTTGTCTGCGACGGACATTTCCAAGTCACCGAGGTGCACTCGACGCTGTGAAACGGTGACGCGACGGAGGGCAGCCTGCTTCTTGTGTGAGTCATCTTGATGCACTTCATACATGCAGTGCGCCAGATACGTAAGTGTGTGCTCGTGAGGTTTCTGGTGCTTGGATTGATAGTCGCCGTGGAAGGGGTAGTTGAACCAGCGTTCTGCCATACGGAGCTTGCCCTTGGCTGCTAGCTTGACGAAGCGCTCCATCTCAGCCCGAGCGGGAACGTCTATCATGGAGAAGGCAGCCTTGCCATTTGGCTCAAGCGGTAGGTCGATACGTGTGTCGACGCGTACATCAGCTACCTGGCAAACCTGTTCGAAGTCTAAGAACTGCTCCATGCAGTACAAGTGAGCGTACGCTGTGCAATCGTATGGGTCTATTTTGTCACCGTAGGTGAAGTGCTTCTCATCGAAGCCAACGCGATACTCACCGGTGTTGATAGTGCCCGTAATATACTTCTGAACCGGACAATCTTTGAAAGCGCACTTGGAATGCTGCTGCGATCCATAGCGTCGGCCTTGATCAGCTGGCATCTTTTGGATCCAAAGTACTACACGCTTTTGGTCATCGCACGGGTAGTTCATGATGTAGTCTCGAATCTTCCGGGTCGACATAGGCGCCTCTGTGAGGAAGTCGACGTTCTCATACTGCGTATACTTGAATGTGTGCTCACCAGACGTCCAAGAACCCAGCGGGAGCGGCTTATACTCGTACTTGTTCTTCCAGTTGTTAATCTTCGCAGTACGGGTGTCGCCTTCGGTGTTGGCATTGACGCGGATCCATGATTTTGCATCGTGCTTCTTGGGTTTCTCGCCTGCGTTGTACTTGACTGGGCTGGCTGGAGTACCCGCAGAAGTACAGGCCGAGCTAAGTGAGCTCTTGCGACGCTGCTTTCTCTGTTCGCGCTTAAAAATCTTTGTAGTCTTCGGCTCGATATCACGATAATCTCCGTCGGAGTCTGAATCTGAGATCTGAGACTCGTCGTGTTTGTACGGTTGGATAACTGATGATGAGACGGGTCCAAATATTAAGGATTGTGTTGCAGTAGTAACTTGAGCGCTCTCAGTGGGATTTGTTGCATATTGTATGGATGCATCAACAGGCATGTAACCTGTATGCTGTGCAGGCAAGGATCCGGCTTCAACAGGTAGCGTCCAAGAGTCGGGCAGGTATCCATGTTGCTGCGGCACGTGCTGAACATCTTCGTACCCAGTCAAGGCATTGCTATCAGGTAGCGCAGCCAGGCCCAGGGTACTGAAGGCATCAGCGGCTGGAGCTAGGGCGTCGTAAGTATAGTAGAAGTATGGTCCTTCGGGAGGTGAGTGATAGCCGCGAGGGTCCGGGTACCCGGAACTCTGCTGTACAGAAAATAAGCTGAGATCTGTTGGGTCGTACATGAACGAGTCGTACTGCTCGTTCGCAGCGGAAACTCGGGGTAATTCTGCTGACTCGAGATATGGTGCGACTTGGTAGTCGTTTAAAGACTGACCGTTAGGGACGCCAATGTTTGCACAGAAGGCACCGAGTTGCGCGGAAAAATCCTCAGTGCTGTTATCGACATCAGGATCGACGTCAAATTCGAACACATCTGCTGTCTGCACCGGCTCTGATAAACTTGGGACACCTACTAAGCTGAGAGAGACATTGCTGTCGCGTCGAGATGCGGGCCGGCCGGCATCTGTAGGATCCATGTTCATCTTTGTAGTATATGACTGTGAGTGCGCTTGAAGCGAAAATGTGTTGCACATTGTGGTTGAATGTGGTCACCTGCAACCAGTTGGTCAATTGTGTAAGTACTGCTGGTTAGAGCTAGGAATCTTATTGCAGGATCGCTGTTAAGCAGGTGGCGCAATGTGCGAAATACATATCTGTAGATGGACAACGCTCTTTCAGCGAGTGGTCGACCGCACTAAAATAGCAGTTCAACAAAGAGGTCATGTGCAGAATCTTGCGGGATCGAGGTCGACTGGAGGTCGACTGGAAAGCATAAAGAACCAACAGCGTCTATGGACAGCGCCTTTGTTGAGGACTTGAGAAATACATTGTTGTGCAAAGCGCAATCTAGAACTACGAACGAGACATCATTTAAGATCGCGGCGGGTGAAGACCGCGTGCCATGCAGCGTTCTTGGAATCTGTCGAGTACGTCAGCATGTGTACTTTAAAGCTGTCGAGAGTGCAAAGCTAGTATTAGGATAGTGATCAGGAGATGTTTACAATCGTTGTCCACATAATGTATTTGGAACAGGTCTGTGATATAATGATTTGTTGTTTTTCATCAGGAAGTAAGATTCGAGTAAATAAAGAATGTACACACCTGATTTGTATCCACGGCGCCTTCTGCAGGCTGTGGCCTCGAGCCTCCGGGTAAAGACCGAAACTGTTAGCTAGTAGATTGTGGAGGACCTTCCGATGAGAGATCAAGCGCGATTATATACGTGCATCTGGGCATCATGATTGCACTGCTCATGATTGAAGCAGCTGCGATGGACCATGCGAGGCCGGCGTTGTGCGCGCGCTGTCGCGCAGACACGGTGATTGAAGATCAAAGGCATCGTGGAGAGTTGGAAAGAGAGAGATTTTTGCCGAAGGCGCTAATGACTAAGCAATGCCACCACCCATCCATCGTGAGCCTTGGCATCACCTCCACAGCAGCTTCATACACCATCACTCGAGTCACGCGCTCGCTGAACAACAGTTCTCGCCCTAGTCACCCATATTCTCGGGATGCATCGGAACACAGATCGACCAAACGTGTGTCGAAGATCTCTCGGCATTGTTTGAGGCCAGGGCGACTTTCGCGGGTTCTTGAAACGTGAAGCTACGACGAAACATGACGGCCTTCGAATGTATAACTCCATCACGCTTCCAGCGCTACTTTGAGGTTGAGAGGCGAAAATCAATCGATGAATGCAGCTTCCATTCTGTGGCTCCTGGAGTCGAGGACGCTTCTAGTTTGTTTTTCAACATCACTAATGGCAGGTCGCTCTCAAGAGTCAAAGAACCCGAGGCGTGCGTCGAGGTATGTCATTCTGGCGATCCAACAATTGCCACTGAAAGTCGCTCCTGATGTCAGCCCTGCGCAGCCGTTGATCAAACTCATAGTCTCGGTATGCTTGCATGAGGCATGGCAGCGCTATGTGCCTTTCTAGCCGCGGCAAGACGTCGTCTTCCCAAAATGTTGCTTGGGCCGCCTCGTGGCACAGGGTCTGTCATGCAATCCAGAATTCTCAAGGTCAATATGCCGGACTATAGCCTGCCTCACCTATGTCGTTAGACGTTAGACGTCTGGGGTGTCTACGCGGAACCATCCAAGTTACTGGAACTCAGTCTGACCAATTGTCACTACACATCAGACTGCTACGCTAAGAATAGAGTTCAGTGCCCTCTACCACGACGTGCGACAACCAGCATCGGGTCTCGATGCTCCGGAGGGTCCTAGTTTCGATGATCCTGCTCTTAATGCCAACAGCGCCTCGTCCTGTTGTACCTCTCTGATATCTGTCTAGTCCCCACTTTACGTGGTGATTCACGAACAACATGGCCTCGACAGCTCAAATTGAAGATCTAATCGCACTGGGCAAGGCTGTCTTTGTCTTGTCCATAACGCTCGTCATCTTGGCATGGCTGGCTGTAGGGCTTCGATTGTGGGTGCGATTCCGTATCACCAAGTCCCCAGGATGGGATGATGCAGCCATGGTCGCCACTCTGGTAAGTAAATTATTATTGACCATCAACACAAGCTGATTTCAGCAGCTACTTTTTACGACGTACTGTGCCTTCATCTTGACCATCATCATGCGAAGTGGTGATGGTAGGCTGTTCAGCAACGAGGAGCGATACCTGAGCTTAGTCGTACGTCAAATTCGGACAGCCGCGCGGCACAGCCTACTGACTAGCACAGTTCGTTCAGCTTAGTGAAGTCTTCTACATCTTGACGACGACACTGTTGAAGATCTCCCTGGGCCTCTTCTTTCTCCGTGTTCTTACCAAGAAGTGGCAGAAGATTATCTTTCACACCATTCTCGGGATCAGTGCGGTCTACGGCCTTTTTTACTCACTCACCACCATCTTTATATGTGGAGACCCGGCAAAGTTAGCCGACAATCTCGCTGGCTCAGGAAAGTGTCTACCGGCTGGCTTCATCCTCGCTACAGGTTATATCTACGGCGTCATCAACATCATCGCAGACTGGACATTCGTGCTGATCCCCATTGTCATCCTTATCGACAGTGACATCGATCGCCGGTCCAAAATCAGTGTCAGCATCGTCATGGGCCTCGGTGCTGTCGGCAGCGTCTCGAGTATCCTCCGCATGGTCTACCTCAATGGCCTTCTCTTTTCACATGACGTTGGTGTCCTCAGTCGTGAGTACCTTTTCATCCAGACCTTCACGCTTTGTCAATGCTAACTTGTCGTAGCCAACGCAGTCAAAGCCACAATCTGGGCGACTGCCGAGCCAGGTACTGGCATCATCGCTGCTTCTATCGCTGTCCTACGCCCATTGCTCCGTAAGATCGCCTCAGACACACAAGAGGCATACAAGAGCCGTAAAGCATCACTGGGAGACTCTTCCGGCAAGTCGACTCACTCAAGGCCCAAATCCAAGGGCTCAGATAGCGACAGCATCATCGCGCTGACGACCGTTGAGTCCAACAAGACCTACCTGAACGATATTGAGGCTCGTGGCGCGAATGCAAGCAAGAAAGACAAGTGGAACAGAGAGAGCACATACAGTGGAGCGAGAGACGAAGATCCGTGGAGCCCGACAGTGACGATGGGCAAAGCAAGTGTGCAGAAGGTCATTAATGTGCAGATGATCGATGGGAGGGGGAGTCCAGCACCACAGCCCCATGGGAGGCGGTACATTTAGAAACTCGAGGCAACTCGCATGAGGCTGCGTATTATGTACATGTAATGTCTGTTGTGCTTTGGCGTTTTGGTATACCCAGGATATGTAGCATGGGAGAGGCTGGGACTCATCCGCCCTCAGTAGCAAAAGCATTGAATATATCGATTATAATTACATTGGAGCCTGACTATGTTTCGCAGCGAAGATTGCAGGGAAGGTATACTAGCTGACCGATCAACTTCACACGTGGGTGGCGATGCCGGTGCCCAGTAGACCGGCTGGGGCTTAAGGAACTCGGTACGGGATCGCGGCGAGGGCTCCAACACCCGTCTTAGCCTCGATTCCGACCATGACATAATTGCCGTATCTACAACACAATGCATGCCGTCCCGAGCTCACCAGTAGGGACAGCATGTGGAAACTGTCAATTCGTCTCTCTGCCGCCGCTGGAAGGCCCTCCGTCGCCTGCCTCACCTGCAATCGCGCCTCGAGCACCCCCTCCAGCTCCTCGATAGGTCCGCCCGCTCGCCAGCGACGCTGCTTCCACGAGTACTTCGTCACCCATATTCCCTCGTCCTCACTGCACCCCGACTCGGGGCCGCGACTCAACCACAAGCTCCCGCGCGACAAGAGCACCCCTCATGAGACGAAGGGGGATAGCCGCTCGCCGGCTGCGGTCGTGGGCGCAAATCGCGACATGACAGTCGTCCGGATCCCGCTGAAGAGCGCGAAACACCACTTTGGCGTGTCATTGTCGCGCGGCTCGCGGCCATACAACGAGGATGCCTTTCAAGCTGGCACCATTGAGATCCCGTCCTTCGCCAAACGGCGCCCAATGTCCCTCACACGGAAGGGCGGCACTGGCAACGAGGTCACACCCGCCGACAGCGCCAGCGGAGACCCACAGGTCTTCTACTTTGGTGTCTTCGACGGACACGGTGGGGCTGTGTGTTCTGGCTTCCTGAGGGAGCAGCTGCACGATTACCTCGAGAAGGCGACACAGCAGTTCGAGCTGCAGAGCAGCTTGAAGAGGGCTGGACCCTCGCTGCCTGGTAGCATGCATGATCCAGATACGACACCGGAGGCCCGAAGCGCGAAGGATAGAGAGAGCTTGCAAGCCATACAAACACACACGCCTCCGGGCATTGCGAAGATGCAACCACCGAATGGCACGGACCCGGGAGACCTGCCTAGCAAGAAGCGGGACGGATCGATACCTGGCGACCCACCTATTCCACAATCAGACAGCATACGCAAGGCTGAGGAGATGGAGCGCCAGCTAGTCAGGAGCTGGAAGGAGCTGGTCGGAGGCTACTTCCGGCGCTTCAAGCCAGAGCACTTCTCCATGTCTGCCGGCGGCAGAGGCCACCCTCACGAGAGGGAAGTCATCACAAAGCACCATTCGCCGAATTCTACAGTATCTGATGAGACTATTGAGGGTGTTGGCATTGAAACAGTGCTCGAGTACGCCTTCCTGAGAGCCGACTACGACTTTGTGGCTGCGCAGGTCGGCAAAAAAGAGGAAGACCCCGTTCGTGCAGACAAGGCTATCAACGACGACGACATCCTCGGCCAGCCCTCGCGCGCAGGCCAGAACATCGGCGGTACCAAGCGCTTCAAGGGTGGCAGTACATGCAGTGTCGCTCTGATCTCGACTCCCACACCCTCACCGTTCTGGCACCCGTCGTCACCATCCTCGCTCATCACTGCACACGTGGGCGACACCAGGATACTACTCTGCAACACGGCAACTGGGCTTGCTGTGCCGCTTACATCGAACCACCATCCATCACTACCTGAGGAGGCTACACGTCTGCGCCGATTTGCTGCTGCATTCGTGACTGACTCATTCGGCGAAGAGCGCATCTCCGGTCTAGCCAACACCAGAGCGTTTGGCGACATGTCTTCAAAGCGCATTGGTGTCTCTGCTGAGCCTGAGATCCGTAGGGTGGAGCTTTCACCCGCAGAGTACTCATTCATGGTCCTGTGCTCAGACGGTGTCTGCGGGCATCTCTCTGATCAAGAAATTGTTGACATTGTAAAAGAGGCCAAGACTCCTGACCAAGCCGCCAGAGACCTTACAAGCTTTGCAGTCGAGACATCGACTGGCAGCGAAGGTGCAGACAATGCCACTGGGTTAGTTGTCAGGCTGGGTGGGTGGGAGAGGAGGGGTGAAGGGGGCCTAGGCAGCTTGGGCACGAAGGAGATGCGCGACTGGAGGAAAGAGGAGGCCAACGATCCGCGCAGAGGGAGGACATGAGCGTCTGTACGGCTTGAAGGGTTGGGAAGGTTAGCGCGTTTGCATAGCTCGCGCTGTCGCGTGCCCTTGATTGTACATACACCTGCAGGTCTCCTAGCATTCTCTTCTAGCTTTCCGTTCATATCATTTCAATGTTCTCCGAGAAACGCAGTTTCCTGGCCGTCTGCACTTGACCAAAATCGTGAAGCGGCGCGCCTACGGTCCAATAACAGCGCCATGATTGGCATTGCGGCAGCCACACGCGTCTGTTGATGCGGATCAGGGGCGCCCGACGGCGACAATGCCAGGCACAAACAAAGGCATCTTAACCATTGCAGCGAGACAGAAAAAAGACTCAGATGCTGGCAATCTGTAACAGACCCTCGGTTCCCCAGGTGACTTCATCTCACAGGAGGGAACATCCGGCGCAGGGTACAAGGGCAGGCAGGGGAGCGCAGACCTGGAGAAAGCATGACCAAGCGAGCCAATGTGGGCGTGTGGTTGCCAGGCAAGCGTTGGCGCTGCCTTCCAGACGGACTGGTGAACGCAAGTGCCTGAGCCTGGGATGCAAATACTTTACAGAACTTTCTCTCTTTGACATCAAACATTGCCTGTCGTCTACTTTGTTTGTTGTTTTCGTCCGCACTAGCTTCTAATGACACCTTTGCCTCGTTGACCGGCGCTGTAGTGGGGCACGATCCGTCAGAACGAAAACTCCCGCGCTGCCAAACACGTGAATAGATCGGCCTGGCAACCTCGACCGTCTTCGCTTCAAATTCCCTCCCTACACGAGCGCCCACCACAACTTTCGCAGGCTTCACTTCACTCGCCGCACCACCTCGCACACCTCTGCCACTGCGGCTTTTTTTTATTTGTCCCTGCTGCTCTATACCCCTCTTTGACTCTTTGAAGCACCCTCCTGCAATCATGGATATCAACCAGGTGTTGGAGGGGACATTGTCTGCTGGTGAGAGACCTCTACCATACCTACTGAAGCTTTGCAGCACGTGCTAACAGCTGGAAAGATGCCACCACCCGTCAGAACGCCGAGCAGCAGCTTACCCAGGCCGCCGACTCCGACTTTGTAAGTGCCCCTCGCCGCGAGAAGGCTGCGCGTGCTCTTACCCAGACATGGACACTGACGCCCATGCCTCTTCCAGTCTCAGTACCTTTCCATCCTTGGCGGACAGCTTGCAGACGAAAATGCCCAAGCACACATTCGAACCGCCGCCGCTCTGGCGCTGAAGAATGCTTTCACAGCCCGCGAATATGCCAGATTACGTCAGGTTCAGGAAAGGTGGATCAACTTAGACCCTCAGATCAAGCAGGAAGTCAAGCAGCTGGCTCTCCGTACATTGACTACGCCTAACAAGCAAGTCGGTACCACTGTTGCCCAACTCATTGCCTCCATCGCTGCGATCGAACTACCCCGCAACCAATGGCCGGAGCTTATGCAAACCCTCGTCGAGAATGTCGGCCAGGGCAACGACAGCCAGAAACAATCCTCGCTGACTACGATCGGTTACATTTGCGACACCGATGATATCGATTTGAGGGATGCATTGGCACACCACTCCAACGCTATTCTGACAGCCGTTGTGCAGGGTGCTCGCAAGGAAGAGACAAATCCCGATGTCCGTGTGGCAGCCATCCAGGCTCTCAGCGACTCGATCGAGTTCGTGCGATCGAACTTCGAGAACGAGGGCGAGCGCAACTACATCATGCAGGTCATCTGCGAGGCTACACAGGCGGATGACACACGGATTCAGCAAGGATCGTATGGATGTCTCAATCGCATCATGGGTCTTTACTACGATAAGATGCGCTTCTACATGGAGAAGGCTCTGTTCGGTCTCACAATTCAGGGTATGAAGAGCGACGAGGAGGATGTTGCCAAGCTTGCTGTTGAGTTCTGGTGCACAGTCTGCGAGGAGGAAATCGCGATCGAGGACGACAACACACAAGCGCAGACTGAGGGGTCTACTGAGTTGCGCGATTACTTCAACTTTGCCCGTGTCGCCACACAAGAGGTCGTTCCTGTCCTGCTTGAGCTTATGGCGAAGCAGGACGAGGATGCCGATGACAACGAATACAACACATCGCGCGCGGCCTACCAGTGTCTGCAGCTGTGGGCACAGTGTGTTGGCAGTGCTGTCATGCCTCCCGTCCTTACGTTCATTGAGAAGCACATTCGCTCGGAAGACTGGCACTACAGGGATGCTTCCGTTTCCGCTTTCGGTGCGATCATGGAGGGTCCCGAGGAGCACGTATTGGATCCCATTGTCAAGCAGGCTTTGCCCACCCTTATTGGCATGATGGACGACCAGAACATCCACGTCAAGGACTCGGCTGCGTATGCATTGGGCCGTATTTGCGAGGCTGTTCCGGGTGCTCTCGATGCTCAGCAGCATCTTCCTCCTCTGATTGGCGCTCTTTTCAACGGTCTTTCCAGCAATCCCAAGATGGCTACATCTTGCTGTTGGTCACTGATGAACTTGGCTGACAGGTTCGCCGGCGAGCCCGGATGCCAGAACAACCCACTCTCCGCTCACTTTGCTCAAAGTGTGCAGCACCTCCTTCAGGTTACCGAGAGGGGTGATGCCGACAACCAGCTCAGGACTGCCGCGTACGAGGTACTCAACTCCTTTGTCACAAACGCGGCAGCTGACAGTGTTCCTCTTGTCAACGAGCTGTCCAACGTCATCCTGGAGCGTCTCGAGAAGTCGATCAACCTTCAGTCCCAGGTCGTCAGCGTTGAGGATAAGCTTACCCTTGAAGAGATGCAGACGAGTCTGGCCAGCGTTGTCATGGCGATTGTCCAGCGTCTGGAAAGCGACATCAGGCCTCAGGCCGATCGCATTATGCAGATCCTGCTCGGAACCTTGTCTTCCCTCCCACCCAAGTCGAGTGTCCCTGACACAGTTTTCGCTGCTATTGCATCTATTGCTACTGCACTTGACGACGACTTCCAGAAGTACATGGAGGCTTTCTCTCCTTACTTGTACAATGCTCTGAACAACCAAGAGGAGCCTGCCTTGTGCTCCGTTGCTATTGGCCTTGTTTCTGACATTACACGCTCGCTACAGGACAAGGTTCAGCCTTACTGTGATGCCTTCATGAACTCTCTACTCAACAACCTCCGGGTAAGTCTTCAATAAGTAATTGTATCAAATTGATGCTAACATGCTTCACAGAGCCCTGCCCTCGGCAACCAGCTTAAGCCTGCGATTCTGCAGTGCTTCGGTGATATTGCACATGCCATCGGTGGCGCATTCGAGACATACCTGGCCGTTGTGGCTCAGGTACTCCAGCAGGCTGGTCAAGTCACATTGACCACCGAGAACAACTACGAGATGATCGACTACATCACGTCGCTGAGGGAAGGTATTCTCGATGCTTGGGATGGTGCCATCAACGCCATGAAGGCAAGCAACAAGAGTAACCTCCTTGTTCCCTTCCTCGACTCGATCTTCGAGCTGCTCCGCACAATCCAACAGGACCCAAACAGGACCGAGGGTCTCCTCAGATCTGCTTGCGGTGTCATTGGGTAAGTTCCTTGATACAATTGCTTTAGTACATACATCTTAACCTTGAACAGCGATTTGGCCGATACCTTCCAGAATGGTGAAGTCAGGGAGTACTTCCGTCATGACTTCCTCACGGCAATGACAAGGGAGACCAGGGCAAACCAGGACTTCAGCGGACGCACGCGTGATACCGCGCGCTGGGCCCGTGAGCAGATCAAGCGTCAAATTGGTAAGTAGAAAATGTGCTCGAGTCCTAAGCAGTACATCGTTCACCGTCGTATTAGCTTGAGTTCTGCACCCCTCAATGTACATACATGACATACCCACTAACCACACACACACAGGCGGCAACGCAGGAGTCATGGCTTGATCCCACCATACCTTTCCCAATGCCCTATATACCCGGGTGCAAGATAGGGCTTAGTTGCATGGCTAGATGATCATACATTCAGCCTTTTGACTAAGTTCTCAGAGGTGGCTGTGAGCAATCCTGCCAAACGGACTGACCGCCACGAGCGAAAGCCAGATCGAATCTCCGTTCGCCTTGACACATTGGATGCGCACATATCGTTTCGAAATGTGGGCTTGGACTCGATCTCGTACCCAGGCTTATCAGGTCGAGACACGGCGATGCAACAAACATCACCACCCCCGCCATCGTTATCAAGGAGCAACGGGTCGACGCTTCATCGGACCCCGGACACTGGTCAGATACCGCATCACTGCGTCTGATGGCACCACGATTGGTGTCACCAGTCGTTTAATTCCATGGAGTCGACACCATCACCTTGAACCACCATCCGACCCCCGCGAGTTCGATCCCCGCCCCAATCCCCGGCACAGATTCACGACACTATACGCCCTCACCCTCGCCTCCACATACCGTCACGCTTTGCACGTCTCCGCAAAAGTCATGTAGCACCAGAAGTCTTGTAAGACGAAGCAGTAGATTGCTCGTCAGGAGAGTAGATATCCCAATTCATTGATTAGATTCATTCCAACGGCGTCTATACCAGCTTTGGCGTGGATGGCTATCACCTTTGCGAAGTGTTCAATGCATACTACAGATCTCGAAGGATACCCACGACTCACGTGTATGTGGTAATGACAGGATGATATTCGCTGCAGACTCGGATATATGAACGAAGACGATCCGATGGCGCTAATGCAGGTGCGGGCTTGGCTCCGCCCCTGCGCCGCCTTGTTCAAGATCTTGACCGGAGGGAGGAGCTGGGCAGGTGGAGGATTTGCAATTACATTTTGTAACCCACGGTAGGTTGTGAAAATGAAAGGTCAAGCCATGATTTGGACCAGAATGAGACAAGTATGTAGGATGTCCCAGTGACGCAGCGTATACACTTATCGATAGTGGAAACGTATTCCATGAACCCGCGATTATAGACGCGCCTAGGCATTTTACGTCTGTCGAATAGAGGTCCAAAAGACGTCAACGACATTACTCAAGCTTGATGTAATACGATGCTCATCGCTACCATAAAGGTGAATACATACCTTGGAAGCGGCGTTGGCAGACCGCGCGCTTGCATTTCCTTGCCACGATCTTCCCCACGTGGTGATCGCGTCGATCCTATTGCACACATGCCCACGGCGCCATAATTCTTTCTCCTTTAACTTGCCTTTCTGTCTCTATTTCTTTGGCAACTGCTCCTGAAGCACTTGCAACTAGAACCAGTAGACTTGAAACAAAACCTGACTTTGCGTCCAGGCATCTGCAGCTTCACCCCATTTATAGTAACAAGGCCCGCGTTCGTCCTAGCGATGTCGGAACCGGATCTCCACCATGCCATCTCGATGAAACCACATCCCTTCCACAAACACCCTGATCGTCCAGAACGTACCGCAAGCCCGCATGTGGCGGGCACTTCGACTTTACAACAAGCCAGCGCCTCCGAAAGCGCTGTCCACAAGTTCAACGGCAATAGCACAGCCATCGAGACGGCGTCTGCCTACCACCATGACTTCAGCGCACGCCCCAGCCATGTCCTGAGCCGCGCCGATAGCTCCAGCGATGTCGAGTCGCAGCCGCTCCCGCAATACACGCCCGACAACGACCCATACCACCTCGCTTCTGCTATCAAGCTGGAAGATGAGCTCGCTCAGATCCGCGCGAACAGCTCCCGCAAGCGCGATGGCTGCGGACCCATAAGCCTAAATAAGAAGGCGCACACTGCGAAGAAGTTGGAAGAATTCTACGAGGCACAGAACGAGAACATCGAGCGTCTGCTGAAGCCCGTGGACGACCACCGCCGCGCAGCAAAGGAAGAGGGCGATGCGAACCACCTCAAGTACAAGATCGCCGTCATTGGATCATTCGTAGCGAACGTCCTCCTCGCCATTCTTCAGCTCTACGCTGCTATCAGTTCGAGGTCGCTCTCGCTGTTCACCACAATGGCCGACTCGCTGTTCGACCCGCTGTCGAACCTGACCCTGATCATGTGCGCCCGCGCCGTGCAACGCGTTGACGCGCGCAAGTTCCCCTCAGGCAAGGCGCGCATCGAGACCGCAGGCAACCTCTCTTTCTGCGCGCTCATGATCACCGTCTCCGTTGTCATCATCGTCGAAGCTATCCGCACCGTCGCCGAGCACAGCGGAAAAGAGACAAACGACTTCTACCTGCCCTCCGTCATCGCCGTCGCCATCGCCTTCGCCACCAAGTTTAGCTTATTTCTGTACTGCTGGGCGATCCGCAACAAGTACAGCCAGGTCCGCATTCTGTGGGAGGACCACAGGAACGATCTGTTCATCAACGGCTTTGGTATTTTGACGAGCGTCGGTGGTGCGAAGCTCAAGTGGTGGATTGATCCTATGGGTGCGATGATGTTGTCGGTGTTGATCATCTTCTTGTGGAGCAGGACCGCGTACAGCGAGTTCCAGCTGCTTATCGGTGTCACGGCGGATACGAACATGCTCCAGCACATCACCTATATTTGTAAGTCTATGCCTTCATTCCCCCCTTGCCCTCTCCCATTATACCAAATCAACGGACACTTGCTAATGCACAGCAGCAATGACACACTCCCCCGCCATCCGCCAAATCGATACTGTCCGCGCCTACCACTCCGGCCCCCGTCTCATCGTCGAGGTCGACGTCGTTATGGACCCGGAGTCGAGTCTCAGGGCGACGCATGATATCGCTGAGGAGCTGCAGATTAAGCTGGAGAGTCTGCCGGACGTAGAGAGGGCTTATGTACACGTTGATTATGAGACGGACCATAGGCCTGAGCACTTTTTGAAGAAGGAGCTGTAAGGGCGAAGAGTTTAGATGATAATCAAGGTGACATCTGTAGAAGAGGGATACAGATGGCTGAGAGTGATGGCAGGTGTAAGTAAAGTTTTCGAGGAAATTGAACTATTTGTTAATCGGGAGAATGGTTGGAGCTTAAGTGATGAAGGTAATACCCTGCATAGGCGAAGAAATAACACAGTGATCGTTTGTTCTTTCTTGATGGATTGGGTTGTCCGTGTACCCGCACAACCGACGAGCGCCGCTGCTGATGTCTATATGTATGTGAAGAACGTGCTCAGGGGGATTAGGTCGTTATATGATGCGGTGTGCATATTGGAGGGTAACAGTAAAGCCGGCTCATTTATCGTATGTGTAAGTGTCGCAGCAAGGATCGAGGTGAGTGTGCATATCACGTGATCCGCATCTGGATATTGGACCGATCAGACACTGGCGATCAACCACGCCATGGTGAGCGGAATCGGGTACAGCTTGGAGCCGTGATTAGGGCTCCAATTAGGGTATAGCTGGATGAGTATTGGTGTATATATTCTGCTCATTCAGCACCGTAGATAGAACAAGGAACTTGATCACTTTCTTCACACTTGATCAACGATCAGAGACTACTCAGCTTCCACAGTAAGCTTGTCCACGCTGTCTTGGGTGCGGCGTTGCTGTAATCGAGCGACAATCTCGAGCGCTGGGTGTTGGGCTTTTCGAAATTTATAGACTTCTTGCAATTGCATATCTTATTTCTCATCGTTGTCCGAAGTAGTGCCTCATATACCCTTGGCAAATACTTGAGCTGGTGCCATTGTTCCTGTTTTAACTGGCCTGAGCTTCGTATGTTCGTCATTGAATACGACGATGTGGGTCACGTGTTATCGTTACAGGGCGCTGGTTTCAGAAATATGCTATCGGATGGTACTGTGCTACCGACTAAGGTGGTATCCCTGGGAAGCTTTTGAGTCTGCGGAAGAAGTACAATCTCATATGCATTCCATTCGAGATAAGATGAGACCATGACACAGTAGGAGATTTTCGCTCAAAGCTCCTGGTAGATCTTAAAGCAGCATCTCAAGCTGGGCGGTCTGTCAGCACGGAACTGTCGAAGTTGGGAAGAAAGTTCTCTGCATGTCATGTGCATCAATGAGTCTTAGGTCAAACTACCACCATCCAAGCTTAAGTCCATGGTAGTATTGTGATGAAGTATGCTTTCCCTGGATTGAATCCATTCCTAAGGAGAACTTTTGGCGGGACTACTGGCTGAAACGATTAAACTCCTCAGGGTACCGAGTAGAAGAGAGAATCGATTGTGACCAGAGCTACGCACATGAAGCGCGGTACTCAGCGAGACCAGCATTATGTAGTACTGGTGACTGTTAGGCCAAAATAGCAAGGCTTCCAGAGTGGTCATCGTTGTTGCATTCATGAGAGGCAGCAACTCATTTGCACTAGCGATTGGACGGTTGTTTCCCTTAAGTGATGCAAAAGCCGAGATTCTTTTGTTGGCCTAAACAGACACTGCCACATCCGTGATGGTCAAGACTTCGTTCGAGAACGTCGATCTGGGATCTTCGATCTGGGATCTTTCGCAGACACTCCTAGTGCCAGGGCATAGCTCCTAATGATGGCAACTTATTTCGATCTGTCAATGCCACAGCGGTTGCCCTTGTGCAAATGATCTTAGTCTTGTCAGTGGTTCAAATCGTGACGGAATTGACTTACACCGCTTTCATTCCTCTCGAGTTGAAAGGCTCGGACTACTCTGTAAAACCTTCTCAAATTCTCGCTCGAAGTCACGCGACAAGCTTTTATGTCGAATGAACGTCCCTTTCCTCGAGAGGAACCCAGTCAGCTCTTAGTATACTGAGATACATTCTTCGACGTCCATCTCAAGTCTGCCGAGTAGAATTGCGATGAGCCTTGGAGTGTTGGTTTTCGGCTGGTCAGAATCAGCTTCGCATACTCACCCTCCGGTATCAATACCACATTTGAGATCGAATACCTCCCATGGCTTGACTGGAGATAGGCCAAGCTCTTGGCGTATCCGGTTCAGGTCTCTCATCATTGTTCGGAGGATATACAAAAGTGAGATATTACGCACTCCGCCCCCCATGATCAAGCGCGAGAAGACACACAGCCCCAGTCGAGGGGTCCTCAGGGGACGTTTGTGCCATTGAGTATGATCGGTATCGTCGTTACTGGGTCGGTCCTCCCAACGCAAAGTTGGAACAAGGCTCAGGGCTGATAACAGAGATGGGCTGGGTTACAGTGATGAAGTTGCTAGGCTAGATGCTGCGGATGATTCTAAGCGCTAACAGAGGTGGCACATGCAGGGATACGCCACCTTCGAAGACCATTGGTGTTGGCATTCCGACACTCAGCTGGGCTTCACTGTATCGAATATGCGCAAGCTTGTAAATAGGAAACGTGGGTTTGCAATTCAAACTTAGTCTATTTTACAGGTGTCGCAGCAGTCTTTTGGGATACGCACCAGTACAAACAGCTACTCGTATCCGGCAACCTCAACCTTCTCAGGGAATGCAGGAGCGCCCAAATTCGAGCTACACGCCACTTTCCAATTCTTTGGCGTGATCTTATCCACCACACCTTTGAATGTCTCTAGAGTGCAGAACGTTGTGTCACCGTCGAGGTGCTTGCCGTCCGCTTTGCAAGCCGGTATTTGCACAATCTTGTCATTGTACCGCACACGAACGTAGTAGCCTTGAAGCTCCTCACGCTGAGCAGGGGAGAGTTCGGAGAAGGGCTTGCGAGCGATACCGCCGGGTTGAGGAGCGTCATAGAGAGTTGTGGGGTTTGTGCGGCCGAAGAGGGACGACCACCAGCTCTGTGCTTTAGGAGGGGCGGACTGGCTGAGTGTCGGCGTTGTTGATCTCGACGGTGTGGCAGTGTTCTGAGCTTTGAAGAGCTCGAAGGCGATATGGCTTGTGAAGGGCGGCCACTTCTCATTGTCGAATGCACCGAGAGACGTAAGAGCTGCCGCAAGAGTAGTGTCGTGACAGCCTGAGAGAGCCAACTTGGTTTTTATCTCGCCGCCGCGACCGTGACCCAGTGCGCCAGAGCTGCCGCCTACCTCAAGCAGTCCATCACGTCCATTCTTCTCGACGCTACCGGTCATGCGGGAGGCGATATCGCCTAGGAGAGCACCAATTCCAAGCATACGGTATTCAGCTGACTCAGTGTAGCCTTTGAACCACTCCTCTACAGCGATCTTGTCGATGATTGCGCGCGCTTTGGGGTCGTAGAAGTCTTTCGGTAGCCTAGTCGCTGTGCCGTGAGCATCCGTGGCGTTGATTGTGTCCATGATACCTGAAAGCCTTGGATGAGAATCAACAGCTACTTTGGCCTCGTCTGGCATGTATTTTGAGATGAGCTTGGAGAGGTACTGCATGTCCTCGGTATCGTTCCAGATCTCAGCTGTTCGCTGGGCAAAGGCTCGGCTGAGCTGGCCAAATCGTCTGCAACTGGCATCATTGGGAAATAGCGTCTCATCAGCGGGTGATCTGGTAATGATAGTGGGAGGAGGAAAGTCAGCCGTTCTTGCAGAGGGCGGGTAGAAGCCCCAAAAAGCTTGCTGGACGGACTCGAGAGCTCTTGGGATAGGTGTAGCTCGCAGGTAGATCATATCGCTGTCTGCAATGAGCTTTGGCATGAACTGAAGCTGATCAACGTAGAGGTGACGAAGGCGCTCGCCCAAAGCCACGGTGGTCTGGCGACCTTTGTCGGTGAGTTCGCCTGGTTGGCAGACCGCATCAAACTCGTTGGCCGGCCCTGATGCGATCACTGAGGGAGATTAGCGTCTGGGGTGAGCTTTAAAACAGAACTTTGAATACCGGGTCCATCATCGACGCCAAAGGTCTCGATTCTGCGGCGGTACTTCAGCTGATCCCATTGTGTGAAGTCCTTCGTGCTCATGATAACACTTGACAATTGGCGTGCGGCATTGCAGTATGGCCAGTCTGTTTCTATCAGTGACTTCTCTTGAGGCTGAGAAGTCGGTCACTATCGACATACATGGCTGCAGACCGGTCTATGTTGAAGTCAGTACTCTGATAGTGAGGCCACCATAAGATTCGCTCACATTCTGGAATCGCGGTGACACAGGAGTTCGTTCACCATGGCGCAGAAGCTACGAAACTGTCAGTCTGAGCCATGTTAGATCCAGCGCACTCTCACAATCTGAACAAGCTGCAGTTCCAACTCTTTGGGATACAACCTGTCGAGTTCCTCCTGTGAGTAAAAAGCTCTTGGGATATGGGTCGTCATAATGCTTGAAATAAGGCGTCAACCAGGCAGTAAATAACAGAGATTCAGAGCAAATGCGTCGTGCTCTTACGCGGAATACACAATTGATGCTTGTTTGTCCACAGATTTCGTGAGCGTTGGAGTCAACTAGTCGTACCGACACGTGACGACGTCATTCGCCGACGCCGACGGAGCTTTCCCCTTTGAGTTGGCGGATCCAGATGGATTTTGGAGATGCGGCTCCATGCCTCACCAACCACTCCAGCCTGAGTCTTGCAGGGAAGGTCATTCTCAGGGCGTTGACGCTTGTGACCGAGATGAGTAGCCGATAGACTGTACATTACTGTCAGCATGGAGTTCAATGCCAAGATAACGAAGCTAATAACGCTTGCAGTATTTGTTCCTTCTATTCTCGAGTCGACTATTCGTCATGCTGGGCTCTTACGTCTGCCGCCAGTGCAGAGCGCGCTTGAATTCTCGCCGTGTACCTTCCAGAGTGCTTCAATGGCAACCACGCGCCACGTTCATCTCTTTGCGCGGCAAGCAGCCAGCGAACGACACTGCGCCGACCAAGGCGCCGACACAGCTGGACGACGCGATTGCGACAGAAGACGACCAGCGACCTTCTTACAACCTGTTCGGCCAGACTCAAACAAGCAATCAGCCTGTTAGTGCTCGACCTCATCCGGTCGGAAGGTACTCGAGGCATTTGCGCAATGAGGGGGACGCTGCGCCAGAAGATCTCAATGCCGAGCCAGCAGAAGGTTCCAAGGACGCCGAAGATGTTGGACCGGCGCATACATGGCTCATTCGGGGACGTCTCAAGAAGCAGGGGGTCAACGATGCTTGGCGTCTGTTCGAGAGGATCTACACCTCAGCTGATTGCGAAGCGCTTACGACACCATCCGCGAAGGACATTCGCGAGATAAATGAGAGGCGTTTCTTTGGCGATGTCTTGAAGCAAGTTCTCCTGACCTTCTGCGAAGGGCAAGGCGAGCCAAAAGTCACGCCAACGAGAGTCTTGTTCAAGTACGAGCAGCTCGGCATCGCCCCTCCAGGATTGTGGGTCAAGGAAGCCATCGAGCCTTTGACACATCAAGTAATGCTTGCAGCCAATGGGGCTAGTAAGACTACGCAACGCGATCTGCCCACCCTGCTATCCGAGCTCATCTCAGTCTGGCGGTTGTTCTTCCAGTGTAAAGGAGTTGGCAACGAGACCCTGGAGGCCATCAGCCCAAAATGGAACATCCCTGCCGCTAATGCTTTACCAAACGTTTTTCAATCTGACGACTTCAATTACCGACTGCAGGATTTCCACCCCAAGGCTGTTGGTAGTCCCACCCTGGGTTTCTGCGCTATTTATCTGTTCAACCTCTCTGCAGCTATAAACGCCAACGAACCTCTCAAGACGCAAGCCGCACCGTTCCTAGATCTGCTCACACGTGTTCTTTCAGGATCACGAGCAAACTCTGTGTTGAAACATGTAGCCTTTTCAGCAGCCTTCAAAGCTCTTCCTCTTCCTGAAGATGTACAAGTTGAGATCACAAAGGAGATCGAGTTCGCGCCTAGAACAGCGCTGAGTGCGTTGGGGCGACAATTACCCAACCTTAATGCAGAGCAGCACAGAACCGATAGGCCACATGCCACGACCGATCTGGAGTCGTTCAACCTCAAAGCTATAGCGCGTGCCGTCGAATCGAAGACATCGCCTGTGGTCCTCGAAGGCCACTGGAAACGCATCGTGAGGGATTACACCCAGGATGGCAACACCTCAATACCACCAAGCATCTATAACGCGTTCCTCTCCGGGTATTTGATCCTGCGACAAGCTCCACGATCCGTCGAGGTTTGGAACCATATGATGACACATGGTGTCGAGCCGCAGCTGCCAACATGGGTTGCAATGCTGACGGGTTGTGAGAAAGCAAAAGATCTGGACGGCTTCAATGCCATGTGGCAGCGTATGTTGAGCTCGGGGGTCGAACCAGACGCTTATGCCTGGAACACACGGGTACATGGCTTAATGAGTTTCCGTCAGATCGAACTCGGTCTCAGAGCTCTTGACGAGATGGGTAATAGGTGGCGTTCGGCGGAAACAGTTAAAAATGCTGCTCTTTCGAATTCCAAAAACTCCAAGGGCGCCAAAACTCCTCTCACCAACGCGAAGCTGGTCAATAACTGCCCCAAGCCAACCGTAGAGGTTGTCAACGGTGCTATATCTGGTATCGTTCAGCTCCCACAAAGCGCTCGTATACATCAACAGAAGCGTGTCGACTATGTGCAGAAGATCCTGAGATGGGGGTCACAGTTCGGCATCACGCCGGACACGTACACCTTTAACATTCTCATCCAGCTATATTTTAATGCAGGAGACCATGTCACGGCCTTCAGGGTGCTCAAACAGATGGAGCAGAGCGGGATGCAGCCAGACATTGCTACATATGGTATGCTTGTTACAGCAGCCTTCGAGAACGGTTCGCTTGACAGCCTGTCCGAGCAAGATCAAGCAAATCGGCTCACCAAGATGTTCGAGGAGCTCGAAGCTGGTGGTTTGCGTCTGAACAATTACATCTACGCCACAGCCATCGACCGCCTGTTGAAGCACTACAAAAGCCACAACGCTGTGCGTGTGCTCATCGACCACATGCGCAGCCGCAACCTCTCACCTTCCGCGTACATGTACACATCACTCATCACATACTATTTCCAACAGAGCCCTCCAGCCATCCAGGCCGTTGACTCGCTTCTGCAACAGATCTTCGACTCGCCGCACTCAGACACCGACAAGGTCATGTTCGACCGCGCTATCGAAGGCTTTGCTGTACACGGCGAGGTGGGCAGAATGATGAGCGTGCTCACACGCATGTCCAAGAACGGCAAGCACCCGGGTTTCCAAGCACTCACAGCTGTCATCAGGGCGCTCGTTGCCGTCGGCGATGTCGATCGTGCACGCTTCATCGTGCGCGATGTGCAGCGAGGTGAGGGAATTGCACATGGCGGCGTCACTGGCGCTTTTAACGATCAGAAACACTTTTTATTCGTTGCGCAGAATCTGGGCATCGGTGTCGACGAGGAGCGCATGGGAGACATGTTCAAGATGGAGAGGCGAGTCCTGGATGAACAGATCGAAGCACGGATGCAACAAGAGAAGGAGGCAATTGAGAGGCAACCTGAACCGATAGCGCATGAGCAACAGGTTGGTACGTCATGGCCACCAGCACCTGTATCCGCTTCCTTTCAGAGGGAACCAGAGCAGCGCGCCACTGAGGTGCGCGACCTAGGTCCGCCAGAGGAAGAAATCCACAGCTTCCTCGTCAGTGACGCAGATACTGGCAATGGACGATGATAGCGGCCTCGTCAGCTCGACGTAAAGCTCTGCAAGGGTTAGAGGCAAAGCCGCAGGCCTCGTGGCGCGCAATAAGCCACACCCAATCTGTACCCATAGCCGGCATCCGCTGCCAATCTTATGTACAACGATCACAAACTTCTGTACGAAGTACAATCCCATCGTACATCGAACATTCCCTTGGCAATGCTTCGATCCCTTATGCGGACAGCGCAAAGCATGACACGCCGATGTCGCACCATAGGTAGGGCGTCGTGCGAGCGAAATGTCGGGTTTGAGACGCTTTACGCGTCAAATTGCGATCTGGAATTTAAGCAGTCTGGCCCTCGTGTCCCTTAGCACTTCATAGGAGCGTTCCGGCGCGCTACCTAGTAGGCTAACCTAACCTGCAACTGGCGTGCTTTCTGGCATGAGACAGTTCTGCTCAGACTTCGCATATGGAAATACCGCAAAGCAATAGGTAGTAAGCCAGCTACCAGTCCATGGACACTTGGAGAGCTTTCTGGGTGACGAAAAAGGCCTGCGGCTGGTGAAGCGTCTTGAGGCCGCGCGGTCGATACAATGGGTGCTATTGCTCGCTCTAGAGAGCGTCGGGTAAACTTACTTTTTGTCCCACTGCCGAATGAAGAGGACAACGGATGTGTTCCGAAGGTGTCCAAAATCCCGCGACCAAGGTCCGCTCTCCAAGTCTGCCTACCAAAGGAAGTGCGTATCGTACAAACCAGGCTCTCCTTTCTTGCGTACGCATTATGTCCTTGCCGCGAGACTATTGGTGCGACTGGCACAGAAGTATGAGAACGGTCTAGACGTGTCTGTCTGAATGGTTCAGGACGATCTGGTATCGGTGCAATGGTCCCACTGCCGCGTAGGCTTCATGCTGGTGATTGTCCCCCTTCATCGTTTCTGTGAGGCAACTACAATGTGAATGTTTGGTGGAGCATTGAACCGAGACTTGAGGTGTGTACCTGGTCCAGCTGGAGTGTGGAGAAGGGGAGGGATCGGCGAAGGAAGGATAGCAGTTGGCGAAGGGATGCTGGTGGTGAGATAAATGGAGATATAAGGATTGGTGAGGGTTGACGGGTCGAAGGTGGGCCGGTTGCAGACTGCGGAAGGACGCAAAAAGGGTGCAGGAAATGTCTTGGTTACCTTGTCTTGTAATGCTGCTGACAAGATATTTATTACCTGCCACCGCTTTCAACCCTGCGTACTGGCCGCTGTCTGGAAGACACGCAGCTTCGTGAAAGCTTCGTTCACTAGCCAAGAGAGCTGTCGTTTTTACAGTTCACGACTGCCCTGACGCAGCCTTACAGTCGAGAAGTGAGATTAGTGTCGGCGAAGTTAAAGTCTACCCGCCAACAGCTGCCAATTGTCGATCGAATTGTATGGACAGCTGCTTGTTAGGCGCAACAGGCAAAATAGCGCGAGCATAAACCCATCTGCAATCCTTGAAAGCTGACTTCCTATCTGGATGTAAGTTCAAGGATAAGACCTAGCTTGTGCTTGGCCTTCAGGACCAGAACAGTGGCGCAGCGCCTCAACGTTGATATCGGGAACCATGACCATCACAATGAAGGCATGGATGCTGATCCTCCCCCCTGAGTTATCGACTGAATGCAATGGGTCAGTACCTAGCGCAAAGAGAGACTTGCGGTCCACGAGCGTTTGTTGCTATGCAGTGACAGCTCTGACGTCCCAGCGCCATAAAATTCGCGCGTTTCATAAGCGCCATATTCTGGAATTGAGCGCCAACAGCATGTCTTGTGAATTGACGGAGTGCGAGCGCTTAGGTTATGCACGTTTCGAAAGTTCAGTACGTCTCGAACTCTCTAGCTTGAAAATCATGCTTATGAGATGGTCCTGGAGCGTAGCTGTTATAATCAAACTTTTTCGAGATGGGCTGCAAGAAATATCTCAGTTGGTGGCATTTTCAAAGTAGGCCCGGCTCCATGGTTCTTAGCATGCGTTGTCCCAGGCCAAAGTTTTCCGGGCCGAACTAGTACGAAGTAGAAATCGAGGTGTTACTGCGGGTCAACATCGGAAGAGCCAGCAAAAGTGACGGCATAGGTTCCGCTCCGGCAGTGAACAACAACGCTCTTGTCTTGAAGCGTCAGATGGTAAGCAGAAATTTTCGGTCGATGAGAACATTAAGGTATGGAGACCCATCTTGGAGTTGATGATGATATCTCAGGCCTGCTGGTCTAGTACCTAATTGCCGCATCTGGCTGTACGAAATCACGTGATGTATCGGATAAGAAAACATCCAGCAATTTCATATTGTGGCAGAAGGTCTTCACAACGGCGCGTTAATGCAAGGAAATTGACGAATGAGAGCGGCGTCGCTGCAATGCGCCCGAGAAACGCGCACAGCCTCAGTTGAGCGACGGTGGTTCGTCCGCAGGCCATCGGTGTCGGCATTTCGCAAATCACCGTCTGCATGAGTGTCGTAATGCCAGGCCTCGAAGTCTCGCAAGTGTCTTGAGGGTGCCGGCGTCTGTCAGACTGGACTTCGGGTGGTGGTATTGCCCTCGCGACTTCCTTTGCTGCAGCTCGGTGGAGTGGAGAAGGAGCTCGTGTTGGAATTTGTTAACAAAGTACCTACGATAAATTACCACTTCCGTATCGGCAGGGAGGAGGCCGGGTCTCAAATCGACCATGCCCGTGCGAACGGCCGGACTGCGGGAGAAAGGAATCAGCCGAAAAACTGAACTTGGCTAGGATGAGCTTGTCTAGTCCCGAAATGGCGTCTGAGTGCTCCGCCTCCCTGAAACGCCTCACACCGGCCCCCAGCAAAAGACCGCCGGGGGCCGTCTCCTCCATCTACCCATTCTCCCTCACTCCAGACTTCACACTCAACAAACCACTCGCTATCTCTATAACCATCGTTCGACTCCAATACACGCCCCTTCTTCGACCCCGAATCAAGTACAACCTGAGCGGAGCCTACGGACTCAGCCACACATTTCGGCAAAACCGGGCCCATAAACGAGCTGACGCGTTCTTCTGAAGCCTGCTAACCGCCTTGGTTCCATCCCAACACCGTACCCCAAAGAACGTCTCTGCCTGCCTCAGGGCATTACCACAGCTTCCCAGAACCCTCCCACACATACGCAACTATGGCTACCGCCGTGCAGCCTGCCATGATCATTGCTCCCGCCTTCAACCCTCATATCAACCACTGCCAGGACCCTGACCAGGAGTTCTTCGACTTCAGCCAGCTGCCTTCGCCCACACAGCAGCCCAGACTCAAGCGTGAGTCCATCGCAGTATCAAACATTGCTAGCCCGACCAGCACCACCATCGAGGAGGAACTGCAAGAGGCTGCGAAACCCAGCCACGAGTATGAGCGCTTCAAGCAGCAGACTGGTATTCCCGCTGGCTCTATCGCTTGTCTGAACGCCGGCTTCAACTCTGGCTACCCCGTCTTCTCGTCATCAGGACTTGACATGATGGGCAACGACTCGATGATGGAAGGATGGAACAGCGGCATTGGCATGGACATAAACATGGCCATGGACTACGCGCCAAACAACTATATGTCTTACAAGAACGACCAAGACGACTTCGTCGACCCCAGCGCGATCCAGCAAGAGGAGGTCCCAGCCGTCAGGCTCTACCCTGGAATGCATCAGCAGCAGGCTGCTCTTGCCAAGGCACAGCAACAGGCGCAGCAAGCGGCGCAACAGCAACGCCAACAGCAGCAGATCGCACACCAGAGGCAGCAGGCCCAGTTGCACGCTCAGCAGCAGCAGCGTCCTGCATCGCGCAAGATATCGAGCCCTCTCAGTGATGAGCGCACCGAGGCGACCATCCAGCGTGTTGTTGCCCAGATCCGCGCAGACAGCCAGAATGCTGCTCTCGCATCACAGGACCCTAACGGTAACGTCCTGCCTCACATTATTCGTGCCAAGAAGGATGAGGACGACATGGATGAGGACGAGCGTCTGCTCGCTTCTGAGGAAGGAAAGAAGCTGTCTAGCAAGGAACGCCGTCAGCTCCGCAACAAGGTCTCTGCCCGTGCTTTCCGCTCGAGGAGGAAGGGTAAGCGTTTCTGTCATCACTATCTTGGATTATTCTAACACGCTACAGAGTACATTGGCCAGCTCGAGGGTGAGGTCGCCGTGAAGGTTCAGGAGGCTAATGAGCTCCGCAACCAGAACAATGCTTTGATGGAGGAGAGCCGCCGCCAGCAGGCTTTCATTGAGCGCCTGCTTAGGCACCAGGCCTTCAACCCCTTTCTTGAGGAGCTCGTCAAGGAGCAGCAAGACATGTCTGCCCCGGCTCCCCTCGCTTCCATGCCTTCCAGCTCGACCCCTGCGGCACCTGCCCCGGTCCCAGCTCCTGCCCAGTTCCAGTTCTCCCAGCCCGAGAACACCCATGTTGGCATGACCATGATCCCTGAGACTCAGCTCGACTTCTCGATGCTGAACATCAACAACAATGCCAACTGGAATATGGGCAACGGCTTCAACGGCTACCAGCCTCAGGGCCCCCGTGTCTTTGCTGTTACCGAGCTCCCTGAGGGCCCCGCCAATCCCCTTGATATCTCCGCCATGTCTGGCAAGGGCCTCAGCACCATCTTCGCTGTCGAGAACGAGGCCTCCGCTGAGGAGCTCAAGGCTGATTACCCTATCATCGAGCGCCCTGTCCAGTCTGAGCAGACCTTTATGGCCCCCATCGAGGAGGCTGATGCTGAGGATGAGGAGTACGATCTCTATCGCTCTTCCCCCGCCCCAACTGCCGCCCCAACTGCACCTGTTGAGCTTACTTTCACCATGGAGAAGGCCAGCCGCTACACATTAGTCGTGTCTGACGAGGCTTCCGAGGCCATTTTGGCAGAGCGCCTGGAGAAGAAGATTGCTGCCATGGAGTCCGCATTCCAAAGGATTGCAGCCATTACAACGATGCTTGACTACTAGTCGTTGTCCCGTATCATTGTTTTGCCCTGCTTATCCTTGCGTTCTTGTGCCACTTTAGCGAATCCTTTTCTTGACCACAGTGCTGGCGAGACAACCTTCCCTCTTAGACTGCTTGCATGACTTACGATTTCCTTTGTCGACATATACCATGCCGTGCCTATTGTGGGCCGCTGGCAGCTGGCGTTGATTTCTGATTTAATATTTCCTTGGTCTGGGTGCTACTGCCGCCCGTTGTGGGTGGCTGAGCTTGGTTTCGGACGGAGTTCATTACTTCAATTGTAAATATACATTGGACTGGCGTTGTGCAAAAGCGCAGGCTGGTTCGATTAGGCTGGATTAATCAGTAACATATCTACCTGCTGTGCCAATTGCTTCGTGCTCGTTCCTGCGCACTGATCTCCATTTCGACTATTGTGGATTATAAGTTCACAACGTGGAGAGCCTTTCGCTTCGTGAAAGGTTATCCCGGTTGTATAGTCGTCTGCATTCTGGGGTGTATGGGGCCATACACGATTACCTTTCGATACTGCACTAGCTAGTCAAGGATTTCGAGTGATAACACAGCTACACCTATACCCATGGTACACACAATGTAACCCATGGTAAGGTATCGGCGTAGTGGTAACTTTTGCAGTCTTTGCATGCCCAAGAAGAACAAGTCATGACCTCATAGCGAACCCTGCATCCTATTTTGTATACCACGAACCAAGCTTTATAGAGGATCACGCAGATAGTCTTCCATGCGCTCACTGTGTCCGGCCTATTGCGGCAGTATGGACATTTGAATGATCCATCGGTGCAATCTCCAGTAGCAAAAGAAGATCTATACAATCGTGAATGGTTAAGTGAATTCTATATTTTCAGTAGCACGACCCACCGCCCGTCTCCTCAAACTCCTCAAAACCCAAGTGCCATAACCATACCAACAGCACCCAGTAGCGCAGCAGTAACTTTCACCCGAGAGCTGCCGCTGCTCTTCGCCGCCTCCTTTGCCGCGTCCCCCTTGTTGTACCCGTTGCTCCCCGCAATCGCAACCACAAACCCGTTGTCCGTGTACCCGCTGTTCACGGTGTTCTGCTTCGTGACCGCATCGCCCCAGAACACGCACTTGATCACCGTGCTGCTGGGTGCGTTTGCGCAATTCGGTCCCAAGTTCAGCGTCGGCGTTCGCTCGAAGAAAATATTTACCGCAGTGCAGCCGTTCTGGGCGTCGCATTGCGCAGTACAGTTCGACACATCGTAGGACGAGAGTTCGGATACGCCCAGGTAGGTCTTTGCTGTTGTGCTGGCGTGTAGGTTTGTAAATGCTGCAGTGTAGTTCGTCGGTGTTGTTGCGCTCTTCGCGGCGTCCGCGAAGGGCTGGTACGATAGGAAGGCCGAGGATGTATCAGGGGAGGGTACGGGACCGGCGCCGCGTGTGCGGTTTGTGCAGGTTGCGTTGTCCTGACGCTCGACGAGGATTGCGGTGCGCTTCAGGATCGCGGGTGTTTCGCCTGCGGCCGCAGCTGCAGCGATGGAGGATGTTGCGCTGGAAGCATCGTAGTTGAACGCCGAGGGCGCGGCAAGAGGGTCGACGGAGAGATTTGGGGTTGGAACGGCGAGCGCGGCGTCGATGTTGATTTGTTGGGCGGATGTGAGGGCGAGGGCTGCGAGGAGTGACGTTCGGGTCGATGAACGCATGATTATAACAACAAGGTGATTATTGATTAGATAAAGGCAGATCGATTGCTGAGAAGAGAAGAGAAGATGCGACCCTCAAAGACCTAGAGAAGATGCAGAGAAACAGAACAGAAGAGAAGCGCCCACGCCGAGCTGAAGGATGCCGCATCAGCCATATCGAAGGCTGCTGTCGAGACCGCTTGGGTATAAAACAATGGTACCTGCGTCTTGCCCGTCCCTTTCGAGTATGGTTCCTGGCTGAAAAGGGCGGTTGAGACCTGATAGCGTGCGTTGGCGCTGCGTTCTGGAAGCTAAAGTCAGTGGCCGCGGCGCCACAAACTTGGAATCAGAGCTGAGGCTGGAGCGCAGGAGATAAGATTTTCGGTCTGTGGGAGTCATTGTGACTGCAACCTTCTGAAGTCTTTGGTAAGATCAGAGCAAAGCTCAGCTGCTTCGGACTGATATTATGCAGATAGAAGAGGAGTGTGAGAGTCGAGTGGTGTTGAGATTTAGTTCTATGCGGGTGATCGACCGCCTTGCTGGGAAGTGCCTGTGCGCTGAACCTAAACTTAGCAGCCTTGCCCTATACCTGTGTTTCTCATGCCACAAAAACTGTCGCTTACCGCTGACATCTTTCTAGTCACCAGAAAGAATACTCAGTATGGAAAGCGTGTATTGAGTGCTGCAAAGTCATCCAAGACCGTACATAGATAGATGCCGACACGCTCTGCTTTAACAGTCACGACGAACGGAGCGATAAAGACAATCGAAACTGACCCAGGCTAGGAACATAGTACTGAGATCATCACCAACATGTCAGCAGCAAGCATGGTATTGCTAGAGCATATGAACATCTTCACAAGACAGGTTAACATGCCAGACAACCCTGTTCTTCCCGGCTGAGATCCGAAATCGAACCACCCCATCACCCCACCCGCAACCCAGCGCGCGTCTCTCGCCACCACAGCCTTCTCCAGACATATACATCGTCTGACAGAAATTCCGGGAATGTGTGAAGGGTCGCCATGGCGCTTGTGTGGCCCAATCATCGTTGAGAGGATGTAGCCGCTCATCCGACCGTGTGAGCTTTTTGGGGCAAGAAGTGCAAGACTGACAAGCCCGGCAGTGTCGCGATGGAGGAATTGAGGGATCACGCAACCTATCAGTAGAGTGCTCGGCGGGTACTGCACGACACCGCGAAGGAGTCAGAACGCGTTCGTGGATATAAGCCTTCGGTATTTCTGTGCTACTCTCATCATCCAGCCAAGTCATCAACATCGATCAGCAAGCATTCACACATAATCAATCAACATCAATACGAGAAAGCTTCCTGCCCAGAGCATACATCTCGTTCAGTAAATAACCCAGCAACCCTACCACCCTCAAGATAACGACAAAAATTCAACATGCCGGCAACGCCTAAGTCATTTCTCCCCGCCTTCACCGGCTTCATCGGTACGCCTTCCATCCAGCACTCGGCAGCCTCAAAGACCTCGCACTGACGTCTCTCGCAGTCTTCGCATTCTCCTACACATTCGTGGTCGCCTCGAGAGAAGGCGCCACCATAGACATGGCACGCACGCGGTGGCAGAACCAGCACGCGAGCGCGCGGAATGTGCTAAGTGGCGGTGTTACGGCGTTGGAAGCGCTTGAGGAAAATATCACGAGAGCGTAGAGTGGGTTGTCCAGAAGGAGAGAGACCTTCGAGAGGGGAAGATTTGCTTAGGGTTTGGAGTTCAGGTCCTGGTCAAGAGGCACCTAGTTGGTATTTCTTCACGGTTTGTTCTGGCTCTGTTCACAGTCATCAGTTCATCAGTTCATCAATGAATATGGCCGCATTCTGAAGAACAAGTTTGCAGTACATTGAAGATGGTTCATCGTTCCCACTAATAGCATAAGATATGGTATGCTCCATGGGAGCTTAAGTACCAGACCGACTACCAGAACGCCTAACGACTGATCCTCGGCCCCACCGACGATACTGATGCTAAAATATATACACAAAAACGACACACCACAATCATCGTACAGCGCCTTCCACATCCACATCAGCCCTACATCCGTGTAGCCTGGATGGCTTTCTCGAGCCCTACAATCCTCAGGCTCTTTCCGCGCTTGAGACTGCCGCTCATAAGCTCAGCAGTAGGGATGAGCGCGTCGTTCCAGTGTCGGAATACAGCCTTCATGTCGCGCGGCACGCCCTCAAGGACGATGGTAGTGACGGGCATGAAGGGTCGGTCTTCTTCCGAGACGGCGAGGATGCCATACTCTTGTGCGAACATGAGCGCTGTGGAGAACGCAGGGGCTTGGCTGCGTGCTAGAGCGCCGACGATACTGCAGCAAATTAGCATCTGGTCCAGGGCGTTGAAGGGTGTGGTCAAACTTACATGTACATCTCAAAGAAAGCATCCAGCACATAGATGTACTCTGGCTCCAGGTCGCGCTGGCAGAAAGGCATAATCTCCACGGCCTTCGTCGTAACGCCCGGCGGCAGTGGGCTCTTGGGGGTGGTAGGCGTCTGTGGGCCGAGTTCAGCGTGAGCCCCAGTAGAAGTGGGAGAGAGCGACTGCGCAAACGAGCTGCGGCGCAGGTTCGCGAAGAAGGAACCCACCTGCAGACTTTGCCCCCATCCTCCAGAGGCCTCTTGTTGCTGGTCTATCTTGTACAGCCGTGCACGGTAGCGGTCTGAGGTGGCTTTGTAGCGCCAGTGATCGGCGGAGCGTGGGATTGCAGGGCCTTTGTGAGAGGGTGGCGGAAAAATGTTGATGAGGTGCTGGGGCTCGGAGCCTTCGTTGATTTCTTGGAAGTCGCCCGTGGGCGCGAGGTCCATGCCCATCAGGCGCGCACCGGAAAGTTCTTCTGCTGAGCAACCGCGACCTTTCCAGAGGTATATCTTGCCAGAAGCGGTAGAAATAAGATAGACAAACGCAGAGCAGAAGCTCTTCAGCGCAAAGTCAACCTCGTCGAAAGCAAGGTGACCAAGGTGACGGCGGCCGCACAGCATGAATTCCCTCGATGCTGGATTAGATCCGCGTCTGGTAATGACAATGCCTCCGAGAGCGTCGAAGAAGTTGGGCGGCTCGTTGCCTTGACGAAGGACGAGAAGTTTTGCTTGCTGTTGCTTTGCGTGGCTACTCGCAAACAGCTGTGCATCCTCAATGTTCGACTCAGCGACACCGTTGCCAGCCCACAGGTACACATCGGTGTTCTTCGCGCCTGTTGCCTCGGTATAGACGTGTGTACAGATGTACATTGTGTCTTGGAAAAGAACATGCTGCTCATGCGATGCAATCGACAACATCTTGCCGTCACCTGTGATCTCGTGAATCTCCTGCTTCTGAGTGCGCACTTTCCCAGCAGGACCAAGATCGAACGGTGGCGAGTGCAGCACTCGCACTGCGTCAATGCTTTCTGGCAGCTGGCCTTCTGTCACTGGGGCCTCGTCAAAGAACTCGGCGAACATGCCATCATTCTTTGGTGCGACTGGCGCAGGTGGCGATTGGGGAGTATTCGACTGAGGCTTGTCCGCGCTTCTCGGCGGGGACATTGGGAGGTCTTTAGACAGTCGGGGACTCGACTCTCGCGAGCGCGATGCAGCACCACCGAACCCACCGAACCCACTGAGACTAAAGCCGAGTCCTGCTGGCTTGGCTTTGGGCTGTAGAGGTGCTGGTGGGAGAGGCTTAGAGTCTGGCCGAGCTGAGGATTGAGGTTTGACATCGGCCTCGGGAGATCGCAAAAGACCAGCGTCCTTCATCGCGGCCTTCTCATCAGCCTGTGTGGGGAGTTTGATAGGTGATTTGGATGTTATGGGTGCAGGAGATGAGGGTTCCGACTGTTGACCCCACAAGGCTGTTGCTGCTTTCACAGAAGAGAAGCCCGGCTTTTGTGGCGAAGGCTCGTTCTTGATGTGCTCGACCTCGGGGTTGGGAGTAGGGATCTCATTTAGCACAGCCGATTTAAGCGACTCTTTCGGTGGAAGTGTGGGCAATGGTCTTGAGAACCTGGAAGATGTGACCGATGGCGACGGTAATGGTGATGCTGGCTTAGGCGACTTGATTGATGTGATTGAAGGCGAATTGATTGACGTGACTGAAGGCGATTCTATCGACTCTGGCTTGGATGATGGCTGTGCAGCGCTGAAGTTCCCAGACGCTACTCTCTCGGACTTCTTCGGTACAACAGGCGAAGCTGTCTTTGGTGTGCCGATGGATTCTGGTCGCGGTGACTGTCTGGAAAGGCTAGGCGTTCCAGAAACCCTCCTACTCAACTCGATTGAAGATGGTTTCTTGGCTACTTCCGGCGTAGGGGCCTTGTCAAACTTCGCCGGGATCTGGTGTGGTTTGACTGGTGTTATAGGCTTCTCACTAACGGACTCTCTGAAGGACTTGCTAATAAATGAGGACTCCTCTGATGCTCCGTTAGCCTTGGGTGGTTCAGAGCTGGGAAGAATTTGCCTGGGTTTGACCAACGGGGCAGTAGCAACAGTGGCATTCACCTTCTCGGGGACCTTCTCAGGGGGATTTTCCGGTTCAGAGGCAGACTTCTTAGCAGCTGGAGTTCTTCTCTTCGGTCCACGGGCACGTCCTTTGGTCATGTGTGTGAGTTCAGGGGCCGGTCCGGATGGTTCTTGCTTCGCGGGTCTTGAAGGCGATGCTTCACCTGTACTCGATGTAGACTTCTCACCTGCTAGTGGAGGGGGACCACGAGCCAGTATACCAGCCAGAGCTGGATTGAATCGATCTGCGAGCTTGTTGGGCTTGCTGCTGTCCTTCTTGGCGAAAAGGGGACCTGGCGAGACAGACTTGTCACCCTTTACATCCAGATTGGGTCGCTCAACGCCTCGCAAGCTCTTCTTCCTGGCGAGCGGCTCCGGTACAGGCTTGTCTCCCTTGTCCTTGAGATCCAGATTGGGCCGTTCGACGCCGCGAAGACTCTTCTTCCTTGCCAGTGCTTCAGGCACAGGCTTCTTCTCCTCTTCCTTGGGGATAATAGGGAATTTGGAAATGCTCTTCGATCGATCAAGCTTACCGCGGATTGCTATCGCTTCCGGTACTTCAGAAGGCTTCGAAATGCTCTCAGAGCGTTTAAGCACCGAGCCTTCCTCCTGAGCCTTCTCCAGCATCGATGATCGCTTCTCTTTCAAGCTCTCCCTGAACTCATCACGGCGCACAGTAGGCTTGGGTCCGCCGGTGATGTTGAGAGCGCTCTTGCCGCCCACAATGTTGGCTTTGAAGACGTCGGGGGCAACATAGTTCTTGGTCTCTGCCTTCCTCAGCTTACCAAAGACATTTGCGAGTTCTGACTGTGCTTGGCTCTGGGGCTTCGGGCTTCCGGACGATGGCATCTGCCGTGCCTTCAAGCCGGCACGGAAGTCTTTACCTGATGGTGCATCCGGTTTCGGCTTCACAGCTGGCGGGAAACGGGACAAAACCGACTTTGTTGGAGCTGACGATGGTGCGGCCTTTTTCTCCTTCTGAGGTGGCTCAACTGGAGTCTCTGGCTCAGGTTTGGCAGGCTTGGTTTTCTCAGGCTCAATCTCGATAGGAGCGATCTGGTCGACAGGCTTTGGCTCCTCTGCGCTCTTCACCTCTTCAAACGGCTTGGCCTCTTCCTTCAAAGGGGATGAGGGCTTTATCTCCGCCGCAGTCTCAAGCGAGGGGGACGCTTTCGCTTTCGTGGGCTCTTCCCTGGCAAAAGGGTCGAACTTTGAAGAGTCCAGTCTCAATGCATCGAGTTTGGGAGATTCGAGCTTCGGTGATTCGAGGGTCTGTTTGCGAAGTGCGACCGGCCTGAGCTGGACATCCTTGAGCGGTGATGCTGGGCGCGATCCAGATTGCTCTCCAAATGGTATCCCTACAGGACTACCCTTGCCTAGATCGATACTCCCACGCTGTTGCTTCGCACGGTTGAGCTCGGTCATCCATGCTGGCTGTGACGGGGATGCTGGAGCCATTGGCTTCGGCGAATCGGGCTTGTTGATGGCATTTTCGAGCCAGCTGGACTTGGACGGACTGAAGCGCTTATGCGGACTAGATGGCCGCTCTCCGTCCTCGCTGGGGTCCTTGTTGCTGAATGTAGAGTGGACAGACTTGCTGCGGCTGTGACGGTTCGGTAGTGCAGGCCTGACAAACTCGTCCTTTGGTGCAACGTCAATGCCAAGGCCCCTCATTGTGGTGTTGCTAGAGCTTGACTGCGGCCGCGAAGGAGTGCCGGCAGATTCTTCCCTGCTCAGACTCGTTGGGCGCTCCATCTTGGGCGGTGAGCCGAATCCAGACACAACACTCGCGCGATTGCTCAGGGTGGAGCTCTGCCGGCTTAGAGTTGGCGGCGCTTGTGTGCTCCACCTCTTGCTGACGCTGTCGCTGCGCTTCATGCTCGCACTCAGCACAAAGCCTCCCATGCCCTTCGTAGGAGACACAGGCCGCTCACGCTCTGGAGATATCCTCCCTTGTGTCGGCGACATGAGTGGTCCGCGTGTCGCCCCTGCATTGTCCCCGCTCTCCCCCGTGGTCCCTTGTTCTGATGGCGGGGCAAACTTCTGCGATTCGAGCGTTGGCAAGGGCGACCGTGTTACTGCTGCGTCTGTCTCGCCTGCTGAGATTGAGGTTGCCGCAGAGAAGCGGTTGCTCATGGCAATGCTCCCTCGCATGGAGCCACCTCTCGACGTGGGCCGGCTCGAGGGCGTGCTTTCAGTGGGCGGACTAGCCAGCTCAGGCTCCCTAGTGGATACTGTAGACTCTCGCGAATTTGTTGAGTCCCGTGACATGCCGGGCAGCTGTCTCCTGCCAATTGACCCCGTATCTGACGCATTGTCGTCCTCGTTCTTCCTGTACGCTGCCGCGCCCCGGCCATTTTCGGCCGACTGGCGGAAGTAGGCCGGGTCTTTTGCGCCCAGTGACGCTGCAATCTGTGTTCTCGAGAGCGGTCGTTCGGGCGAGGACGGGGTGGACGCATCGCGGGAGCTGGGCCGCGCTGTCACGGACAGGGGCCGGCGTATGCTGCCAGACTGCGGGCGCTGCTTCCACGAAAGGGTGCCCGAGCGCCCCAATGCGGCGGCACTCGTCGCGGGCTTCTGCGGCTCGCTGTCGTCGGTCGCGGGCGCCGAAGGGCTCGTCAACCGCCGCAACGACTCGTCGTGCTCGGCGGCTTCGTCGTGGGTCGGCGGCGGGCTCATGGTGGGCGTTGGGGTGCTGGCGGCCTGCTCTCGCACTTCCTGTGGCGTGTGGATAGACGATCGATGCAGTGACTGCGGCGTGGTCGTGTTGTCCAGCTTGTCAGGCGAGATAGATCGCGCCCGTTCTGTTTTGTGGAGTCAACACCGGGCTCAAAATCAAAACATCATGCCAAAAGCACCCACCAGCTCTCCTCGCTAATCGCTCGCTGCGCTGAGTCAGAATGTCCTCTTCCAGCTTCTTGACTCTCTCCTTGTCCTGCTGGTCGCCGAGCTGCCGGATTCTTTGCACAAACGCCTGCGGGTCGACTTCCTCAGACATGGTCGCGTATGCCGTTCAACAGCAGACAAGCTCGAGTAAACACACTTGAGACACAGCTCCCAATGCAGCCGTGCTCCAAGTCAGCAACACGTCAAGAATGAAGCTGCTCGGCAGTCAGGCAATCCTGGGCGGAATCGAGGCTAGACAGTCGTTAAATTGCTTCGAGTGCTCAGTGCATCCTTGGCCTGAGCGTCCTGTCACCCCGGATGTGTTTCGACGCGCTGAAACCTTGATCTGCTCGTAGCGGCGGCGGGCAGCGTTGAGCACGAGGGGCACAGAGGTTAATGCTGAGAAATGGACTCTGGTTGCGCAGCAGCTTGCACTTAATTGTTTGTTGTGCTCCACACTTGAAGCAATTCAGCCGTTCATGTCTGACCACCCGCTACCCAGATTTAGCGTACGACTACCTCCAGGGCCTTGGTATGCCCCTTGCACCCAAGCAGCGTCGCCACTGGTACAGATCAGTACAAAAACAGTCGTGCCTTCGCGTCTTGTACCACCCACTGCAGCCCCTCCTGCAGATTCTGCCCGGTCATGGCACTGCAGCTCATGATGGTCCATTTGTGTGTCTTGATGGCGTCGAGCCCGAGTCCCTGCGCGCCGTCAGTATCATTGGCCTAGCAACCCGTCCCAACATCAACGTCAGCACCCACCTCGCGCACCTCGTCCTCGCTCATGGCCCCGGGAACATCGCTCTTGTTCTTAAATATTAGCAGGCTTGCGCCCGATAGTCGCTGGTCTTGTCAGCATGTTTCAATGAGGCACCGTGTGTACGCACTTCCTCGAGCAACAGTCCGGCCAGCTCATGCCGACAATCGCCTACCCGCTCGCGGTCGGTGGCATCGACCACCCAGATGAGCGTATCAGTCTTCTCAAAGTAGTTCTTCCAGTACGTGCGCAGCGTCTTCTGGCCGCCGACGTCCCCTGAGAAGTCAGTCGACGCATGTCTGGAATCTAGCAGGTGCAGTACATATGTTCAGTTTGTATCTTCGTCGTCAGCATCTCATCTTGTTGAGATAGGACAGGAAACGTACCCATCGTAGTCTATCGTCTTGATGATGAAGCCTAGCGTCGGGCTGACGCTGTTGACGTCTTCGTTCATGATCTTCTTTACGATAGTCGTCTTTCCAGCGTTGTCCAAGCCCCTTCTGCAGTCAGTCTTCAGCAGCTTGTGCAGGGCGTTAAGCACCCACAGCATCAGTATGCGCATCTCCTTGTCCTTCAAGCGCGCTTTCCGTAATATCGACAACATTATGAGTTGTTTGTTTCTGTTGTCTGCGTCTGTTGCCTGCCAGAGTGAGTCCAGCTTCGAGGCTCGGCTGGAGCTGCCCCTCGGCAAAAAGTGCCTCAACAACACCAGCATGTTGTTGGTCCCAGATACCCCCCCGCCCATGGCCAATGACACTGTGTCGACGATTGTCAACCGCGAAATTTTTCTTCGTTGCACCTGATCCCCTTAACCGCAACAAGAGCGCACTGCAGACTCAGATAGGCATCGATGGTGACAGATGCGCCCATTGAGGAACTGTGGCGTAACATTCCCTTCACACACATACTGCGGACTCGAATTTTCGACAGACGTCAACCAGTGGGGCTTGACGGGACGTCGTCCCCCCAAGTCCCAGTATACATGTCTGGATGCGCGACGCCCGTGTGGTGAGGACAGCCAAAGGGTTGGCTTTGCCCGTAACAATGTATGGAACCCTTGTGCCCTTCATACACCCTTATGCCCTTCATACACCCTTATAGCTCTCTTTGAAACAAAGTATCTTTATGCGGAATTGGACGTCTCCTTGCAGATAGCCGTGGTTGCCGTTGGATGGTCCGCAGGCATCTCTCACCCTGAACCGTAACAGCAACGGTAGGGCAACCCTCAGAAAGCCTGGTTTCTTGGATTTGATCCTTCTACGCATTCTTTCCTCTCAATTTCGTGCCCTTCCCTCACCTGGCTTGCAGGGCGTTCCCTACCCATCTACCATTCTGAGATACTGTCCGGGTAGTTGCAGACGCTCCTGCCTGTCATGGCTCACTTCGCGCTATGTTCTCGTGCTGGAGTGCCTACCGTCGCACCGACGCCTCTCACAGCAGGCACGAGACCTCCTCACAAGAAGTTTGAAGGTCCGGATGACGCACTGAACTGGCAACAGCAGGAAGACCTTTTTGCGAAAAATGTAGGTGAGAGTAACGCCTGACGCTTTACTGTCTGTCCCACCCTCGGCCCCACGCCGCTTCCGTCAGCCTCTCTCAGTCCAAAACTCGAATGCCCATACCTCCTCTCGGTTGAGTTCTCTTAGACTGATCTTTGCAGAATCCGCAGCGACCAAAACGCGCTCGTAAAGCTCACAAGTTTCGGCCTCTCGATCTCGAAGCTACCACCGCGCAACCAGAAGTTACAGCAATCGGCCAAACATCAATCATTCACCAATCGGGATTCAAGGCTCCCTACGCCAAATCGAAAGCACGTGGTAAGACACCTACCCGTGTCTCACCGCAGCAAAGCAAACGACCTGCACTACACGGTGGCCCACCTCCATCACAAGACCTTGGCACTGTCGTAAAGAAGCCTTGATCAAACCGCAAGAAGCACAAGAATCACAAACCTAGCAGCGAACATCAGCTGCCGAATATGGCTCCTGTGGGTGCATCTATTCCACCACACTTGCGCAGGCGTGCTGCTGCGCCAGTCGAGCCAAAAAGTGATGTGAGGTTGGGGGACTTGGGAAAAGTTACTGGCATCAGCACTCCCCCAGCATCGGACAAGTCTCCATTGGGCAAGCCCTCTCAGAGTCAAGTCTCTCCGTTAGTACTTCTGTCCATCGATGTCTACCTTACTGACCCATTGCAGCGGCAAAGTCGTCTCCAAAGCCCATACGCCACCCTCACCAGCGACGACAGTCGAGGGGCCATCGGTGACCACGCTGACTTGGAACGACCCTAAACCGGTCGAGTCCCTTTCCAAACCCAAACGCAACGAGAACCTGCGCTGGCCAAGAACTTCCAAGCCAACAAATGGGAGACACGTCTGGCCGAAAGCGCGGGAGATCCCCAGAGAGCTATCTGCCGGTAGTCAGAGCGGTGGCGGAATCACGTTCAGATCTGACAGCGGCGGAGATCCCTCATACGACGTGAAGAAGCTCCTCGGTTGGAACGGAGATTGGTTGCCACCGCCAGAAGACTGGGCTGCTCGTAAGGGCTTTACGAGCCGTCACTTCAGCCAGGTTGTTGATCAGTGGGCAAATGAGCACAGCCGAGACTGCACTAATGTCGTCGACATTGACACGCCAGACTTCTTCGGATCACAGGAGCAGGACGGCAAGTGGGTGAACAAGGACATCGTACCGCGTTACTGGCTCCATGAAAAGATTGATGGCAGCCCTCCACGCAAGTTCTGGGAAGAGCTTCCACACCGTGCGCCTGCTGCTATGAGCGACATTGACATCATGGAGGACCCGCCGTACTGGGAGCGATGGAGTGATTGTCAGCCAAACAACTGTTTCATGACCACACTAATCGTTCCGGAAGCGAGGATCGACCAGGACGACAGGGACAATGAGCTGGAGAGTCCTTTCGCTATGCTCTGCATGGAAGACCGAATTGCAAAAATCCTCGAGATCAGGCAAAACAGGGCGAGGCGACAGATAGCCAAGCGGAACAGGCCGATTCCCAAGTCCACGTGTGAAGGACCGGTGCTAGCAGACCGTCAACTGCACCCCAAAGCGAACATGTACCTCCGCCCTGTCCAGCCTGCTGATATTCCAGGCATTATGGTAAGATCTTCCTTGAATACTAGTATCAGGATCTGGCTGACCGGTCGCAGGAAATCTATAATCACTATGTCAAAGAGACAGTTCATGCTGCCGAGCTTGAAGAGCAGACCGAAGCACAAATTCGCTTCTGGATCGACGGGATCATTCAGGCAGGCTTGCCGTGCCTTGTGGCAGTGAGCAAGCGCACCCAACGCAAAGGTCCGCAGGGCTACGTCACGGGGAAGATCGTCGGCCTCACTTATCTCACAGATCTTGCCGACTCGAAGGGAATGTACCGTTTCACCTTTGAACTTGAGACTTACATTCATCCCGGCTTCATCCACCAAGGCATAGGCAGGTGTCTTCTCGACCAGATGATGTACATATGCAACACTAGCTATATCAAGAGAGATGGCTACGAGTGGGTGAACGAATTCGAGTACCTGAAGAACGGAACGAGTCGCATTGTCAAGACTATCTTGGCGAGCGTGCACTACGAAAAAGGTGAGGATGCCGAGTGGGCCACAAGCTACTTGGGCGACTTTGGGTTTAAGAAGGCCGGCCGACTGTCACAGATCGGACATAAGGCCGGAAAAGTCGTCGACAAGGTCATCTTCCAGCTGCAGACCAGCGAGGTGATCAATCCTCAGAGCATCCCGATAATTCAGGCTTAGAGCCTAGGACACTTTTGGTAAGTACCTTGACTACGAACCGTTGACTCCTGCTAACACCCACAAGTCGCTTGAACTTTACGCTACATTGAGTGTCGGTGTAGACATTAGCAGGCTGCGGTCACGGAATAAGGATCTGCAAGATATGTCCTCTTTGGAAAGTTCTATATATTGATTATCCACTCCTCTTCATGACATTACGGAGCGTTCAAGCAGGGCTACAAGCACTATTGCAGGGAGGGAAACCTCTCTGCAGAATGCCGACGACGTGGCGCACAAAGCGCACAACAGCACGATCAATGTTTTCAATCTTTCATCCATACCAATCGCTCATCATATATCGTGATATCATCAATCCCGATATCATCAATCCCCCGGTCCTTCCCTCGTCAAAGGCCAACCATCTATTTCTTCTCATCATCAGCAAACCCCCATCGCCCCGTCTGATCCAGTCCCAACGGGTTATCCCCGGTCTGCTCCTTCCCCGCGATGCTCTCCGGCTTGCTCTCATAGCTGTCCTTGTTCTCCCCGCCAAGCAGCTCGGATCGCTCGTGCTTCTCGCCCATCAGCGGGCCCAGTGCGGGTCGTGTTGCGCCGCCGACTGCGCTGCCGAGGGGCCCTGTGAGGCCTTTTTCGAGCGGTGCACCGATGGGGCGGAGGGCGGTGCCGAGGACGTTGCCTATTGCCTATGTTAGAGACCCGGCGGGGTTGTGGAGGGGAACGGCATGTGCATGCGAGCTGCGTACCAACTGGGTCGCCGATTTTGCTCAAGAGGCCCTTGGGCGCTTCGTCTTGTTCCTCCTCCTCATTGGTTGCGGGGATGTGGTCGCCGCCCTTGGGCTGCTCTGTAGGCTTCTCTTCTTTGTCGGCCATAACTGCTCCTAGGCTTCAAGCTGGGGATAATACGAGTAGCAGTAGATACGAGGTAGTTTCGGACAAAGCAACGGTAGTGTATGGGAGATTAGGCACGGTGTAAAGTCGCAGGCTCGTCGCCCGCGCCCGCTGATCTGATATATGAGGGACCCCCTCAGCCCTGCCGTTCCTCATGTCGAGCACTCGCAGGTTCCAAGTTCCAAGATCCTGCTTGCTGTCGCGTCACAAGCGCGACGCCGGTATGACGTCGTTGCGCAACGTCGGCGCTGGCCCCGCCGTCCGCTTCCCCGCCGATGACGCTAAGGAAGGGCAACTCTAGCGCAACGCAATCAACAGACGATCATCCTAGCTCTGAAATTGCCCCATTGAGTATATTGCATAACTAGTGGAGCCGCGGCGGCCTAGCTACCTGGCCGAGATGCCGTGCCGAGAAGTTGCCTTCCGTGTTTCTGGTCGGCGCTGTGGTGGATTGAAGGAGCGCAGACGGGCCTTCTTGCGCCACCCGAAATCGACACTCGGGCGGCGTGTTGCCGCATGAGGTAGGCTGATCGTACGGGTTGCGGCCCTTTTGCTGTAGACAATCAATGGTTTTTCGAGGGGTTGCCTTGTGCGGAAGGATCGCTGGCCACGGGCGAGGAGTGGGTGGCGTGAGATGGCATAATGCTGTCTTGCTTGGATGGGAATGTCGGCAAAGACGATCAGACGGGGCGATAGATTGCGGCCCTTTTTTCATGGGATATCGATGGGCATTCTGAGAATTGCTGCGTTGGGCAGGCGAGGGTGGCAAAGACGAATATCGGAAGATTCAACACTCGCGTATCAGAACGTGTCGCTGTGCTACTGAAAGGGGAAAGTAGGCGAAGACTACAATGAAGGAAGCGTGCTTTGCGGCCCTTTTTTCATGGGTTTTCAATGGATGTTGCGAGAACTACCTCTTGAGGAAGGAACGGTAATCACAGGTGAAATATGGTCGGCGGGAGATAGTATCAGAGCCACGGCGCCAAGATGCTCGATGGGGAACGTAGGCGAGTCACCGAGGACTCGAATACAGCCGTTGCGGCCCTTCTCTCATGGGATATTGATGGAGTTTGTGAGAGTTACTGTGTTGGGTAGGTAATAGTGGCGAGAGGGAGTATCCGCTGCCCTATCACTTGGAGTGCACGCTGATAACGGGGGAAAGCAGGCGAACACGATGAAGGATTGCGGCCCTTTTGCTATGGGAAATCGACGGTTTTTCCTCTACATTTCCCTGTGTGGAAGGAAATGGTGGCGAATACACCATGCGAGAGTCAGCAAGAGTAAGCCGCAAGGGGAAAACGGTCAAGTCGACTAGAAGGCCTGGCCCTTCCCTCAGGGGTAATCGACGGGGGGTTTTTTTTAGAGAGGACGTAAACTGCCTCGTGAGGAAGGCTCGGGTGGCAAGAGCGAGTCAAAGGTTCGTGGAACATGTCACTGTAATTTGGTACTAGATGTTTGGTACTGTACCTGGAAGAAAGAAAAGAGAGGGGTATCTACCACTGATCAACTCAGCTCAGCCCAAAATCATGCCACACCGTACGCCATACTCATGTCCAAGATTCGTAGGTAGAGAGGGGCTAGAATATTTCATCTAACCCACTCTCATCCAACACACTCCTCCCCCTTCTGCGCTCCGACTCCTCCCTCATCTTGCCCCTGAACGTGTCCTCGAAGCTCACTCGATACCCCTCGTCTTCAGTCACAAGCTGTTGTTCTGCCAGCAGACTGTCGTCCATGTCCGGACCATCGCTGTCGGGTAGTCTCGGCACCGGTGTCCGACCAGTCAGGATATCGTACAGGCTATCGTCGCTGGCGTCACTGCCATCTGGTGTATCGAAGCGAAGGATGACATCTTTGCCGAAAGGCCAGGTAAAAATGTAGCCGGACTGGTGGGCGAGTCTAAAGGCGGGTTTCTTGTCGGCTGGGGTGTGCAACCAAGATGTTGTCCATCTTGTCGGAAGAGTTGATGCATGTTTGGCAATCTGGGAAGAGAGGTCGAGGATAGCTGGAGGGGGTGCTGATGCTGACGTCGAGGCGGACGTTGAAGCTGAAAGGTCAGAAGCCTGGTAGAGATACAAGGTCGGTGAGTCGTATGTAGTCTGGATGAGGAGGAGAGCAGGATTATCGTGGTGCCATTGCAGGGTCTTGACCGGTGCGTGTTGAATGAGGATCATTCGAGGTCTCAGACTTCGCAAGTCCCAGATCCAGACTGTGCTTGGTGTCGAGTCGTCCCTCGTAGCGCACAATGTGCCGTCGCTATTGAATGCAAGAATGCTGATACCTTGCTTCATCAAACTTGTCTCGCTCTTCTCCAGCGGCGCCTTTGGCGGCGTGACGGGTTGTGGTGTGATTGTGTACGTCCTGTTGCCCTGCCCATCGACTTGCTCGGAGAAAACAGGCGCGCCAGGAACGTCGACGGCGGCAGTGTGATCCAGGAAGACGACAGGCGCAAACGTCCGCGTCGAGAGAATGCGCACTCTGCGATCCCAGCCACCCACTGCAAGCCATTCTGTTCCAGGAGCCCACTCGACGCTCTTGATGCCCAGGCCCTCGACAAACCATTCCCTCACATCATTGGACGGCTCGCGGGTGATGGTGCGGTACAGGTGTCCATCGGCGGTGTAAATGTACAGATTGTACCCAGTCGACGGCGCATCCCAAACCGCAATCCAACGCCCATCACGACTCCACTTTAAACCTGCTGCATCGACCGTAGGCAGATCAACGCGACTGATCTGCGCATACGTGCGCGGTGCAAGCAGCATGAGGACATCCATGCCCGACGTTCGACACAGCATAGCCATGACCCCTCCCCTTCCAGCCTGCCCGCCGCCCGGACTTTCGCTGCTCGACGGTCTGTATCCCCACCCCCTGCCTTCTTTGCCGGGGAACTTGGGATCCCTAATCTCGATTGCTCGCCCGGATCTTAGGCACCAAACCTTTGCGCATGCGCCGAAGTCGCTCCACACAATGACCTCGTCTTCGTTGGCGCCGAACTCGACGTGTACGTTCCTCCCCATGCCGCCTGAGCCGTTATTGATGACTGCATTCCATCTATCATCGCGCAGATCATATACACGCGTTGTGTTGTCGTCATGAATGAGGACGCGGTTCGAGACGGGCCGGGGCGCGCGCCGTGACGATGTGGACGCGGAGGATGTGTGCGGAGGAGCAACAGGTGGGGACCATGCGAGGCGGGCGATCTTGGTCTCAACGGAGGGTGGCAGTCCTACGTTCCTCTGTATGTCGAAGGTTGTGAGGCATCGGATCTGGAGGCGGCCGTTCGAGAGGCATGCTGCGTGTGTTGCGCTCGGCGATGTGACGGCCACGGATGTCGCTGGAACGTATCAGCGGACTTCTAGAGCAAATTTCTGCGACTGGAATACCCTTATATAGCGACGATGTCTCCGAATCGTCCATTGCCATGTGTGAGCAGGGCCGGGATCGTGGGGAAGCGACGATTCTCATGTTGACATACGGTAAACATTAGTCGACCAATCAAAGCTTGAGGCAGTCCGAAGATCGTTTACTTCCACCATATCAGCGCACACAAGGTCGAGTTTGAGGATATCAAGCTCATAATTACTGCTATACTTGGCTCAACCGTAGACGCAGCGAGGGTATCGGTATATGCACATAGATCCATCAACAAATCCAACGCTCGCTAAGTACAACCATCTTCCAGGCGCTGACGTTCAGGTCCAGCTGCAATGCCTGTCAAAAGTACCACCATCTACACATTTCGTGTATGAAGAAGCGAAAAAAGAGACCGTATCCTGATAGTCTCTCTAGCCAACCGAACCGAGTCTCAAGTGCTATAAACCGGTGCTTTACTCAAGACAGTCTTGCCTCTGATCTGGACTGCTACACCGACAGCCAGACGTACGCGTGGAGGTGGTGGCTCATCCTTCTGGCCGCTCGAGCTTCCAGGAGGTCCCGTAAGGCTCTGCTGACTGCCACCTTGGCCTAGAGACGACTCGCGCTTGCCAAGCGATGCTGGCGCGGTCGTGGGTTTCTTAGACGCACCCAGTCCTCCGAAAAAGCCGCGCTTCTTGTCCTCTTTAAGAGGCTGCGGCCCTTGCATGTCTTGGTCAGCGGACGTACTGTCGTCCAACTTAGAGGCCACACTCTTCAACGACGCTCGATCCGCTTCGTCGACCTCCTTGATTGGGCTTGTCAAGGGTGGAATCCCGGACTCCATCTTCATCAACTCTGATACGATGCTATGTCCTGGAGGGAAATACTCGATATGTACCTCTCGACTTTCAAGTGGCAAATGTTGCGCAATACTGACAGCCAATTCAACCATCATAGGTACACCGCCGGCCAGGTCAGGTGGGGCGGGCTCAATCAAGTGCAACTGCAGTGATGCAATGAGCTTCTCATTTAGTGTTTCTGTCAGCTTCTGGCGATTGGTTTCGGCTTGTGGCGCTCTTAGCAGGTCGGACAGGCCTTCGAGCGTAGCCAGACGCCAATTGATGACTTTTGCAGCAAGAGAGTCTTCATCCTCGGTAGAGTGACAAGAGGGCGCGAACTTGCGGATGTTAAGCTGTATCATCTGTAGCTGAGTCGAAAAGCCTGGCTCCAGATCCGGATGGAAGTACCTTTCAAAGATGTTCTCCACCAGCCAATGTGAGATGAAGGCACGACCAACCGCCGTCATTTCCTGTTTGCCAATTTCTACGGCGTTCTTGTTGACTACTGGATGCAAGAACAGAGGGATTGACTTCCAGTCCTTGCGTATGGAAAAGGAAAGCTGCGCGATTAGTCCGTCGAGTCTGTTGAAACGAGTGGCGTACTCGCTGTCGTCCCAAGATGTGCGCGACAAAGACAGGCGTTGGTTTGCTAAGGTGTTTTGCAGCTGGTGTACCTGTGTTTGCTGCTCGAAAAAGTACCTTTTCACCTTCTGGTATTTATCGCCTTCATCAAGTCAGCTGAAGTAATTTCCCTTGTCCCCCTACAATGCTTACGCAGAACGTCGTGCTCTTTCATCATCTTTTCGATATCCTCTTCGCTCAAGTCACTGGCCGCCGATCGTGGTGGAGGCGTTGCATGCCCCGTCTCTCCACTTTGCTTGTCACCTCGGTATGGCTGGCCTTGTGAAGCTGTTGGCACGACATTAGCTCCGAATGTTGCGACGCCTGGCGACACAGGTGGCTGTCCTTGGGGCTGACCTTGTGCTGTGGGTTGCTGTAGAAGGGATGACTCGCGCGACGAAGTCGTTGACTGTTGCTGGCCTCCATCAACGGCGACTTTGCGTAATCTGCCATTGCTCTGACTGCTGGGTGCCATGCTGTCTTGACTTTGATTCTGGAGCGATATCTTGGAGGTCGGTGAGTCGGAAACCTGGGACTGCTGATTGTGCTGCTGGTCGTAAGGTTGATACTGATGTTGCAGCGGCGAAGGCGGGGCTTGCTGCTGAGAAGACGGTGGACGGAGTTGTTGCAGTTGCTGTTGGTCGACTGGCTGTCCGCCCTGTACTATCTGAGGAACACCACGAGTCGCCTGAGGATGCTGCAGTTCAGGTTGGTGCAGCGATGCAGCTCGAACAGGATGCGCTTGCTGCTGACGGAAGTCTTGAGTTTGCTGCGGCTGAGACTGGGGTGGAGGCGCAAAGTGCTGCTGCTGTTGAAACTGGTTGTTCTGAAGGTGACCGTCCTGCGGTGATTGCCCTTGAGACTGCTGAGCAGCTTGCTGTTGTTGATAATAGGCGTTGCGTTGCTGTTTTGAGAGATCTTGGCTGTACTGCTGAGCGTTCCCAGGTCGGGGGCTTGGAGCTGACTGCGGAGGGAAGGACTGGTATGCGTCCGAAGTCTGAGCCTGTTGAGTAACAGGCTGGTAGTTTTGGTATTGATGCTGATTCGCCTGCTGTTGTTGAAGTTGGGGACCTTGGTGTTGGTCGGGGCTGTAGTGCTCTACCCCGCTCTGCTTCTGATAGCTACCTTCGGTGCTTACTCTGTCGAGTGGGGACCGATTGTATTGACCCTGCAGCGGTTTCGACCCAAACTGCTGGGGATGCTGCTGGTATTGAAGATCTTTCGGTGGTACCTCAGGTGTATTGGAGTCCTGCTGGAGGAAGGGGTCGAGACCGGGGCTGCCTTCGTCTTGCTCAACCGAGGTGGGCAGCTGTTGCTGGGAGCCGGCACGCTGTTGATACTGCTGCGACGGCGTGTTCAGACGGGGTGCGTCCTGCTGCTGCTGCTGCTGGTGTTCCAGAGGTCGATTCTCCTTGCCCCTAGTCGATTGGCGTCTTCCAACTGAATCCTTCTTGGAATGCTTCGAGGCGTCCTCCTCCTTGTGCCCTGTCAGTCCAGCGGCGATGCGGCTTAGGCGAGACAGCTTTTTGGGCTGTTCCTGCACATACACGGGGTCCGTCAGCTGTTGTGAGCTCGGGCGAGGCTGATCAAAGGCAGGCGAGGGGGAGGGGGGGCCGCCTTGTTGCTGGTAGCCTTGCAGTTGGTCGTGCGAGCTCAGGCGGTGGTTGTGACTTGTGCTCGTCGTCCGCTGGGGATACGGCTGCTGCTGCGGCGGGCAGTACTGTTGTTGCTGTTGCTGCTGAGCGACACCGAGCGAAGGCTGCTGCAGAGGGGGCTGCTGGCCGAGCTGCGCCTGTTGCTGCCCGTTGGGATTCGGGAACTCGTTGTTCACTGTGCCAGCGCGTACCGTCAGCCGCACGACCTCCCAAAGGCTATTGGATCTCCAACCGCGCACTTACCAGAAGGCACAGGAGAAGGCTGCCCAGACGAAATGTCTACAGACGTGTGCGACTTGTTCGACTTGAACCACCCGGTAGGTTTGGGCACCATGGTTTGGCGGTTGGCAGCTTGGAGCTATGCCGCGAAGCTGCACGATGGGGAGATGCGGGGCGAAGTAAATGATAGGTAACGGCATCCGCTAATAATAACAAGGCGATCAGCGGACACTGCTGCAGTGGCTCTAATGCAATAGACGCTCCTATCCGAAAACGTGAGACATTGTTGTTATGCGGATGCGCGTATAGCTCAAGCAAAAGGTCAAGCTTCCTCAGCCCGGCAGCCGCACCTGCAGCAGTCTCAGCGAATGGAGCAATGCGACCCGGAGCACGCTGTGAGTGCAAGCTAGAGCGATCCACGAGGCACCGGTGCGTATTGCTGACGGTGCGCGGCGGTGGCAGTGCTTGCTGAATGGTAGCTAGGGTAGGGAGGATCATGCAGGAGTTATATTGCTCGACCACGCCTCAACCACGTCCGATTGACATCTTCAGCTTACAGTATCATCAATCCAGACTTGAACGCGTCACAACGAAAGTAGCAGAGACCAACCGAGGGTCATTGCGAATACGAACCTCTCCACCCAAGTCTGTTGGTTCAAAGGGCAGCACTGCACTAGATACATGCGGGTACCGGCCATTAGTCGTCATTAGGTAGACAGCTCCACCTTGTGCTGCTGGACATGATGTTTCTCTCATACAGCGTAGATCTAAACCTGCCCTTGTCTTGGCAGCAGTACACATTCATCGAGTGTTGGAGCTCAGCGTCCGCGAGGCTGAGAATTTGACAGAGCAAGGACCCATCCTCAAGGCTGCACTCCTGCATCCTGCACGGCGTCAGTACGAGCTGCATCTGCGTTTCTATAATTAGCGCCGTTCGCTTCGTGCAGCTGACGTACATTACCCAAAACCTACCGCGAATGCAGCATGTCTACCTACTCAAGGTTCAAAACCAGCGACGTCTTCTTTCTGGTCTTTTTGTCTTTGATGTGATTACAAAACCCCCAGAACCGTTGTCCATGCTCCTTTCTTCCTTCCCAAAAGCAAGTCGTGGCTGCAAACTCACGGACCGAAAACGTCGAGAACCTAATTTCACGCGTTTCGAACACGCCCAGTCTATATGCCGAGGGCTACAGCTAACCTCCCGACTACAAATCTCACATCAAAATATCGCGCCACTACAGGCAGTGGGCATATGGCATGGCACGCGCGTAATACGCAAGTGCTTATTTCAATTTCTCGTTCCACTCCGACTTAGTTGGCGTTGTGTGGTGGACTCCAGTTGACTATGGAACGAAGTCGTACCGTATCCTCGTGTTTCCGCTATTGGGGTGACGGGCCGCAACAGTTTTGTCTTTATTGCCGAGTGGAGGTTGGTTCAGTGAGTGCATCGCTACGAGTCTCGTCGTGGTCCCTTCATGTTGTTTCCTGGGAGACGTCCTCTCGATGAGGATCCGTCAACACAGGCTTCATCAAGTCACAAACTCACACCTTCTTGACGCAACGACAGACGAGATGGTAGTGTGCACGTCAACGCTACGCTCGAGCTCTCTGATGACCACCGAAATCTGAGCAACGCCGTGCGACACGCTGTCTTGCGGGGTTCTAGGATGTACCTGGCCGTCTGGCGATAGCTGCTACTTTTCCGGTTTGCCCCATTCCTTGTGGAGTGAAACTCCCCAGTTGCGCAAACCGTCGGCCCTTCAAAATGCGAGGGCTGTCATCCAACCGGGAAAACGTCTTGGGCTGGTCCCTTCCATTGCGTTCCGCGTGACAGACAGTCAACAGAAAACACTTCAGATCCTCTTCATTCGGTCCGTCGAACGTTGCGACAAATCAGGGGAAGATGGGCACTCGCAATTTGGACCACTCCTCAGCCTGCTTTCCGTACGTTGGCAGGAGATGCAAACGCCGACGCATTTTCACCCAGTCATCTCTCTCACCAAGTAGAGTGACGGAAGGGAAGCCGCAACCTGTGTTCCCTCTGAAGCAGAACTACTTGTGCATTGTAGCCACCATCATGGACATTTTTTCCACGGCGACGTCGCCATCGGTTGTTGTTGAGAAGCCAGGGATGATGCATTTACGGACCTGGTTGTTGACAAGTTGTTCTTCGGTCAGCTCTTCCTGGCCCCACGTGAGCGACGAATAGATAGCGTGACTCCTCAGCGTTTCCGATGACGAAGAAGCCGAACTGCGTTATAACTGCTTGCCAGACATTGTCGGGGCGAAGCACAAGATGTAGGTCGTGCTGGTACGCTCGGACAATACCCTCGAAAAAGCCGTTGGCGTAGGGTATAATTTTCGTTGGGGGCATCTCAGGGTACAGAACCTAGTTGACATTGTCGCTACGTTGGTCATCAAAGTCCTTGACGGAGCAGTGCATGGTGTGTATGTATGCTGGGAATGGGGCGATATTTCATCTGTCCACGTCCATGGAACAAGTCTCGACTGGCCGCGGCGATCTTGTCGGTGTTGACGCCAAACTTTCCGGGTGACGGTCTAATCGTAACAGGCATGTTGAGAGTGTTAGGACGGTGCAAGATAGTGGGCTTCCACTTGAAGTTGCTGCATGACATCGCTGCCGACATACTCGAATCGTGTAGTTTGCAAAAGCCAAGGTCGGCAAAGACGATTTATACTTCCATTGCACTGGACAGATTCTGCTGCCGAATTCAAACCATGAATCGCACCGTAGAGGTACACGCACGACCACCGCCCTGGATTCTGGGACTCACACACGCACCCGCAGGATCCCTCGCCAACCACGCTCTGATATTGCCCCCGCCAGTATACTCGCTACTCAACGCCACGATACACGCGCTCTCTCCATCGCCTGAAGGCGTCCGCATTAACATCTCGCGCTTGCCGTTCCAAAACCTCGAGGTCCCTCTCGATCGGATCGGATACCTCTGCACGCTCCAACTTGTTGGCTTCGAGCCACTCTGCTCGCTTGGCCAGAATAGCGGCTTTCAGCGGACCCGGAAGGGGCGGTCCGGCTTTTGATCTTTTGACGGGCAATGGCGGGCTTGTGGGCGGACTGCGCGGGCGGAGATTCCTTCTAGGCAAGTCGATGGGTGGTGAGGCTTGCGAGGACATGCTGGGAGTTGGGGTGGGTGCACTCGCATCGTGCAATCTACGTCGCGTTCGGATCAGCATTGCTGTGCTGTTTTGCGCTGGAGTGTGGGGCGATTCAGCGGGAGATGCACTGTTGAGACTTTCAGACGACGATGTGTGCTGTTTGGATTTGGACTGGGAGGACGGTTGGACTGAGTGAGGCGGCGACATCACGAGTACGACGCTTTCGCACACTTGGGAGATATCAGACAAAGCAATCGCATTGTCATGTATGGAAGGTGCTTGCTGTGTTTTTGTTGCGGCTTTGTTCCATGACAACCACCACGCTTAGCTGGCAAACCTGTGGAAGAAAGGTTCGGACCATCACGCGTACATATGTTACTAAGAACTGAAGCGGCCTTCGGTATTTTCTCCACGCATCGCGCTCAAAAGGTAACAGTCTCTCCACGGACATGTGGAAGTTTCAGCTGAAGTCAGTGACCAACGGCCCCTACGAGACGTCAGGTCAGCTACCAGTGGCACTATCAAGGAGAGGGCAAAAACCCACCATGTATACGTTGTTCCGGTACGAAATCTTCCAGGTTCCATTTTGCTTCACCCAGGAATCCTGATACTGCGAGTACGCTACCAAAAAGCCTGAGTCATCGATGATTTGCGTCGCCCCTCCTGTGGCATTCTGTTGCAGATAGTGCGCAGCCCGGAAGTACGTCGCGCTGATTGCAGTTTCCTTGTCGCAAAGCCGGATTCTTTGGGTGCCGAGGTGATGCTGGGTTCCGGGGAACTGTGAAAGGGAAGCAGACAGTGTCGATTCAATTGAAGCAAGGCCGTTCAGAACGCCCAGTGGCGCGGAGTAATTGGCGACGGCGTCTGTGATGAAGACGTCGGCCAGTGCGCCAAAGTCGCGCCCGTCGATGATGAAGGCGTACTGGGCGAGCGTCTGGCGTATCTCGTCTATGTCGGCCAAGGCTGCGAATGTACTGATCTTCTGTCGTGGGAAGTAGGCGGTCAGTCCTGAGACCGGGACTGGGCTGGGCGAGAATTGAGAGCACGGTCTCGCGCCAGCTGCTCGAGCTGTCGCAACGAGCGTCATCATTGCGGAGGCGAAAAGACTGCGCATGCTGGGCGTGAGTTCCGGGGTATGAATAAGTTCACTGTGGGTGTGTGCGGACGACTTTGTAACCGACTTGTGTGATGTTTAACCAGACTACGAGACAGGCTCTGTGAAAACGAAGAAGAAGAAGAAGAAGAAGAAGAAGAAGAAGAAGAAGGGAGATCTGGTGTCTGCAGATACGACGCTATCAAAAAGGAAGGTGGTACATGAAGCGACATATGTACCCCTGCAAGACTGCTTACGTGGGACAGGATCCGTCCTCGTTGGCCACCATCTCACATGAGCTCGTCCATTGCAAGTGAGTCGATGTTCTGAGGATCAGTACGATCGCGGATGTTACCCCCAGTCGATGCCAGAAGGAGGAGAAGAAGGGGAGAAGAAGAAGAAGAAGAAGAAGAAGAAGAAGAAGAAGAAGAAGAAGAAGAAGAAGAAGAAGAAGCATTGCGGGATGGTAGATGGTTCACAGAGCCAGCGATGTCGAAAAGGAAACTGCAGGCAGAGGTTGTTGTATTCAATCCATATCCTAAACTGTCTAATGTTACAGAGGAAGATTCCATGCCTTGTCATCTATAGATATGACGGAGACATGTCGCTGCCGTAGAGTGGATTTGTTATTGCGCGGAGAGCTGAGACGATGATAGATGTGGGAGTGAGTGAGTGAGTGAGTG